GAAAACTGGTGGGCGGCCTATGCTCCTCTATTGGGGGTAACAGGCGTAAGTAAGTAAGTAAGTAGGTAAGTAAGTGATGCATTCAGTTCCTTGTTGAGAAATGCAAAGTTAAGGACATGACCCGCAGACGCCTTCGACATAGAAAGGTAACATCAATATGATTAGTAAGTTGCATCCTGCAGTATCGTAAGGTGCCCTAAGAAAACAAAACGTTTTACCCCCAGACATAGGTTAATTAGGTTGTCGCCCCACCGTCATGATTGCTGGTCAAATACACTACCCTCCCTCCTTGTTGATTTTCGGTTCTCTTACTTTTCGTGTTATGTTTTTATGAATGTTTTAATCTGGCTGTATTTTTTGTACAGCTTGTCGGTATACACTTTTCCTACTAGCTATACATGACAAGCTAACCCGACAACTTTGGCTTCTATATGTTGAACTAAAGATCCGTGCAGCATATTGCATTGATCTTTAATTATTGGTATAAGTTATGAGATATGGGTCATTTAATAGGTAGTTTAACGATAAGAAGGATAGGCAGCTGAAGAAAGAAAAACAGGAAAAATAGTGTTAAAAATTCATGATTAGGGCGATAAACAGGCACGAAATCAAGCTGTTTGGACGTTAATGAATAGGGGAAATAAAATTTTATTTAACTGGCAATAAGTGAACTATAAGGAACTTACAATGATACAGTTAGTTTGGCTATCTTGTGATCGACAGTATCTGAGCAGCATCTTAAGTCTTTTTAGTTTACCTGTCTACTAGAAATAAAAATTAAAAGTTCTGCGGAAGATAAGAAAATAATGATGCAAATTTAAATATTAACGAAACGCAAATTTTTAGGGTTAGCAGCGTAAAGACGTAACCTACTGCAGTTAATAGGATTAGGGGAATGTGTCTGTCATTTTGAGATACTTGCTCGAGTGGTTATAGAGGTGCAATATACTCATTGTGTGATAATAGTTTCTAGGGTTAGTTTAAATATTAGGTGGACCATGAAAAAGGGACTAGGTGTGAGTCCTAAAAATTGTTGGTAAATCTCTTCACACTCTCACAACAGCGTTACTAGGTTCTTGAATTCGGTGATTGTGTCACAGTTACAGATAGAAATTGGTAGTCTGTCCCCAATAGACTTCAGCCTGTTGCAAAGAAATTACGACTCAATGGTTTTTGTGTTTCGCCGTTAGCAGAGTATATGCGTTGTTTCTAAGTCTGTAAGAAGGGTCATTGTTCATCATTTCGTGGGATGTTACAAACGAGAGGTCATATATTATTTTATATGGGTGTATTGGGTTATTTTTCAACCGAGGGCGCCATAGAGGTCCTAGGAAAACATATCTGCACCTTTCTTTGTAGTCGAGATTATGGTCCCGTCTTAGCAGTCACAGTGTTAAGTCTCTTTGGACATTTTCTGCTCGTATCTTGTATATGATATTTATGTTTGAAAGGATCAGTGAGCAGTAATCGAGGGATGGTGTTGTAAACATTTTGAAGAGTGTAAGCTAGGCCTCATTTGTCAAGAAGTTCTTATTCATAAACCCCATTAGCCGTCTAGCTTTAGAGATAATAGAAGAGGCATGTTTTTCAAGTTTTAGGCTTCTGGAGTATTGAATAGCCAAATCATGCTCTGATACAAGTGTCTGAACCCTAAATGTTTGTAAATAGAATGATATTTCATGGTGAAGCTTGATAAAATGCATGATGTCACACTTGTTGTAGTTTAAAGGTAGCTGCCATGTTTTGCCTCAGGTCGATAAGTTGTCACGTTCACTTTGAACCCTGTCTATAGTTTCGTTAACATCTTCAGGTTTATAGCTGTATATTACTTTCAGATCACCCGCAAATAGATATGACCTTCTGAATTTAATAGTTTTACGAGTACTGTTTATGTACAAAGGAAACAAAGACGAACCTAATGCACTTTCCTGAATAAACCAACTGGTGATGAAAGGTAATCATCATACTTTAGTAGTTATGGGAATCCACTTAGGAATGAAACTAGCCACGAGTATAGTGGATTACTCATTTCAGATGACTTCAATTTGAAGAGTAGCCTTTGATGTACCTATGTATTTACCTTCGCTTGTTAACCCCGACGGAGCATAAGCCGCCGACCAGCACTCTGTGTCCTGGGCCTTCCTTTCTAGTTCTGTCCAGTTGTTGTTTATTCTTTTCATGTCTGTCTCCGTTTCTCGACGTAATGTGTTCCTTGGCCTTCCTTCTTTCCGCTGACCTTGAGTATTCCAGGAGAGGACTAGTCTTTTGAGGCAATGTGTGTCCTATTCAATTCCACCACTTCTTCCTGATTTCCTTCTCTACTGGAATCTGGCTTATTCCCTCCCACAGTAGATTGCCACTGATGGCGTCTGACCGGCGGGAAAGCAATGTCTTGCGTAAAAAACTGTTAACAAACATTTGTGTCTTCTGAATGATGGCTTTGGTAGTTTTCCGAATTTCGACACCATACAGTAGAACTGTTTCGACGCTTATAATGAAAATTATGACTTTTGTGTAGGTTGAAAGCTGTATGGAGTTCCAAATATACATCATTCGTAAATATATTACCCTTGTTTCGCTGATCCGCGCTTTTACATCTGCTTCAAATCCTCCTTGCTTGTCAGTGCTGCTGCACAAATTTGTAGACGCCTTTACATCTTGCAAAGCTTCACTGTCAAGTGTGCTTTGTGGTAGGCGGGCCAACATTGATTAGGAGGTCAGCGGATGTGTTTCTATATTAGATGGGTTCAGTGGAGCTAGTACCACTGAGTACTCCTCCTACCTGTTTCGCTATGCTTCAGTACTGGTGAATTGGTCAGACAGGTTAGCTTTATGCAAAACTAAATAATAATATGTGTAAAAGTGAAGGCCCAGTAATGTTAACACTTGACATCAACCCTCCTTATATTAAAAGCCGGCAAGGTGTTCATAGTAGGTATTGTTCAGCAATACATAGGAGAGGAGAGGCTATTTTCAAACATACAGACCTTTAAACATTCAAAATAGTGCCTTAAAATAGTAAGAAAGTGAATATGTTTTAGATATAATGCTTTAATTTCAGTATGATGTTTTCGGCTAGCTTGTAACTACCGAACATACATACATACCAATGTCAGTAATCTGAATCGATATTTTGGTGCTTACCCGAGTTCGACCAGAATATTTTTATCTCCTGGGTTGCATCATGCTTTGCAGCTGATACTTAACTTGGACATTGTTATCGTGACAACCAGGTGACGCGATTTATCAAATATTTTGAATAGGTGACAACATATGTTAGTATTAACAGTTAGCAGAAGTAAGATGAGGCACCACTGCTACATGCCCCTATGCGTGGCATGCGACTGACCAATGAGTGCTTGTTGTCTTCGATCTTAACTACGTTTGGTAGATTGTTTATTACTCACCGAACTGCTCGACGAATGAATTTTGATAGGTCACTGGCCTATGAAGATACAGAACATTCGAAAGGATCCGATGATGGAACATTACCTAATACTAATTGTTTGCACAATGTAACAAGTCCTGATTTATTGGGTTTGTAAAGAAGAGATGGAGTTATAACGCTGCAACAGCGATTTTAAGGCAAGAAAGTGAAAAACGATTTAAAACGAAACCAGTCGAAATGTCACGTTATTTACATTCTGTACCACAAAGTGCGAAAGAATTACACCCTCAGCGCAAGTCCACTACCAAGTGCCTCCTCAGAGAGCGATCTCGGTTTAACAACCATTGAAAACCTCCACAACAGTCCGAACTATTTAGAGGACGCGACCAAGACTGAGACAAAACTGCAGTTTATTCGAAGATAACTTGATGCTATCACCCATGAATTACTCTTAGCTCTGTTTAAGACACAACTGCACACACTGAGGTTCATAACGTCGGCGCACCACCAGTCGTTAAGAGAGACCTTCTTTCTTGAAAGAAAAATAAATCTCTTGGATCGAGTACAGAGACGAGCAACAAAATAGGCGATAGGGTTGAAAAAACTTACGAAGATAGACTCCAGCACTTGGGATTATTCTCACTGAGTTACAGGAGAATCATAGGTGACCTGATTGTAGCGTACAACATATCAAGCAAGCCAAACCATCCCGATGTGAGCATCTTACCGATGCATCACTATCACATCCTTCGAGGCAATCCTCGAAAAATCGTTCATCTAAAAGTGAACACACAGGTTCGTGCACACGTTTTCTTATTAAGAGTCGTTGTAAATTGGAATGCTCTCCCAGCGGTGTCCAGGGCCCCCTCAGTGGACAGCTTTAGGGAGAGACTTGATAAACACACACTCACAGGGGGATTATCATCTCCCGCTTGGATAAGCTGTGCCTGATACACGTCTTGAGACCTGCTAGTTGTTATTATTGCCTTCTCCCCAGATCACTAACTCAATCTATCCCGTCGATTATCTCTGTTTCCTCTCCCTTGCATACACTTCGGTCCTATCGCACAATTGCCACTACCAATTTATAGACTAAGTTATCCATTTATTTACTGAGTTTTGAAATCTTCTAATTAGCACTAGAATTTTCTACTTATTATTCCCACATTGCAACTAACTGGTCTCCGGTCTGGTAATGTGATAGTTGCCGGTATCCAGAAACCCTTTGCCTTGAAACAAACTTAGTCATTCAAATCACGTGATATACAAACTCAAAAACAACTGCCAACCTACTAGAATTAGTGAAGTCTAGTGGCTAGACCCCCATCCATTGGACATTACCAAACACCTGGGACCGTGCCGAAAGAACAAGAATTGGGCGGAAAGAAATCAACTGGTTTATGATGAATCGTCTGAAATGCAAGTGCTCTGGAATAATTACACACCTATACAATGCAATGTACCGCAATTCGACCACACATGGATGGAAGTTTGCATGCATCAGCATCCAACCAAAATGCTCTTAGCAATCTACCAATAGGAATACAGATTGATATCTAGCGCAACTTTCGACTGACAATCAGCATGGGCAAGAGGTATGTTGTTTCTGTTGATGTTAAACATTACTAGTAGACATAAACGCAAATTAAAATCAGTTGCCATATGCGAACAAAAACCTGCGGCTAGGAGTTCCAAAGTTATATATGATACAACTCATGAATGGTAATTAAAAGTTTTTGTTATATTCTGATGTCCAACAGCAAGAAAAATTCGCTTGTATTATTTCCGCGTCTTGTTGAAGCTGAAACTACTGTCAAACTGTCCCTGGAGAGATGTGAACCTATTCTTGTTGTGGGTCCTGTTGGCTGTGGAAAGTCATCATTTGCTAATAAACTTGCCAAAGAATATTGTGATGTAGTGCGTACTATTCAGATAAGTGAGCATACAGATGCAAAGGTAAGTGCAGTTCTCCAAATAGTTCATAACTCACCTACTGATCACAATAAATTATGAGACTATCTATCCTTTCTTTTCCTGTATTGTACTGTATAAACTTCACTAACCATTATTTCATTTATTCAAACTGTGAAAACATAGTCGTTCACCGTCACCGTAATATTGTATTCATTTCTATTAGTGTAGTCAACATCTTGTTAAGAGCCACTTTTGGTAAGGATAATTATGGACTGGTTTTTCGCACAAAATATCACTGTGTTACTTTGTTTTGGGCTTTGAGATTCTCAAGGGATGCTTTCAACTAAGCGACTACGAAAGATGCGTTTCAATAGGTTTCAGTGCTAACTCTTATAGGTTAGTTAGTTAAATTTCAAATCCACTGATCATCAGTGATTTTCTGAACAATTAAAGTTAGAAAAATCTTAGCCAACCTCTTCAATCAAACCAGAGACTAATATTTTGAATTTCGAAGTTGGTAGTTTAGGCTAGGAGCAAGTTGTGCGTGGCTACCTCATCATTTTTATGGAATTATCTTTGTATTCCTTAACTAATTTGTTGTCGAGTATCGATAACAGGCACTCATAAATGCTAAACCTAGTACCAAGATATACATTTCAAAATAATTGTGTACATTCACGTATATTGGTTTAGCTAACTTGAACAAAGTCATCTGTCAAAGTCCTGACCATTTTATTCTAGATGTCATGAAATTTTAATTATTTCTCCAGACTCTTTTAGGAGCTTACTGTTGTACTGAAACACCAGGACAGTTTATATGGCGTCCAGGTCCCTTAGTTTCAGCAATAGAACAAGGTCATGGATTAGTCCTGGAAGATATTGATCATGGCTCTCCTGAATTACAACTGTTAATTACATCTATATTACGAAAGTTAAAAGATTATTCAATCAATTCAAATAATGATATACTGTTGGATCCTGTTACTGGTAATCCAGTCTCAGATCATCCTAATTTCCGCTTGTTTATGACCAGACGTCTTATTCCATGTTATGGTGGAGATTTTCGCCAAGAAGCTGGAAATGCATTGGCTGAATTTCTGGATCGTTATTGTTTTGTAGTATCACTGCCGAATTTTTCTAAAGATGAAATAAACCTAGTAAGTTGAATTGTTTATTTTGTACTATAGTTTTATTAGTGAATATTTACTCTTCATTGATAAGTTAAAAGATTTTGTAAATGAAATAGTGTTCAGTGTATATTTGTGATCATATAAGAGAATGTACATTATTTATTTAAACATAATTATTTGTACAGAAGGACACCTAAATATTTATGTGCGTCACAAATCTTTGAATTTGTGAGATACTCCCCAGATGTCCAAATTAAACGAGGTGGTTTTCTTAAAAGATTACTTCCCGGGCTTCTGACCCACTGAACCAACGTCAAGGGATCCAGTCCCATGGTAGCCAGTGACCAACAGTAGGTTTGTACGTCATTTATTCCATCAGAATCCTGGAGCCCATGAACACAACTGGTTTAGAACTAGTTTTTCTACTCCTATGATTAGACCCTTTGTATCCACCAACTAAGTTTAAGTCTCAATCGAACATTTGCTTCTCATCCTCTCAATTTTGTGAATACCACCTCTTCTACAAGAAGGCAGTGACTTGGACTTCCTTGGTAGCTGCTATATATGCTTATTCATATTAATGTATTTGGAGTAGATGAGAAGACTTTCGCCACTTTCAGCCATATCAGGTTACGTGAAGGCGACATGCAAATCTTAGATTAGTCTATACAGTTTGGGATGCATTGGAGCGTATTTCAAACATCAGGAAAATAAAATAACTGATAATACACATCTAGATTTTTTCTAAGTGTTTCCATTTTTTAAAACAAAAATATTTTTTAACGCTTCAGTAATTGATCAATCTTCTTTTTTTTTTCTAGCTTATTAGTCACCAATATCCAACACTTATTCCTTTTATTGATCGTATCATGAATATTTATACATTTATTGTTGAATCCTCATATCAAAATGATAGTACTACTACTACTACTATTACTGTACAGAGTACTTTAAATTCAACCAGACTACGAGTAGTATCAGTTAGAGATTTGTTAAAATTTTGTTCACGTATATCATCACTAACTGAAAAAGAAAATTTCTCTGAATTATTATTGTTAAATGCTGTGGATTGTTTCTTATGTTCCATGTGTAATTGTATAAGACAACTTGAATTAGCTTGTCGATTAGCTGGTGAATTAAATTTATCCGTGGAAAATGTAAGTTGGATTTATTTATGTTTTTGAAGTTACTTTCATGATGATGATTATTATTGTTGTATTTTTCGTAACATGTTCACTTTAACTTGTAGTTAAAGTGAAGTATAGTTTCGTATACTCGATTATGGATTAGAAATCCATTTGTTAGCGAAACTATCTTAGAAAAGGATGATTGTATCATTCATTCTCAATCTAGGAGATTGAATCGATGGGCAGAACACTCTGGTGATCAATTTAACTGGCCTCGAGCCAGTCTTCGGTTGCCCACGATCTCCAGTCATCCGAAATGACAAATCGACTTAAGTCCTCCTAGTCTTTATGAAGTTGAGAAAGCTTTGGGAAATCTGAAGCGAGGTAGAGCAGCAGGTTCTGATAGGCTAACTCCTGAGATTTTTAAGAATGGTGGTCCAGATCTAACGGTTACATTAACTGAGATCTTGCGTAGAATCTGGGAACTGGGCGTAAAAACCATCTGACTGGTCTCAATCACTGATTGTCCCAATATATAAGAAAGGATAAAAGTCTTCTTGTGACAATCACGGGGGAATAAGTCTACCTAAAATGGTATCGAAAATATTGGTCTCACTAATACTCCGACGCTTAACAAAAGCTCGTGAAGAGCAGACAGGAGAAAAACCAGGCTGGATGTATGAACCACATTTTCACTCTACGACAGGTCCTGGAACACAAACACACATTCAAACGCCCCACAATAGCAGTATTTCTCGACTTTAAGGCAGCATTCGACTCTGTTGATCGTGAAGTTCTATGGCAGTGTCTGTCATTGAAAGGTGTACCAAAGAAGTACATTAACCTTATACAAGCTCTCTACTCGATCACCATTGGTCGAGTGAGGGCTTATGGCGAACTGTCACCGGAATTCTCTACATCAAGTGGTGTCTGTCAGGGCTGTCCTCTCTCTCCATTCTTGTTTAACTTTGTCGTAGACATGCTTTTACAGTTAACATTATCATCGTCTGACTTTTTTGGGGGTGGACCTTCTACCAGGAGACATGCTTGCTGAATTAGAGTATGCTGATGATATAGTTGTACTTGGTTCAGACACCGACAAAATGCAGTCTTCTGACAACTCTAAGCAATAACGCAAGCATCCGTCCTTCTATATGGATGCGAAACCTGACCGGTAAAAGTTGAGGATATTTGTGGGTTATTAGTATTTGATAATAGATGTCTTCAAAACATTGCTCGTATATCCTTGGACAACCGAGTAAGTAATGCTATCGTTAGGAAACCAGTACTAGGCAGGGATAGCAGATCAATAGATAAAGTAGTGAAAATCCATCATTTGAGGTGGTGAGGACATGTGTAAAGGTATGCCTAACCACCAACTGCCTCGACGAACAATGTTTTGTGGTATAGGAGTAGGTTGGAAGAAAGCTAGTGGTGACCAGACCGAAACATGGCAGAAATCGATAAAATCGCTAACAAGTGGACTGCGTCATGTAGGCAGATGTAGGCTACCTGGTCGGGGTCCGCGAGACGAAAATCACCAATGGTTAGAGACCTTGAATGACATGGCTCAGAATCGTTTGCCATGGCGTATGTGCATCCACTCTTTGTGTTCTCTCAAATTCTAACCTTCTGAATTCCTCATCATCTCTATCTTTCTCTTTCTTAAGTTATCTCACCGAATTATATTTCTCGAATCATATCTTCGAACCCTGATCTTCTCCATTACTGCTAATAGTTATTCTATCGCTACCACTAAAGGATTTGAACTGACAGTTCTATCTCTGTGCTGATTCGGTATGGCAACATGAACTGATATACTTACGTACGAAGTTCTACATTGTAATTGACTGACCGACTGACTATTCATGACTTCACTCTGATGGTTTTTATAGTTCTCGGCATTACATGTGTTTCTTATAGCCTAATGCATGAAAGGATACACACTTGTATAACAGTTTTTTAAATTGAAATTCTAACATTTATTCTAATCATTTTTAGGCAAGAAATATTTTATGTTGTCGATCAGTTGAAATTAGCTTACATCCTCAACAAAGTATTTTAAAAGCTGGTCGTACTATTCTACCATGTCGAAGAACTCCAGAATGGGAAATTAAAGTGTCTGGGTAAGTTTTTCTTATGTTTAAAAACATAAAACTGTGATAGGCTGAATAGTTTACGCCTAATTTGATTTGTTCATGCTTATACTTCGTTTTGTCAATTAGTTCCCTAAATTTAACAGTTTGCAAGAGATTGTGATAATGTACACAATTTTCTTCCTTTTGGAATAATATCTTCAGTATATATGCAGTGCTAACGCCTCCTCGAATTGAAAAGATAACAACTAACTGTCTCTATTATGATCTTTGGATTTCCAATCATCTTCAAATTAATATTGATGATTTCAAATGTGTAAAAACGCAAACCTCCAAAACTGTACCCCGAAATATCGTAACAGTGCTCACTAGTGACTAGTAGCTTCGTGAGGAAATGATCGGAGTTCTAGTTGAGAAGACGTGACCAATGGAGTTCAACGTTGTCGGATGAACGCAGTAACTACCAAAGACAAATGGGTAAGGTCGCGCAGAATCCCTAGATCAATCAGAGTTAGACATTAACACCGTTGGATGCCGGCCCAGTGGTCCGATAGTAAGGCGTTCGCCTACAATGCCAAAGGTCCCGGGTTCGAATCCTGCGAGGTGCAGGAGTCGTGGATGCGCACTGCTGAGGAGTCCCATACTAGGACGAAACGGCCGTCGTCCAGTGCTTCCAGGTTTCCAATGGTGGTCTAACAATGATTGATTGATGATTTCAAATGTGTAAAAAATTATATATTGTTAGTGATATGGATGGCTAGAAAGATGAAAGAGTAGTCGATCGATATGGAAGTCTATGACACTATAATCTATGTGTTCTGTGTATTCTTTCTTCGATTTAATATTATTGCAATTGGGTTTTGAATAGGATTGAAAAAGAATACCCACTTTTTTTTGTAAAAGAAAAGTCATTTATGATTTCATCGCAATGATTGTAGTCATTAGTTGCTGACTTTCGAATGGTAATCTCACTGGCAATTAGACAATAGTACAATCGATAGTGGGTTGGGGTGATCGCTCTCCCTCTTTAAGGGCTCTCACATGGTCACGCGTTTGTAACCACTACCAAAGAAGTCTTACTCACTACCTCGTAGCAGAGGTGTTATACACGAAATCGAGAGGAGGAAAACCGTAGGTATAGCTTAACTAAAAATGCGGACATAAAAAATTATATTTTTTAAAAATCCCACCTTGCTTTAATTAAAGGTGTGTTACAGTAATGTAGCGAGACAGCCACACACTTTGATTCTGCGTCATGATTGATAGTTTTTTATGCCATTGAATGTTGCATGATCCCTCGGATTCCATTCCGGAAATCGTCAAAGATCATCAGGTTCCATGTTTATGCACTGATAATTCTTTCTGACAGCATTATGTCCTAAACTAGCTACCACCACGGCATTAAGAAGTACGATTCAGTTTGAAGGGCGTTGAGAAGCCTTGTGTAAAACGTATCCTATGGTGTAGGTAGCTGAGAAACGGCAACTTTGATTGATATGGCTGAAAATCATTAGCGGTGGCTCAGACGCATCCATTTTTTGTGTTCTCTCAAATCGTGATCTTCTGACTGCTAATACTTCTACTACCTCTACTGTTATGGGATTTGTATTGACAATTCAATCTCTGCATGCTAATGTGGTGTGGAAACTTGAGTTGATGTACGTACGTACTAAATTCTACGTTGTAGCTGAATGAATGAAAACTGCCCTCACCTATAACAATACACAACATCGCCTTGTTCATACATGAACCCTGTCTTCATCACCTGAAATTATTTCTGTTTCTATCGTTGATCCTTCTCTGTCTTAGATTTCTTCGACATGCTCCACCATTTGCTAACGATTCAACTTTATAAAATACTCTCCCAGATCTCTTAAGACCGCACTTAAACTACATATTGGAGCCTTCATTGTTAGAACTTTGTATCTGACAAGCCACCGGAGATGTTGTTTTAACTACGTTTTTATCACTATATCCAGACATCGATTGTCAGGTGTCGCCTATAATTTCATACTGTTCCCACCGGATCTGATTCATACATCCTAGATTAATTAATTTTGATATTAGCTGTAACATTATTGATTACTTTTTTTTATCTCTCTCTCTCTTCATTTGTCTTGTTTGCCAAGCGGGAATTCTATGCTTCAAAGTTCCAATGATTTCATTTGGCCATTTGCTTCCACACGTTTATCATCTTCTCTATTGGAACGATTAGCTGTTGCTGTACAACACAAAGAACCTGTACTACTTGTCGGTGAAACAGGAACTGGTAAAACATCTACAATTCAACGACTTGCCTATCTCACCGGTCATCGTTTAAGAGTGATCAATTTGAATCAACAATCGGATAGTGTTGATCTCATGGGAGGGTAAGTGCCTTCTCTTTCATTTTTCCTCTGTTCAAAATAAAAGATGTGCAGTTTGCCTTAAAAAAACTTATTTCCATATTTTCAAAGATGACACTTTCACATTGCTTTCTCATATATATATATTCTCATTATTACTGTTCTGATGCTGCTACTTATAGCTAGCTATTCAGTCCTAGCGGCGTCGAAATTCAATTATCGCAATACGACCCAAAATACTATTTCCAAATCTTCTATATATCAGAACGCAACACCGTTGGATGGAGTTGTTTAATAATGGGTCGAGTACAGAAGAGAGGTAGGCAGGAAGAAACAGAATCGGAATCATGAAGTCTTACAGATAGTGCTTATTTATACATTAAGGTCGAATAGGAAAGAGCATCAAAGTCTGTGACATTGACAGTTTAGGACGACGACCAATAGGAAAGAACATTTGAAATGACATTGACAATTTAGGACGACCAATCAGGGACAACATTGAAGTATTTGACTTTGACATAATTTTGACCAATAGAAATGGACCAATAGGATTATACTTCCAAAAATAGTAGTACACTTAGGATATTTGGTGAATATCCTAACAATTACTCTGGTTTTTTCTTTTGTAAATTTTAGATTTAAACCTGTAGATTTTCAAATTTTCGTTCGACCATTACGTGAAAAATTCGAATCACTTTTTACGTGTACATTTAAATTAGATAATAATTTAACTTTTCTTGGACATGTCAATGTAAGTGTTTATGCAATTATATAATCTGTCTGTCTGTCTGTCTGTTTTTTAAGAATTATTTATTATAATGAGGATATATGTTAATTCTACTGTGTACGTCTCAAATATCAATAGATGCAGGTTTGACTCAGTGATCTAGAGATTAAGCATTTGAGCACAAGATCAAACGTCCTGGGTTCGACTATCACATGCGGGGTTATAAGTGTGTACTGCTGAAGAGTTCTATCACCGATAATGCAAGCCTCACAAGTCGGGAAATGATATCTCCTCCTGTAGAGCTCAACAGATAAATCAGGCTAATGATAAAGGTCTTTTTGATTTGAGGACGTGACACCGGATACAACTACTTTAGGTTAACTTCACACAATCTGATATACTTGAGCTATTGCGGGTTTACCTAGTCAGGAAACGAGAGCGAGGATCAAGGACCTGGTGACACGACATGCTACACAAATCCGATTATCCCAACCCCCATATTTAGTAAAAATAAGGAGATGTGATATGAAGTAGAACCTGTATTCTACAAGCATCCAGAAAGTACGGGGTCCAAGTTCAGAAGAGAATCAGGATCCCGGACTAGGTATCCGGGACCGAGCCCTGGTCCTGGTCGTGGTCATAAAACGTTACAAATAATGCATATTTATACATTTTGGTCGAACAGGAAACAGCATCGAAGTTTGTGACATTGACAGTTAAGACGACCAATAGGAAGCAACATTTGAAGTGACATTAATAGTCAGGACAACCAATAAGAAACAACATTGGAGCACGTGACATTGATATCTAGGACGACCATAAAATTGACCAGTAGGAATTAACCAATATGAATTGACCAATAATTCTCTTGATATATTGGATGAATATCCTAACACAGCAGATACCTTATGACACAAGCTTTTCACCGAATATAGTTCGGCTGGGTTATCACAGCACATAAGCACAACCACCTTCAAGATGAAAACTATCTTTAAGAGGGAGAAAAACTGAAGTACCGGTAAATTTATACAATACACCTCAATGTATTACATTGAATGGTAAGAACTGTTGGCCAGTATTACAAATGCACAAAATCCAATCAAAACAATTTGAAAACCGAGACAAGAAATGCCACGTACTTTTTTGTAGTTTAATATTATAGATCGCTTATCCAAAGTCAGCCATTCAGTAGGTCATTTACAACGTAAAACTTCGTACGTCTCTAAGCATCGGTTACTATTATCTCGTGACTCCAACCGGGTAGTCTACATTTAATAACATGGCTCCCAGTCCAGTTGTCACTGACTCCATGCACTGGTGTCATGTTTTTCTTTGGCCACTGCTAAGTTTCTTCCAACCTACCTCTACATTACAAAACATCACTCGTCGAAGCAGTCTGTGTGTGGGCATACCGTAACACATGCCCTAACAATGTCAACTGATAAAGACTCACTACTTCATCAATTGATTTGCCATCCTTACTTAGTACTCGTTTCCTAACGACAGCATTGCTTACTTGATTCTCCCAATGATTCCATGCAGAATCTGTGTCATTCTACTCATATATTAATGATGTATCCTGTTATATATATATATTTTTAATGATTCTATCAATGCATATTATTCTTTCATAGACTTGTTTTCAATCTGAACGTTGGCTTGATTTAATCACTTTAATGCGTCATCCAGCTCGTGTAGCAGTTCAACGTGATTCATCACCGGTAGACACCTCTGAATGGATTAAATTTCTGCGGGATTTAACAATTTTAGAAAAACGTTTAGAAAATATAACAAAATCAAATAAACCTAGCTTAGGATTTGCTTTTATTGAAGGTGCACTTGTTCGTGCAGTACAAGATGGTGATTGGATTTTATTAGATGAAATTAATTTAGCACCAGCTGAAATGCTAGATTCACTAAGTGGTCTATTAGATTCGGAATATGGTAGTCTTGTTTTGACAGAACGTGGGTAAGTCCGTTTTTCGGCAGTGGGAATGTGTGTGTGTGTGTAGATTGGTTCTTTTGAGAAGTTATAACTGGTGGGAGTTCAAACATAGCGTGGGTGAAACATATTTTTGCCCATGATGTTAAATAATCATCACTCTAAATTGCAAATTGACTTGAATTAAAATTGTTCCACCGGATGCCGACTCAGTGGTTCTGATGGTCAAGTGTGTTTAGCGCGTATTCTAAGTTTGATCTCAGGAGGGCTGGTATGTACACACCTGTTGAAAAGTCACATAGTAAGACGAAACAGTTGCCCAATGCTCTCTGATTTGTAATTGTTATTCAACTGAAATCAACCTATGACTAATACTGTAGTGAAGGAGAACACAAGTAAGGGCAACCGAATTGTATTTAACGAAAATTACAGAGTTACTCAGTAAAATAGGAAAACCATATCGTAAACGGTTAATTTGCAAATCTTCAATCCATCATCAATCCATTGTCTGACATTTCACCATTCATGCGTTTCCTACAAATTCTATTGTGTTCCCACTCTTCTTCCTTTCTTGATCTTCCCCCATCTTCTGCTGCTAGACATTACGTTGACACTCACGTCATATGCTACTTATAAGTAGCGCGCACCACAATACTACTAATTAAAATGATTATTAGTGCCCCCCTACGGTATGTGTAGGTATGTAAATACTGACAGGTTAACCATTCTAATCATGTTGTTTAGAAAGAACATCATCCCTGATCATCTGTGTGTTGAAAGTTTTCGATCATAAGCGTCTTCAAAGTGTTATGATGTACTGTGTCCCAAATGTGTAAACACAACAGGTCTTAACTCTTCAAAGTGGTTATTGGGGTGAGAAGGGATGAGTAAAACAGAAAGTTTATTTGACTACCGAGTTATACATATAAATACTTATATGTATGTATTTCTTCCCCCTGGAAAAATGAATCCATCTTTTGGCCAGTGATGTTCATTCGTTCTTCAGGACACTAAATGGCTTTATTCGACCATTTCTGATTGGTCGACTATATCAAAAAGCGTTGCTTACGTTTGGTGAAATGATCGAGTGAGCAATATTGATGGTAGATACTGGGTACTTACCAAAAGTGGTTAACTGGTTAAGAAGGTAGTCAATTGAGATGGTTAGGGTATTTATTACATATGGCCTTTCCTTTGACGTTGAGGGTTCCTAGTGAGGACTTGTCTTGTGCGGCAGTTGGATGCTTTCCGCAATATGTGTCCTATCCACTCCCAATGCTTCTTCCTGATTTCCTTCTCCACTGGAATCTGATTTGTTCTCTCCCATAGTAGGTTGTTGCTGATGGAACCCCTCTGGGGCTAGTGCTGGTCCCAAACTCGGATAAATGAGGGTTGGGTATGGGGTCAGCAACCAGAAAAATTAATTCAGATCATTTGAACTCTGCCCTGGGAGTTAGAAGTTATTCATAACATACGGGTTACCTATCGCCGCACTTTATATTTCACAGTCTCTTAACGGAGACTGATTCATTCAAGATCGTCAGTAGTATATTTATACATTTATCGCATTTAATTGGATGGTCCGGAAGAATCGTTTATCCCCCTATTCAATTTATTCTCTCCATTTTGCATTTTTAGTGACACTGAACCATTGAAACGTCATTCCGATTTTCATTTATTCGCTGCAATGAATCCAGCTACTGATGTTGGTAAACGTGAATTACCTGTTGGATTGCGTAATCGTTTCACAGAATTCTATATTCCTGAATTAGATCCTGGTATTGATGTGAATAAATCGGAAACATTAATGATGGTGAATTTAGATTCTACACGTCATTTGGAAATGTTACGCTCAAATAATTGTGAAGATTTAATTATTTTAGCTCGTTCTTATCTAATTGCATTAAATCCAACTCCATCACAATTATCAACTATTGTACGTTTGTATTCAGCATTAAGACAAGCTGCTCTGGAAGGTTTAGTGGATGGTGTAGGTCAAAGGCCACATTTTAGGTGAGATTTTTTATTATATCGTCGCTTATATCTTTTATTTTTTACTGAGTAGTAGTAAATCACAATACCCAACATCGAAGCAGCATCCACGGACCTCCCAATTCATATTGGCGCACCTACGATTGAGGAGATCAGACAAATCAAGAGCGGCAAAGCAGCAGGACCAGACAACATTCCAGCAGAAGCAATGAAAGCAGATGTAGAAGCAAATGCGAAAATATTTCATATCCTCTTCAAGAAGATTTGGGATGAGTAACAAGTACCATCAGATTGGAAAGAAGGATACCTGATCAAAATACCAAACAAAGGCGATCTCAGCAAGTGTGAGAACTACAAAGGCATCACTCTTCTTTCAATACCAGGCAAAGTCTTCAACAGGGTATTGTTAAACAGAATGAAGGACTTCGTAGACGTCCAACTTCGAGATCAACAGGCCGGATTTCGTAAGGATCGATCGTGTACTGACCAAATTGCTACATTACGTATCATTGTGGAACATTCAATTGAATGAAACTCACCATTCTACATCAACTTCATCGACTACGAGAAAGCATTTGATAGCGTGGATAGGAAAACACTATGGAGGCTTCTTCGACAATATGGTGTGCCTGAGAAAATAGTTAACATCATACGGAATTCTTATGATGGATTCAACTGCAAAATCGTGCACGGAGGACAGCTAACAGACTCGTTCGAGGTGAAGACCGGTGTCAGGCAAGATTTCTTACTCTCACCCTTTCTCTTTCTCCCGGTGATCGATTGGATTATGAAGACGTCGACATCTAGAAAGAAGCATGGTATCAAATGGACAGCAAGAATGCAGATGGATGATCTGGACTTCGCTGGTGACTTGGCTAAACTATCGAAACACGCAGCCACATATGCAAGAGAACAAGAACAATGTGGCAGCAGCCTCTGCAGCAGCAGGTCTCAACATACATGGAGGAAAAAGCGAAATTCTCCGATAGAGCACAACATGCACCAAACAAATCACTCTTGATGGAGATGCCTTGGAGGACGTTAACACCTTTACATATCTGGGCAGCATCATCGACAACCAAGGTGGATCCGATGCAGATGTGAGGGTGCGGATTGGCAAAGCGAGGGCTGCGTTTCTACAGTTGAAAAATATCTGGAACTCCAAACAACTTTCAACCAAAACCAAAATCAGGATTTTCAATACAAATGTGAAGACAGTTCTACTGTATGGAGCGGAAACTTGAAGAACTACCAAAGTCATCATCCAGAAGATACAAGTGTTTATTAACAGTTGTCTACGCAAAATACTTCAGATTCCTTGGCCAGACACCATCAGCAACAACGTACTGTGGGAAAGAACAAACCAGATTGCAGTAGAGGAGGAAATCAGGAAGAAGCGCTGGAAGTGGATAGGACACACACTGCGGAAAGCACCCAACTGAGTCTTAAGATAAGCCCTCACTCGGAACCCTCAAGGAAAAAGGAAAAGAGGAAGGCCAAGGAACACATTACGCCGAGAAATAGAGAAAGATATGAGAGGAATGAACAAACATTGTACAGAACTGGAGAAGGAAGCCCAGGACAGAGTTGGTTGGAGAATACTGGTGGGCGGCCTATGCTCCTCGATTGGGGGTAACAGGTGTAAGTAAGTAAGTAAATCACAATGGTTACCATACTGTGGTTGGATATTTCAACCTCAATTCCTTATGACTAGACAGTATCATATGGCTTTTACACATACATGTAACGTAGATCGTATTACTTCTAACAATACTTTGTGTATAAATCATAGTGATTTGACGTTTATCCAATTGAATTTCGTACATGAAATGAAATGCTTTCAAATCTAGAGACTCTCTCCTCTTCATTTATCGGTAATAATCGTATCATCTTTTTCTCCTTTTTGGTTTCACACTGTCTCTCTGCAGTCTTCGAACATTGTGTCGAGCTTTGATTGAAGCTGGTCGTGGTTATCATGGAAGTATTTTACGTTCCTTGTATGAAGTGAGTTATTATTATTAGTTTTTTTGATTTCTGTTCAACAAATAATCTTTTCATTTACACGGTGATCATATTCTCATAGGAAGCCTAAGTTGTTAAGGAGAGTGATATAATAAATAGGCCAATCAAATATCAGCTAACTTATGAAGGTATGTGATTGGTCAAAAGTCAACATTCTTTTCTAGCGGATGTGATACATCCTATTGGGCCAAAATATGGTTTGCCTCTCTAAGAGACCTATACATATTTGTATGTACATGTATAAAATGTACGATTAATGATTGATTCGGTTGGTTAATGAAAGCTTCTTTCTCACGTGATTAATGGATTTGAATTGTGAATAAGGAAGCTTGTTTATCGGTATCAAAATCACTTATATCACACAACACAATAAACACTCGCTAAATTCGTTTTGGAATAATTTCTCAATGGAATTATGAATCGATCAGTGTTAGGCTACCATTAGAAACCTGGAAGCATTGGATGCCAGTACTCATCCCCCGACCGAAGCTGCTACCTTGACGTGGTGGTCGGGCTTGCCTATCGTCATGACCCAACCGAGCTATACTGGCTGGAACATATGTTCCTGCAGGTCCTACCATGCCAGGCAGGTCGATTGGAGAACGATGAGACTAAAAGCAGCTACCCAAGGTCTGAGGGCGAAGTCGTACTGCTGACTGCAGAGGGGTGTGACAGCAGTAAGGTGTTTCCCTCGGACAACCAGCATCTGCAGCGATGCTGCCTTCTCACAAGGAAGGAAGGGTTAGAAAAGGTCGGCCCTAAAAATGTCACACTCCCCCTAACTCACGGATTTCCGTCTCCCTGGGTAAGGGTGCCCACTAAGGGCCTTTAAGAACGGAGCTAATCCTCAAAATACCTTTCATCAAAAGGCCGTGCGTGACCGGCCTCAAGCAGTTGTCCCTTGGACTCTGCGGTCACGCACCAACACTAATCCATCTTCCTTTTCAGGTCCCTCAAGAAACAACCTTCCACGGTGTGGGCAGCCGGGAAGTGACAACCGCCCTCATACCCGTACCAGCACGCGAGACCAAATTGGTCAAAATCAAATCCTTCCTACACCCCCTAATGTCTCTCTTATCTCTACGACTAACTCTACTCACACTCCCTTTTCTCACTGCACCGCTAATGCAGACGAAGTGAGATCACGAAACGTCGTTCCTGGTCTCTTGAAACCCCGTTCTAGACTACATATTGGAGCTTTTAATGTACGGACATTGTGTCAAATAGGGCAACAGGCATCATTAGCTAGGACTTTAGAATCTCGTGCCATCGATGTATGCTGCGTCTCGGAAACGCGCATACAGGATCCTAGTAAAGTCATTAACCTGATTTCACCTTGTCAAAACGTAGAAGCAGCTCGATTTACTCTTCGTGTATCCGGTAGCCCTGATGCTGCTTCCAGGGGTCTTGCTGGGGTAGGCATAGCGTTGAGTCCTAGGGCAGAATTATCTCTCCTAGACTGGATCCCAGTAGATAGTCGTTTGTGCGCTGTCCGACTAAACGGGACAGTAAGGACTCGTAAGGATAGGGACACTCGCCGTTGCCTCTTCGTCATATCTGCCTATGCCCCCACTGACTGCAGTGCAGACGAGGTTAAAGATGAGTTTTACAGAAAGCTTTCGGACCTCCTCCAAAAAGCTAGGCGCTCTGATATAGTAATAATGGCTGGTGACTTTAATGCTCAAGTAGGTAGACTAGGTGAAAAGGAAAGACATCTTGGTGGATGTTATGGTGTAGCGACTGAGAGAACAGACAATGGAGACCGTCTGTTGCAACTATGCTCAGATAACCGCCTATTCTTAGCGAACACCAACTTTAGGCATAAGGAAAAGCATCTGCTGACCTGGCGACCTCCAAAGTCGTCTCAACGTTGGACTCAACTAGATCACATCGCCATCAGTCACCGATGGAGTGGTTCGATAGAAGACTGTCGCTCGTTCTGGGGCACATGTTTGGATTCAGATCATGCTCTAGTGCGAGCTCGTATCTGTTTAAGGCTTACTGGGCGTAGGAAAGACACCGTAAGAAAGCCTCTCAGGGTTTTACTTAATGATAATCAAACCAAGAAAATATTTCAGGAGGAACTAGGAAGAGAGTTATGCAACGATGTAAGTGATTCCCATCCAGAAGCAGGTTGGTATGATATCAAAAAGGCTGTGGAAACAGCAGTGATATCTGCTAGTAAGGTAAACCATAAGGCTAAGATGAAGCCGTGGATATCAGTCGCATCCACCGAACTGATGGATGCTCGAAAACGCATCCCACCTGACTCTGAGCATGATGAAGAGCGTAGTCAGCTTAGGCGTAGACTTATAAAAAGTCTGCGTAACGACCGCGAACAGTGGTGGGTGGCGAAAGCAAAAGCGATGGAAAAGGCAGCGGCGATCGGCAACAGTAGACAACTTTTCCGCCTTATTAAAGAAACTGGTATTAAGAACCCGAATGTGAGTGAGACTATCTCGGAAAAGGATGGTCTTATTATCCATTCTCAATCCAGGAGACTGGATCGATGGGCAGAACACTTTAGGGATCAGTTCAACTGGCCACGAGCCACTCTTCGGTTACCCACGATCTCCAGTCATCCTGAATGGCAAATCGACCTAAGTCCCCCTAGTCTTGATGACGTTGAGAAAGCGTTAGGAAATCTGAAACGAGGACGAGCTGCAGGTCCTGATAGACTGACCCCTGAGATATTTAAGGATGGTGGTCCAGTTTTAGCAGCTAGGTTGACTGAGATCTTAGGTAGAATCTGGGAACTGGACGTAATCCCATCCGACTGGTCTCAATCACTGATTATCCCAATCTATAAGAAAGGACAAAAGTCTTCTTGTGACAATCACAGGGGAATAAGTCTAACTAATATAGTATCTAAAATACTGGCCTCAATAATACTTCGACGCTTAACGAAAGCTCGGGAAGAGCAGACTCGAGAAAACCAATCTGGTTTTCGACCTAAACGTGGCTGTACAGACCACATTTTCACACTCAGACAGGTCCTGGAACATAGACACACATTTAGGCGTCCTACAATAGTTGTTTTCCTAGACCTTAAGGCTGCATTTGACTCAGTGGATCGTGAGGTTCTGTGGCAGTGTCTGTCATTGAAAGGTGTACCACAGAAGTACATTAACCTTATACAAGCTCTTTACTCGAACACCACTGGTCGAGTGAGGGCTTATGGCGAACTGTCAACGGAATTCTCTACATCAAGTGGTGTCCGTCAGGGATGTCCACTTTCTCCATTCTTGTTTAATTTTATCATAGACATGCTCCTAGACATAACATTATCCTCGTCTGAATTTTCAGGAGTAGAACTTCTACCAGGTGGCTCGCTGATTGACTTAGAATATGCCGATGACATTGTCCTACTTGGTGAAGACGCTGACAAAATGCAGAGTCTTCTGACTACCCTAAGCAACAATGCAAGCATGTTCGGGTTGCGATTTTCCCCCTCGAAATGCAAAATGTTGCTTCAAGACTGGGTTGCATCGGCACCTGAACTAATGATAGGGAGTGAAGTAGTCGAACGTGTAGACCGCTTCACTTATCTTGGGAGTCTCATCAGTGCCGATGGCCTGGTGACTGACGAAATCTCAGCACGGATACAGAAGGCTCGATTGGCTTTTGCCAACCTGCGTCACTTATGGCGTAGGCGAGATATCCGTTTGCTGACTAAAGGACGAGTGTACTGCGCAGTAGTTCGCTCCGTCTTACTTTATGGCTGTGAAACATGGCCAGTGAGAGTAGAAGATATTCGTAGGTTAATGGTTTTCGATCATAGGTGTCTTCGAAGCATTGCTCGTATATCGTGGGACACCCGAGTGAGCAACGCTGTTATTAGGAATCGGGTGCTAGGTAAGAATGGCAGATCGATAGATGAAGTATTGAAACTTCACCAGTTGAGGTGGTTGGGACTTGTGTTGCGTATGCCGAACCACCGGCTGCCTCGTCGAGCCTTGTTTTGTAGTGTAGGAATAGGTTGGAAGAAAGTTAGGGGCGGCCAAACCAAAACATGGCAGAAATCCATGAAGTCATTGACTAGTGGACTGAGCCATGTTGGTAATTGTCGACTACCTGGTTGGGGTCCGCGAGATGGTAATAATCGATGGTTAGAGACCTTGAATGACATGGCTCAAAATCGTTCGCAATGGCGCCGGTGCATTTATTCTCTGTGTTCTCTCAAATCCTAATCTTCTGGATTCTTCAACACCTCAAGTTTTTACTTTCTAAACTTATCTCACTGAATCATACTGCTTGAATAATATCTTCTAATCCTAACCTCTCCGATTATTTCTAATTCCCTTACTACCTCTTCTACTATTGGATTTGAATTGACGATTACTTCTCTGTGCTGATGTGGTATGGCAACATGAACTGATGTACTTATGTACGAAGGTCTACGTTGCATCTGACTGACTGACTGACCAGTACTCATCCACCACTATCTTGCAAGCAGTGATCAAACACAGATCTTTCGATCTTGTGCATGAACGCTTAATATTTAGACCATTGAGCCGGCGTCAGACGATGTGAATATCTAACTTCAACCAGTCAGTGATGTCGAGGTTAGCCATGCACATCGTGGAATACCGGCTTGGTGACCTAGAGCTGAAGTGACGGCGTGCGGCGTTCGTCAGTGTACACTGCTGATGAGTCCCATACTAGAACGAAACATCCATTCATTGCTTTCAGGTTTCTATGATGATAGTCTAACATTAATCAGTTCATAAGTTCGATGAAATATATTTTGATCTTTACAACAATTGATCTTTGTTTGTTTTTTCTTGCGTTACAGGGTTTACTTTTCAGTTTCGGTTCACAAATCTGTCGAACATCACGTCCAATTTTAGATAATTTAATTCAACGTTATTTATGCACTGGTTGGAATAAAGATTTGTCATCTTTAATACATTTACTGAACACACCATTGCCTATACCTCAATTAAACAATGTTCTAGTTAGTATTAATGATAACGCTAAAAATTCAACTAATCAATGTTCCACAGATTATTTTGTCAATGTTGAAGGATATTGGTTACCGAAAGGTTCACAACAACCAATATCGATTGAGAATAAAGATGAATTACCTGGGAATTATATTTTAACACCAAGTGTTCAATTGAATTTAAAAGATTTAGCACGTGTTGTCTCTGCAGGGTATGTTCATCTCTGTTTGAATTTGTTATTGTTATTTTAATCAATGGGTACAGTGTAAATTTTGTGACATAAATCTTCTTTTCTCATTACTACATGAATTAAATTTGATATTATTTTCACAGTTGAAATTGTGCATTAGTATTTGCCATACACTGTCATTGGAAACATTGAAGCGATTTAGTGTAAGTCTTCTCAGCGGTAATCATCCATGACCTCGCACTTCTACATGACCAGTCAGAGTAGAACTTATTCGCAGGTTATTAGTATTCGATTATAGATATCTTCGAAGCATTGCTCATATATTCTGGGACAAGCGAGTAAGCAATGCTATAGTTAAGAAACGAGTACTAAGCAGCGATGACAAATCAATAGATGAAGTATTGAAACTTCATCAGTTGAGGTGGTTGGGACATGTGTTGCGTATGTCTAACCATCGACTGCCTCGTCGAGCTATGTTTTGTGGTGTAGGAGTAGGTTGGAAGATAGCTAGGGGCGGCCAACAAACCAAAAACATGGCAGAAATCCATGAAGTCACTGACAAGTGGACTGAGTCATGTTGGGAGATGTAGGCCATCTGGTTGAGGTCCGCCAGACGATAGTCACCGATGGTTAGAGACCTTGAGTGACATGGCTCAGAATCGTTTGCATTGGCGCAAGTGCATCGATTTGTTGTGCTCTCTCAAATCCTAATCTTCTGGAATCGTCAGCACCTCTACCTTTGTCTTTCTAACCTTATCTCACTGAATAATATCTTCAAACCATAGTCTTCTTCATTACCATTAATATCTCTACTGTCTTTATCACTATGGGATTTGATTTGACATTTACATCTCTGTGCTAATGTGGTTTGGCAACATGAACTTATGTACATACGTACGAAGTTCTACGGTGCAACTGACTGACTGGCGTACGAAGTTCTACATTACAATTGACTGACTGACTGACCTCGTACTCAGAATTCGCGTCTAGGACTTTTCGTCTCGCCAAAATAGAGTGTTCCAAGGTTATTTACGCCTTTATTGTATCACCTAAAGATTATCAATTGATCAATGCAATATAATTAAAATCTCAAACCTCAATAGACTTGGATTATATGTTATCATCCTGTATCTTGATAAAAAAAAGAATACTAATAATCACTGAGATTTGAAAAAACGCTAAATAATAAAAATGTTCAAACCATCAGTCAATTAAACCCATTTTAGGATCAATCAAAGAGACTGTATACTCACACCGATTACGTATCTGTCTCATAAATTAGAAGACTGCACATAATTGTGTTGTTTGATTGATGAAACACTGAAACCATGTACAACAAAATATCAAAAGTAAAGTATAATTCATAAAAAAGGTGATAGTATACAGAAGGGAAGATTATAACTTAAGCGGTAGAAATACATCATTTTCAAATCGAAAGAATCACATATGAGTTGTGATAGGTATGACATATGTTCACGTCACCAAAATGACTTAAGATAATTCAAACTACTGATAATTTATAAGTAGTATAACTAGTTTATAGAAAAATCAAGTGATAAACTTATCGATTCCACTATATTTCTGATTCAATGCGCTAAAGCCCTAACTTATATATACCCTTGTTCTGTTTAATTTTTAAATCTCAATATTGTTTCTAATAATATTTATTTCAATCTATATATATATATATATATTTCCTCCCATTGTCAATTAGTGGTGGTCTTCCAGTTTTATTACAAGGTGAAACATCTGTTGGTAAAACATCACTTATAACATATTTAGCTAAACGTGTTGGTCAAGTCTGTTTTCGTATTAATAATCATGAACATACAGATCAACAAACCTATTTAGGAACATATACAGTTGCATCAGCTGCATGTACAACAACCACAAATACTGATAATCATGATAAAACATTGAATAAAACATGTACACCGCTAGTTTTCAAAGATGGTCTATTAGTAAAAGCTATGCGTCACGGTTATTGGATAATATTAGATGAATTGAATTTAGCACCAACAGAAATATTGGAAGCTTTAAATAGGGTAAGTTGATTTTTGTGGAAATGGGTAGATTGAGCATAATTGGTTGACTGACTGACTGACTGGTGTATCTCTGACTGTGTTGAAACTATTATCTTAATTTTTGTTTCTAAATGTTGAACAGCAATTAAGTTAGTGCAAACTTAGGTTGGAAGAAAGCTAGGGGCGGCCAAACCAAAACATGGCAGAAATCCATGAAGTCATTGACGAGTGGACTGAGTCATGTCGGTAGTTGTCGACTACCTGGTTGGGGTGCGCGAGATGGAAGTAATCGATGGTTAGAGACCTTGAATGACATTGCTCAGAATTGTTTGCAGTGGCGCCGGTGCATTTATGCTATGTGTTCTCTCAAATCCTAATCTTCTGGGGTCTTCAACACTTCTAGTTTTGACTTTCTAAACTTTTCTCACTGAATCATATTTCTTGAATAATATGTTCTAATCCTAACCTCTCCGATTACTCCTAATACCTTTACTAACTATTCTACTACTGAATTTGAGTTGACAATTACATGTTTCTGTGCTGATGTGGTATGACAACATGAACTGATGTACTTACGTACAAAGTTCTACGTTGCATCTGACTGACTAACTGACTGACTGACTGACAGTAACTCACTAGAGTATTGTACGTTTGTAAGTACGTGCATGAGTTTAATTTGGTATTCTTCAATTTACATAGAGAGATGAAGTAGTCCAGTGAAATCTCAGAGTAGTAGTGGTATTAACAGCATTAGTGATAGTAGAATAGTTAGATCACTGAATTAATAGAAGGTTTTGATTAGTTCAGAATTTGTGGGGAAAAAACAACGTATGGATGCATCTTTCACCATTACAAATAATTTGGAGCGATGTTATTCAAAGTCGCTAGCCACTTGTTACAATCATCATGCATGCCCCTATTCATGTAATCTGCACGTGAGAAGATGGTTTAGTTAAATTATCAGTGACTTCATGAACTGGTATCATGTTTTGGTTTCAGCAGCTCCTTCCAGCCTCCTGTCGTACACGAAAACTAAGTCACTCTCATCAAGGCAGGTGCTAGTTGAACTTATGTAACATATGGCCTAACTATCCCGGATGATAAACTAACCAAGTTCTACTAAATTTGTAAAGCAGCTAATTGTCAGGTTATAATGTTATGATTAATTGCTGTAATTATTTATTAAGCACCGTTTTAAATTCTAGTACATAATTGTGATGTCAAAAAAGTGTCACTTGTTGTAGAGCTTGATATAATATTTTTTTGATTATGGATACCTTAGAGGAGAGATGGTTAGCCCTGTGTTTGTTTTAAATGATTGTGTTATACTCATCAATTGATTTGCTTGAAACTATTACGAGTTCACTTTAGTCGGTAAATGACAGCGAAGATAAATGATCTAGTGACACGATAGTCTACTCTAATCTGAGTGTCCCACGGACCCAAATAAGTAGATGAAGAAGTCTTGACAAGACATAGAAAGTGTATTCTACATGCACTCAGAAAATCAAGGTTGACAAATTAAGTTTATTTATGCATGATAGAAAGTTTTTTGGGAGAGCCACAAAATAGCTTACTAAAATGAAACATCAACCAATGACAGTCAAGGATTTTCCGAGTGGGAATTGTAATCTCAAGGTCAACCGATCAGGACCTCTATCAAGTGAGATCTGGGGATCTAACGTCCCCAACAGATTGAATATAACAAAAGATTCATTTCTGTAATTCAATTATTTTAGAGCTGTCTAGAAGAGTTCATTATCCCTTTCTACATCAAAATGAAATTTATAGTATGTTATTCATCTGACCAGATAACAGGTTTCATAACTTTAAAAACTATTCATTGATGATGAGTTTACACATGATTGTGAATTGATCGAAGTTGGACATTCAGATCATCGGATGCTGGTTTAATAGTCTGGATTTGTTGTAACGCTTGCTTAGATAATTCGCAGCTAAATCTTATTGCTTAGTATTCTCTGACCACAATACACTGGACAAGTTCCCAAGAATCAAAAACACGGTAGAACAGGAAAAGATTATATTCCAAATAGTAAGGTTAAATGGAAATAAGAAGCCAGAGGTGATGGCGAAGGCGAAGACAAAAAGTAGATACAACGTTAGTCTATTTATAGCATTTACATGGAAAGCTTCTGGATAAAAATTCACGTGATCGACTGGATCAGATTTAACCAATCAGCACGCAGCTAACAATACGAGAATCTTCTACCCTGTTCTCCAAGATTCGATCAGGCGCTGATTGGATAGGAAATTAGCCAATCAGCACGCAGCAACGTAGTCATGCTTTAATTCCATCTATGTCCCACTAACAGGATTTTAAGCATTCACGCTAATGACCTATAGTCGTGGGTTCGATTCTTGAAAGCGAGGTTCGTTAATGCTTGCTACTGACGAGTTCCATACTGTAACCAAACAGTCAACCAGTACTTCCAGGTTTCTAATAGTGGTCTAACATTAATCGACTCTTTATTTCAAAATAACTCAACAATCTCCACAACCTTATAATGAGGATATTCTAGGTGATGTAATCCTCAGTCCATTCCCCCCTTCTCACGTCAGTTCCTAAAGCTAGCTAGTTTGCACTCTGTTCCAGGTCCATATCGACTCTAAGGAATTGTCTTTTGTCGATATTCAATGAATCGTTGTTAGAAATAATTCACTGTATATTTGTAGTGCAGTTTCTTGCACACTCTGTGGTTGTTGATTTATCCTTTAGTATTTTAGTAATTACTACTCATATATTCTTATATATGTTGTATTCTAGGTTTTAGATGACAATCGTTCTGTATTTATCACTGAAACACAAGAAACAGTGAAAGCACATCCACATTTTCGATTATTTGCTACACAAAATCCACCAGGTCTTTATGCTGGTCGAAAGGTATGTTATTTTCAAACTTGATGATTTACTCAATATACGATTTATTTTAAAGTTGGATTATGTTAAACTTTTGATGTGATTCTAGGTGAAACTATATATCAATCTATCAGAATTGTCTTAGTTTAATTGATTGATTTAAGTGTTGTAGTTAGTGGGTGACATAATCAAATTGTGTTTTACAGACTAGTATTGTTTTACTATGTTTCAAGTATAAAGTTTCGATAGTTAAACTGTTCAATTTTATTGCTTTGTAAGTGGTATATGTTTGAAAGTTGTAACGCTTGCTTAGATAATTCGCAGCTAAATCCTATTGCTTAGTATTCTCTGACCACACAATACACTGGACAAGTTCCCAAGAATCAAAAACACGGTAGAACAGGAAAAGATTATATTCCAAATAGTAAGGTTAAATGGAATAAGAAGCCAGAGGTGATGGCGAAGGCGAAGGCAAACGCAAAAGTAGATACAACGTTAGTCTATTTATAGCATTTACATGGAAAGCTTCTGGATAAAAATTCACGTGATCGACTGTATTATATTTAACCAATCACCACGCATCTATCAATACGAGAATCTTCTACCCTGTTCTCAAAGATTCGATCAGGCGCTGATCGGATAGGAAATTAGCCAATCAGCACGCAGCAACGTAGTCATGCTTTAATTCCATCTATGTCCCACTAACAGAAAGGGATTTCTTATCATACATAATTTTCGGTTGAATTATTTTCTTCTGGTTAGCGGTTTTTTTTGCGAATTTGTTTTCTACGAGATGGGGTGGCTAACCCCTACGCCTAACCCTTCTCCTTTATCCCAGGCTTGGGATCGGCAGTAGCCCCAGAGGGGACTGCAGTCGGAGTTATTTTATTTCGTACTGATTTCTATTTTTTCAATAGAAATATATCGTTTTACTCTGATCTGATTACTTGCATTTTCGTTGGACTATTAGTTTCAAACAATCAGTCAGCAACAGCTTAGAACTTCGTACATACGTACATTAGTTTAAGTTGCTGTATATCACATTACCACACACACAGAGATGCAATTGTCAATTCAAATCGTATAGTGATAGATGTAGTAGAAGTATTAGTGGGCTATAAGTTTACCCGAAGTTTGTTGCATTGTTTCAATCGATTTCATTACTTAAGACAAAACTTATCAGGCGATCCATTTTATGATTCAGTGGATGCCGGCCGAGTGGTCCAGAGGTTAGGCGTTTGCGCGCAAGACCGAAGGTCCTGGGTTCGAATCCTGCGAGATGCAGGAGTTGTGTGTGCGTACTGCTACCGATGACGAAATGGCCGTCAACCAGTGCTTCCAGGTTTCTCATAGTGATGGTCTAATAATGATTGATTGATGATTTCAATGTGCGGAAAACACTAATCTCGATAATTCTATAATGAAAAATAATAATAATAATCTCGTTACTTGATAATTTTAGAAAAATAAAATGTCACATACTGATAGACCATTGATTAATTCTAAGAGTTCCCATCCATCTCAATTTCCATTCTGATTTAACACAGTACTGTTATAATGCTGCTACGTAGCTTTTCAAATCCTATCGACGGCCGAATTCAAATATTCCAGTACGACCCAAATTCTATCCCTAAATCTCCCATATATCAGAACGCAACACCGTTGGATGGAGTTGTTTATTGGGTCGAGTACAGAAAAGAGGTAGACAGGAAGAAACGGAATCGGAATCATGAAGTCTTACAGATAGTGCGTATCTATACATTTAGGTCGAATAGGAAAGAGCATCAAATTCTGTGACATTGACAGTTTAGGACGACAACCAATAGGAAAGAACATTTGAAATGACATTGACTGTCCGAATGACTACCAATCAGAGACAACATTGAAGTATTTGACTTTGACAGTTAAAACGACCATATTTTCGACCAATAGGATTATACTTCCAAAAATAGTACTCTTAGGATATTTGGCGAATATCCTAACAAGTACGCTAAAAAGTTTTTTAAAAAAATATAATTCAAGCATGCATTGTTTTTTCCATTTTATATTTTGTGGCTTTCCTTCGCTGAAGATGCTTTCACGTGCATTGCGTAATCGTTTCATTGAATTGCATTTTGATACAATACCTCGTGATGAATTGGTAATCATTTTAGAGAAAAAGTGTTTACTACCGTCTAGCAGGGCACAACGTCTTGTTGAAGTAATGCATCGTCTTCAGGTAAAAATTATTTTTAATTTTCGCTCTTGAATATTGGTTTTTTTTCTGTTTTGATGTTCTAGTTTTCTCTACACAACTGAAATGATTAGGTTAATGCAACGAATGACTCAGTCAGTCAGTCAGTCGGTCAGTCAGATGCAATGTAGAACTTCGTACATAAGTACATCAGTTCATGTTGCCATATCACATCAGCACAGAGATGTAATTGTCAATTTAAATCCAATAGTAGAAGAGGTAGTAAAGGTATCAGAAGTAATCGAAGAGATTAGGATTAGAAGATATTACTCAAGAAGTATGATTCAGTGAGAAAAGTTTAGAAAGTTAAATCTAGAGGTGTTGAAGAATCCAGAAGATTAGGATTTGAGAAAACACAGAGAATAAATGCACCTGTGCGATTGCAAACGGTTTAGAGCCATGTCATTCAGGGTCCCTAACCATCGATTATTATCATCTCGCGGACCCCAACCAGGTAGTCGACAATTACCGACATGGCTAAGTCCACTTGTCAATGACTTCATGAATGACTAGACGGGCATTTAATTATTGCACTCCGAAATCACGCTTTACTCTTTGGGAATCCCAGTTTCAGAAATGGAATATTCTCTCTCTGACACTTACGGTGACTAATGTTAATGAGTTGAAAACTTCTGTTGATTCAATATTATTCATTATGAGGTAGTGATTAGGCTTGAATCCTGTTTTATAATGTTTTATTGTTTAAAGCTTTCTAATATCAATAAACTATTCATTCCATGTTGACTAAACTCTCTACCTTCTTGTGATAGAAATGTTGTTTACGCAATTGAGTCCCGACCGAAGCTGCTACCTTGACGTGGTGGTCGGGCTTGCCTATCGTGATGACCCAACCGAGCTATACTGGCTGGAACACATGTTCCTGCAGGTCCTACCATGCCAGGCAGGTCGATTGGAGAACGATGAGACTAAAAGCAGCTACCCAAGGTCTGAGGGCGAAGTCGTACTGCTGACTGCAGAGGGGTGTGACAGCAGTAAGGTGTTTCCCTCGGACAACCAGCATCTGCAGCGATGCTGCCTTCTCACAAGGAAGGAAGGGTTAGAAAAGGTCGGCCCTAAAAATGTCACACCTCCCCTACCTCACGGATTTCCGTCTCCTTGGGTAAGGGTGCCCACTAGGGCCTTTAAGAACGGAGCTAATCCTCTAAATACCTCTCATAAAAAGGCCGTGCGTGACCGGCCTGAAGCAGTTGTCCCTTGGACTCTGCGGTCACGCACCAACACTAATCCATCTTCCTTTTCAGGTTCGTCAAGAAACAACCTTCCACGGTGTGGGCAGCCGGGAAGTGATAACCGCCCTCATACCCGCAACAGTACACGAGACCAAATTGTTCAAAATCAAATCCTTCCTACATTCCCTAATACCTCTCTTATCTCCACAACTAACTCTTCTCACATTCATTTATTACAGTGCACAGCTAATGCAAACGATGCGAGTTTGCGAAACGTCGTTCCTGGTCTCCTTAAACCCCGTTCCAAACTACATGTTGGAGCATTCAATGTACGGACATTGTGTCAAATAGGGCAACAGGCGTCATTAGCTAGGACTTTAGAATCTCGTTCCATCGATGTGTGCTGCGTCTCGGAAACGCGCATACAGGATCCGAGTCGCGTCATACACTTGGCCACACCATGTCAAGATAAAGAAGCAGCTCGATTTACCCTTCGTGTATCCGGTAGCCCTGATGCTGCTTCTAGGGGCCTCGCCGGTGTAGGTATAGCATTGAGTCGTAGGGCAGAACAATCTCTCCTTGACTGGATCCCTGTAGATAGTCGCTTGTGCGCCGTCCGACTAAACGGGACAGTAAGGACTCGGAAAGATAGGGACACTCGCCGTTGCCTCTTCGTCATATCAGCCTACGCCCCCACTGACTGCAGCCCAGATGATGTAAAAGATGAGTTTTACAGAAAGCTTTCGGACCTCCTCCAAAAAGTTAAGCGCTCTGATATAGTTATAATGGCTGGTGACTTCAATGCACAAGTAGGTAGACTAAGTGAAAATGAAAGACACCTAGGTGGATGTTACGGTCTCGCGGCTCAAAGAACAGACAATGGCGACCGTCTGTTGCAACTGTGCTCAGATAACCAACTATTTCTAGCAAACACTAATTTTAAGCATAAGGAAAAACACCTTTTGACCTGGCGACCCCCGAAGTCGTCTCAACGTTGGACACAACTAGATCATATCGCCATCAGCCACCGATGGAGGGGTTCGATAGAGGACTGTCGCTCGTTCTGGGGCACATGTTTAGATTCAGATCATGCCCTAGTGCGAGCTCGTATCTGTTTGAGGCTTGCTGGACGTAGGAAAGACACCGTAAGGAAGCCTCTTAGGGCTTTACTTGATGATAATCAAGCTAAGAAAATATTTCAGGAGGAACTAGAAAAACAGTTGGGCGATCATGCAAGTGATTCCCATCCGGAGTCAGGTTGGAATGATATAAAGAATGCTGTGGAAACAGCAGTGATATCTGCTAGCAAGGTAAACCATAAGGCTAGGATGAAGCCGTGGATTTCAGTCGCATCCACGGAACTGATGGATGCTCGAAAACGCATCCCACCTGACTCTGAACATGATGAAGAGCGTAGTCAGCTTAGGCGCAGACTTATAAAAAGCCTACGTAACGACCGTGAACAGTGGTGGGTGGCGAAAGCAAAAGCGATGGAGAAGGCAGCGGCGATCGGCAACACTAGACAACTTTTCCGCCTTATCAAAGAAACCGGTATTAGGAACCCGAATGTAAGTGAGACTATCTCGGAAAAGGATGGTCTTATTATCCATTCTCAATCTAGGAGGCTGGACCGATGGGCAGAACACTTTAGGGATCAGTTCAACTGGCCTTCAGCCGCTCTTCGGTTGCCCACGATCTCCAGTCATCTCGAATGGCAAATCGATTTAAGTCCTCCCAGTTTACATGAAGTTGAGAAAGCTATAGGAAATCTAAGGAGAGGTAGAGCGGCAGGTCCCGATAGGCTTACCCCTGAGATGTTTAAGGATGGTGGTCCAGTTTTAACGGTTAGACTGACCGAGATCCTAGGTAGAATCTGGGAAATGGACGTAATCCCATCTGACTGGTCTCAGTCACTAATTGTTCCAATCTACAAGAAAGGACAGAAGTCCTCTTGTGACAATCACAGGGGAATAAGTCTAACTAATATAGTTTCTAAATTGTTAGCCTCGATTATACTTAGACGTCTAACTAGAGCTCGCGAAGAGCAGACTCGAGAAAACCAATCTGGTTTTCGACCTGGACGTGGTTGTATAGACCACATCTTCACACTACGACAGGTCCTGGAACACAGACACACATTTAGACGTCCTACAATAGTCGTGTTCCTGGACCTTAAGGCGGCATTCGACTCAGTGGATCGTGAGGTTCTGTGGCAGTGTCTGTCATTGAAAGGTGTACCAAAGAAGTACATTAACCTTATACAAGCACTCTACTCGAACACCACTGGTCGGGTGAGAGCATATGGCGAACTGTCATCTGAATTCTCTACATCAAGTGGTGTCCGTCAGGGATGTCCTCTCTCTCCATTCTTGTTCAACTTTGTCGTAGACATCCTCTTAGAGTTAACATTAAGCTCGTCAGATTTTTCAGGGGTTGACCTTCTACCAGGAAAGTCGCTTACTGATCTAGAATATGCCGATGACATAGTTCTGTTCGGTGAAGACGCTGACAAAATGCAGAGTCTTCTGACTACCATAAGCAACAATGCGAGCATGTTCGGGATGCGGTTTTCCCCCTCGAAATGCAAAATGTTGCTTCAAGACTGGGTTGCTTCGGCACCTGAACTAGTGATAGGGAGTGAAGTAGTCGAGCGTGTAGATCACTTCACTTATCTGGGGAGTCTGATCAGTGCTGACGGTCTGGTGACTGACGAAATCTCAGCTCGGATACAGAAAGCTCGATTGGCTTTTGCGAACCTGCGTCACTTATGGCGTAGGCGTGATATCCGTTCGCTAACCAAAGGGCGGGTGTACTGCGCAGCAGTTCGTTCCGTTCTCTTATATGGCTGTGAAACATGGCCGTTAAGAGTAGAAGATGTTCGTAGGTTACTAGTATTCGATCATAGATGTTTAAGAAGGATTGCTCGTATACCGTGGGACGGCCGAGTAAGCAATGCTGTCGTTAGGAAACGAGTACTAGGTAAGGATGGCAGATCAATAGATGAAGTGGTGAAACTTCATCAGTTGAGGTGGTTGGGACATGTGTTACGTATGCCTAACCACCGACTGCCTCGACGAGCTATGTTTTGTGGTGTAGGAGTAGGTTGGAAGAAAGTTAGGGGCGGCCAGACCAAAACATGGCAGAAATCCATGAAGTCACTGACAAGTGGACTGAGTCATGTTGGTAGATGTAGGCTACCTGGTTGGGGTCCGAGAGACGAAAGTCATCAATGGTTAGAGACCTTGAACGATATGGCTCAAAATCGTTTGCAATGGCGCAGGTGCATCCACTCTTTGAGCTCTCTCAAATCCTAATCTTCTGGATTAGCCAGCACTTCTACCTTTGTCTTTCTAACCTTATCTCACTGAATTATATTTTTTGAATAATATCTTAAACCCTAGTCTTCTTTATTATAACATTAATACCTCTACTATCTTTATCACTATGGGATTTGATTTGACATTTGCGTCTCTGTGCTAATAATGTGGTATGGCAACATGAACTTATGTACATACGTACGAAGTTCCACGTTGCAACTGACTGACTGACTGACGCAATTGAGTGGCCGAACAACCAAGTTGATGGGAGCAATCTAATAAAAGGGTGTTGAATAACATTTATTTCGAGTTAATTGTGCACATGAATCAACTATCCTGATAAGCTGAATGCCTTATGAATATATTGTCAGTGACCGGCTGTCATGGAACTGGTTATCCTGGTATTGCTCCATTGTCTTGTGGATTAGCCATTTGGGTCAAAGGCTCAGACTGTAGTGCCCTACGGAAATCATGATGATCACAATGATAAAAACATATTTTTTCTTTGAATACAGTTTCATGTAGTGAAACAAATTACATCATGTATACAATAAATGCGCACTGCTGATGAGTCCCATACCGGGACGAAACGGCTGTCCAGTACTTCCAGGTTTCTAATGGTGGTCTAAAATTGATTGATTCATGATTTCAAATGTGTAACTTAGTCTTCACATCCTCGTAATGCAATTACCTGTGCTCACTAGTGACTAGCTTCGTGAGGAATGTTCTCCGAGTTCTAGTGGGAAGTCGTGATCAATGAATTTCATCTTGTTTGGGTGTAAACATTAACTATCGAAGACAGTTTATGAAGTTGCGCAACTCCGTGAATTGATCGAAGTTAGACATTAACACCGTTAGATACCGACCGGCTCAGTGGTCCAGAGTTTAGGCGTTCGCGCGCAAGACGTAAGGTCCTGAGTTTGAACCCAGCGAGGTGCAGGAGTTGTCATTGCTCACTGACGATGAGTCCTATACCAGGACGTAACTGCCGTCAGCCAGTGCTTTCAGGTTTCTAATGGTGGTCTAACACTGATCAATTCATGATTTCAATTAGATATATAGGATGAATCGTCAAAATATCATTGTGTTTTTGGCATTGATTGACTCAATTCTTGTTTCCTGATTGATTTCAATGATCAACTAACTGTCTGTCTGTTTGTTTTTTTCTCCCCAACTAAATCATTCCTATTCTTAGCTTGCTCGTTGTAGTTCAAATTTATTTCAAGGTAAAGATAGTTTTATTACACTGCGTGATTTATTCCGTTGGGCTGAACGTTATCGATTAGCTACATGTGATAAATTGACAATGAAACAAACTACTACTACGACTACTACTACTACTAATCAGAAAATCACTGAACCACAAACCGTCTTTTTCGATTGGGATGCATATCTCGCTGATCAAGGTTATTTATTATTAGCTGGTCGTGTACGTAATCCAGCAGAAGTGCAAATTGTTGCCGATGTTATTGAAAGTGTTTTTAAACGTAAAGTCACTGAATCACGGTAATTTTTTAAAATTTTCTGTCAGTTCGAGTTTGGTTGTGGTTTTATGCTCTTAAAAACTGTTCTAATTTTATGTTAAATTTACCAAACCATAGTAGTAATCAGTCTTTGTTTGGTGTACGTACGTCACGTACATATACACTTGTCAAGGCAAGTTCAAAGAAAGCATAATGTGTTCATTGTAGGAATAAAGGAGAATAGAAATTGTCACATTACTCTTAGGCCATGCAATTAACTTAAAAATTACCAAGTTCAATTCAAAGTTTACGACAAATCGTTTCTGTACACACATAAGGAAGGTTTAAATTTAAGAATAACCAAGGCTTCTCTAAATCCTACGATTCATCTTTAAACATATCTATACAACTCTTGAAAGGGTTGTCTTGATATCAATCCTATACCCCATCTCGATTATGTGTTTTGCTATCAATGTACATGGTTTCCTATTTTATTCCCACGTTTATCGAGCCATTTGATGTTAACATGTTCCATAAACTCCTGGGCTTCTCTCTCCAGTTCTGTCCAATGTTTGTTCATTATTCTCATGTCGTTCCTTGTAAACTGATAAATGCAATAGGATGTGATGTAATCGCTTGAGTAATGTATTGAGTAGGTCTGCATGGTATCATGGGCTTCGCCTTTTCAATTATAATCAATTTAACAGTATAGTATAGTAATCTCTGTCTTCAGTTTAAACCATTTAATTCAGTCAGTCAGTCAGTCAGATGCAATGTAGAACTTTGTACGTAAGTACATCAGTTCATGTTGCAATACCTTATCAGCACAGAGTGCAGTGAGAAAAAGGACTGTGAGTAGAGTTCGTTGTGGAGAGAAGAGATGTATTAGGGGGTGTAGGAAGGATTTGATTCTGACCAATTTGGTCTCGTGTGTTGTTACGGGTATGAGGACGGTTGTCACTTCCCGGCTGCCCACACCGTGGAAGGGTGTATTTTGAGGGACCTGAAAATTAAGATAGATTTGTGTTGGTCTTGGAGACCTGGGAGTGTGACCGCAGAGCCCAAGGGACAACTGCTTGAGGCCGGTCACGCACGGTTTTATGATGAAAGGTTTTTGAGGATTAGCCCCGCTCTTTAAAGCCCTTAGTGGGCACCCTTACCGTCGGAGACGGAAATCCGTGAGGTACAGTGAGGTGTGACATTTTCAGGGTCGACCTTTTCTAACCCTTCCTTCCTTGTGTGAAGGCAGCATCGCTGCAGATGCTTGTTGTCCGAGGGAAACCACTTACTGCTGTCACACCCCTCCACAGTCAGTCAGCAGTACAACTTCGCTCTCAGATCTTGAGTAGCTGCTTTTAGTTTCATCGTTCTCCATTCGACCTGCCTGGCATGGTAGAACCTTCATGAACATATGTTCCAGCCAGTATAGCTCTGTTGGGTCATCACGATAGTCAAGCCCGACCATCACGTCAAAGTAGCAGCTACGGTCGGGTTTAATTCATCACTAAATTGTAATGAGATTATAAAGACACTTTTCCACAGAATAAAAGACAAGCTGTACGTCTATTTCAACTTATCTCATCATTGTCATTGTCATTCACATCATCATTATTGATGAACTCAATGGGTTTTTTTAAAAAATTGTTATCCTTTTTAATTGTTTAGATTATTTGATTTCAATGAAAGTACATCACCGGTTGTTTATGAATTTCTACAACCTGTTCTATCCAATGAAAAAATTCATTCTATTACTGGTGGTGATGATGATGATGATAACTTTAAGCATATTGTTTGGACAAAAGATTTACGACGTTTATTAGTTCTTATTGGTAATGCATTGAAATATGAAGAGCCAATATTATTGGTTGGTGAAACAGGGTAAGTTTTCTTGTGTGTGTGTGTGGATGTGTGGGTGTGTTGATTTCGAATGTCAATTTAAATCCCATAGTAGTAAAAGGTAGTAAAAGTATTAGAAGTAATCGGAGAGATTAGGGTTTGAAGATGGTATTCAAGAAGTAGAATCTAATGAAATAAACTTAAAAAGAAAAAGATAAGGGTGTTGAGGAACTCAGAACACAAAGATTGGATGCACCTGCACCATTGCAAACGGTTTTAAGCCATGTTGTCATTCAGGGTCTCTAACCATCGATTACTTAACATCTCGTGGACCCCAACTGGGTAGTTGACACCTACCGACATGACTCAATTCACTTTTCAGTGACTTCATGGATTTCTGCCATGTTTTGGTTTGACCGCCCTTAGCTTTCGTCCAACCTATTCCTACACCGCAAAATATAGCTCGACGAGGCAGTTGGGGGTTGGATATACGTAACACATATCCCAACCACCTCAACTGATGAAGTTTCAATGCTTCATCTACTGACCTGCCATCCTTACCTAACACCCGTTTCTTAACAACAGCATTGCTTACTCGGCTGTCCCACAATACTTAAGCAATGCTAATAGTACAATGAAAATGCAAGTAATCAGACCACTTTATGATGCATGGAGTCTTGTTTTCTATTTGGTGAATATCGACCTAATGAGGATTACAGTAAAATGTAGTATTGAACATTCCACTTCTGAACACAGATATTAACAATGGTAACCGATGTTTGAAGAGTTTGAATGATGTGGTTTGAAATCGCTTGCAGTGTCGCAGGTGCATCCATTCTTTATCGTCGCTCAAATTCTAATCTTTTGAATTCCTCATGACCTTCATCCTTATCTGTTTAAATTTATTAAACTGAATTATACTTCTTGAATAATATCTTCGAACCCTAATCTTCTCCATTACCTGTAATACTTCTACTACTTCTACTAGTATGGGATTTCAACTGCCTATTTGTTGTATGGCATGCGGACGTTAGTTTGGAATCAGAGGTTCTTACAAATCTCCTTAGTGGATACTTCGTATGTTCCGATCGGGTAGTCGTATTTCGTACTGTCAATTTTTTGAACAACTCCCCTGCCACGAGAAGGCACTATATACGATTTCCCTGTCAGTTAGTCAGTCAGTTACAACCGAGATCTTTGTACATGTGAATACATAAGTTCAGGTCGCCATACCGCATCAGCATAGAGACGCAACTGTTAGTTCAAATCCCATAGTGGTAGAGATAGTAGAAGTATTGGCAGTAATGAAGAAGATTAAGGTTCGAAGATATGAATCGAGAAGTGTTATTCAGTGAGATAAGTTTAGTAAGAGAAAGATGACGAGGAATCCTAGGGGTTAGAATTTGAGAGAACACAATGAACAAATGCACCTGCGCCGTGTCAGTGGATATAAATTGATGACCATAAAACAGCAGTTCCAGAGACAACGGTCTGCCCATACTGTCAGCCGTTTGGAGAGTCTGATGTACCAATATGGTAAATGATATAACTTTTCACTAGATTCTATCTGTTTCTTTTTATCGTACTGCTTTGTACGCATGCACGTAAACATGTCAATCTCATATGCTTGAACTATTACGAGTGTTCATCTTAGTCAGGAAACGATAGCGAGTATCGAGGATCCGGCGACACGACATGCTACTCTAATCCGAGCGTCCCAAAACCCCATCGAGTAAAAGAAGAAGACTTGATATGAAGTAGAACTTGTATTCTACAAACATCCAGAAATTACGAGGTCTGAGTCCAGAAGAGAATCAGGATCCCGGACTAGGGATCTGGGTTCGTGTTCGGGTCATAAAACGTTACAGATAATGCGTATTTATAGGAAAGAGCATCGAAGTCTGTGACATTGACAGTTAGGACGACCAATAGGAAACAACATTTGAGTCATATTGATAGTCAGGACGACCAATCAGAAACAACATTCAAGTACGTGACATTGATAGTTGCGACGACCATAATATTGACCAATAGGAGTCAACCAATAGAATTTACACTTACAAAATAATTCTTCCTAAGATATTTGGTGGATATCCTAACACTGCTTTTTCTGCTTTTCTCTCTCTCGCATTCGTTTTAGTTGTGGTAAAACAACAATTTGTCAATTGATTGCTGCATTGCATAATCAACGCTTGCATTGTGTAAATTGTCATCAATGCACTGAAGCTTCAGATTTTCTAGGTGGACTACGTCCAGTTCGACATTCATCAGAATCAAATGAAGGCGAAGTATGTTCTATTCTTCTTATTTATATCGGAAATCTGCTTTTGTAATTATTTTATAGTTTAGTTTGTGAAATAGATTATGTAATTACTGGGTCTTAATCAACAGTATAAATTTAACGAAAGTTACTGTAGGACCACCACTGGCTTCTATTCTCAGACATATCTGATAACATCTCAAGTTACTGATTGGTACCATTTCTGGGACCTTAACGATGGAGTCATGAAGGACCAAGAGATGCAAGAGCTGTACAGCTTTCTTTCCTTTAGCGATATTAGGCCAAACACTGACCATCTGTCAGTTTTTTTCAACCAGTCCCTAGCATTGATGAATAATGCATTACATATGGCGCAGCTATTAGTTTTTCATCATTCATTGTGCTGAGAGGAAAATTCGATTGCTATTGAGTGAGGGATTCTATGTCTAGCGCGCAGGGCATGTCTCAGCTTTTGGACAAATCAATAAGCCCACTGGTCTTTTGATCTTGTCAGTCATTCGGTCATATCTTCGTTGAATTTATTCGTGTGTGTGTACACGCCTGCCTTGCATATTACATATCTGGCTTACTTTATCTCACTACATATATGCCTAGTTGTGTTTCATCGAATTGAGTTGGCTCACTTACCTTCTCCGCTTCACTTTGCTTGTATGCTTTTCATTATCTTGTCTGCATGAACGATTGTCTGACATAAACTCATCAAACCGAATCCATATTTGGCTTTTTATTACCGCCGTCCCACAAACGGGGCTTGCCTAAATATGATAATATGCGGAAAATGATGGGAAGATTTATTTCATGGCATCTTCGATCATGGGCCTCCAAAATGGTGAGTCGGACGCCGAATTCGATGCAACACTATTATGAACTGATCATTGTCAGACCAACATTATAAGCATAAAAGCATTGACTGGTCGTTGCATCCTAGTATGAGACTCGTCGGTAGATGTACGCGCCCACAACCCCACTAGTGAAAATCAAGCTCAGGAGCATTGATATCGTGCACGAATGCTTAAGCTATTAACCTTGGAGCTGGGATCTAGTGATGTTTAATGTCCTAACTTCATATCTGTATTTGTTGTCAAATTTTTTCTAATAAAGGCTAGTTTTATCATATAACATTGAAAAGTATTAGAATCTGTGACCATTAATGATTGAAAACTTACTTAGTTACTTTCACCTGTTATCCTCAATGGAGCATAAGCCTCCGACTAGTATTCTCCAATTTACTCTGTCCTGGGCCTGCCTTTCCAGTTCCATGAAATTTTTGTTCATTCTTCTCATGTCTGTCTCCGACTTTCGGCGTAATGTTTTTACTTGGCTTTACTATTTTATTTTTACCTTGAGGGTTCCAAGCGAGGGCTTGTCTTGTGACGTAGTCGTGTGCTTTTCGTTATGTTCGTTACTAGGTACGCTTGAAGCTATTATGAGTTCACCTTAGTCGGTAGAACGCGAACGAGACAATGAACCAGCGTCCAGATAGGCTACCTTGAATCCCAAGCTGTAAAACAGAAGTCTTTGTAAGCGTAGAAAGTATATTCCACAAACACTCAGCAGTCACACAACACAATCAAGCTCATAACTCTCGTTTATTTATACATCATAGAAACATCCTTGGGACAGTTAAGAAAAGAGCACACTAAAATAACACAGTAACCAATCACAGCCATGTATTTTCCTTGGTGGGAAATGAAATCTCAAGGTCAACTGATCAGCCCATGCTGGCAAACGTGAAATCCAAAATTAAGGCATTTATCAAGCAAGTTCTGTGGATCTAACATTGCCCAACACTTCTCCCAATGTGTATCCTATTCATTTCTAGCGCTTATTCCTGATTTCTCCCTCATAGTAGGTTGTTAATGATAATTTCTGACTGGCAGGTCTGAAGTATTTTGCGTAGACAATTTTTTAATAGATACTGTAGTGAAGGAGAACACAGGTGAGAGCAACCAAATTGTATTTAACGAAAAATAACCGAGTTACTCAGTAAAATATGAAAGCCATATCGTAAACGGTTAATTTGCAAATCTTCAATCCATCATCAATCCATTGTGTGACATTTCACTCACTATTTATGCGTTTCATACAAATTCCATAGTGTTCCCCCCTCTCTTCCTTTCTTGTTGATCTTCCCCCATCTTCTCTTCTGCCAGACATTACGTTTACACTCGCTTCATATACTACTTATAAGTAGCGCGCACCACCATACTTGTACATACACACATAGTTTAATCCTCTTTTTAAATTTCTATCTTCAGTCCACTCAAAATGATTGTCGTCTATTCGAATGGATTAATGGTCCATTAGTCACTGCCATGTTAAATGGTGATCTATTTCTATTGGATGAAATTTCGCTAGCTGATGATGCCGTGCTGGAACGATTGAATAGTTTACTGGAACCGGAACGACAATTACATTTAACTGAATGTACAGAAGAATTTATTATCATGGGGAATAATAATCATCATGATGACGTCGACGACGAAGGCACTGACGGTGGTACATTAACGACACCAACCGCAACCACAACAACACATACACAATTGTTAACAGCTCATCCTAAGTTTCGTTTTATTGCTACAATGAATCCAGGTGGTGATTATGGTAAGAAAGAATTATCACCAGCATTACGTAATCGATTCACTGAAATTTGGTGTCCATCACCAGCGATATTTATGAGCAATGACTTGCCTTTATCGGGCTGCGGCGGCAACACCAGCACCAGCACCGCCACCACTACATCATTCAATGATTGTCAACAAATTATCATGCATAATTTACAATTGAAAATGTCTAGTTATTTTCAAGGACTGACTACTACTACTGTTGATGATGATGAGTTTGTGCAAGAATTTTCACAAAAAATGATGCATTTTATGCATTGGTTTGCTTTGACACAAAATGATTATAAATTGAATGGTTTCAATGCATTATGTCAAAGGTAGGATTAATATTATTATTATTATTATTATTTGTGGGAAAAAGTTTGTCCTTTGAAGTAACAATAGAAATTTCGATTTGTTGTAATTGTGAATATATATATATTTCTGCATAGTTACACTGGTAGGTTAACCTCGGTGATTTGATTTATTTGCTTACGTACGTTAGCTATCCCTAATGTAGCATAGGCTACCGACTGCCGAGTTATTTTTCTGGTTGGTGGGATCGCTAACTCTCCTCTTTTATTAGGCCGTAGGACAGTAGGGTAGTAGTCCTAGAAAGGTCTCCAGGCTGTGTTTGGTGATTTGACTCGGAGCTAATATAATGTTGAAAGATGAATTCAGTTGAACGAGCTTTTTATTTCTTACACTAGCGTATGTAAACAGACACAAGAATGAAAAGAGGCGAAACGAAGCGAACCGGAGAAGGAATGTTTGCCACTTCTTCTATACTTTGATATATGGCTAAATGTAGATAATGTGTAGTATCACAAGGAGATAGGTAGTGAATAAAATGCTGAGTGTTAGACATATGGACACAAGACGTATAAGTGTAGGATTACAAAGACGTAAATATAAAAAGTGCTGTTACTGGAGGTCATAATTTTCTATGAGAAAACCAATTTAATAAGGTGGTCGAAATGTCGCAATTGTCACATCACTGAGTCATTTAACTCTATCCGAAGGCTAGTTTGTGAATTATACAAGTACATTGTGGTAGTAGACTCTAAAAATCAAACCTTTAAACTGATATCATATCTTCAAAGTCTTTGGAAGCCCAGAAAACGCCTGGAAATGTTTCATCTAATCAGCACTGAACAGACTCTTATCAGAAATATCTAGTATAATTAAGGATAGCGTGTCATACTTTTAGTTAGCTAATAACACATAGTATGTTACTCTAATTAACATACTATCAGAAAGTTCTAAAAGGCTGTGGTTGTATTTGACACTCAATTTTCTTTTATATAAACCATTCTTCGATGAGAGCTCTTAAATTTCACTCCATTTCCCTTGTCGATGTATAGAAGGGGTCTTGGGATTGAACTATGCCCAAATATTTATTATGACCAATTGTAAACTGTAGTTTTAAGTATTTGATTTTATCAATTAAGACGAATTGTGGAGATGGTATTATGTTCATAGCGAAAATCATGAAATTAAACAAACTACGTCACTACTAGAAGCGCTGTATATAGGACTCATCGTCTGTGCGTATCCACGACTTCTACATACGATGTTCGAACTCTGGATCGTTTTGATCTCACACAGGAACGCCCATACTCTGAGTCGGCATCCAAGGTCTAATTTCAATCTATAAGATATTTTTGACATTCAACTATTACACAACACGTGTTTCTACTACTTTTGCCTTGATTCTACGGCGATTTAACCCAGTCCATACAAAATAACGACCTTTTTTTATCAGCGTACATGAATTTATATCTAATCAATGAGTTTTTATAATTACTGATGGATGATAGTAATCGATGGTTAGAGACTTTGAATGACATGGCTCGAAACCGTTTGCAATGGTGCAGGTGCCTTCTTCAATAATATCGTCGAACCCTAATCTCTCCGATTACAGCTAACACTTCTACTGTGGTGAAGGAGAACACAGGTGGGGCAACTAAATTGTATTTAACGAAAATTACAGAGTTACTCAGTAAAATCGGAAAACCATATCGTAAATCGTTCATTTGCAAAATATCAGTTCATCATCATATCGAACTGGACTGTTCCTGTTGCAAAACATCAACAATCCATTGTCACTACTATTCATGCGTTTCATACAAATTCCATTGTGTTCTTCTAACTCTTCCTTTCTTGATCTTCCCCCCCATCTTCTGCTGCCAGACATTACGTTTACACTCGCTTCATATACTACTTATAAGTAGATCGCACCACACTACTACTATGGGATTTAAAGTCACATTGACATCTCTGTGCTAATGTGGTATGGCAACTTGAACGGATGTACGTACATGTACGAAGTTCTATGTTGTTGTTGTTGTTGAGTGACTGACTGACTGAATGACGGACAAACTAAAAGACCTTAGAATATAATTTTATTTTACTGTGTAATGGCTTTCCTTTTTTGAAAAAATCTTTGCCTACACTCTCTTTATCGATTAAATTTACATAGACCACCACCAACTATTCGTGATATAATTGTTTGGATTGAATTTATTCAAAGTGTCATTACACCATTACATAAGATGAATTCAACTGCTAAACTAGATTTATTCAGTGCTTGTATACATGGTGCATGTTTAGTCTTCTTGGATGTGATTGATCATGATAGTGGGTGTAGCAGAAAATCTAAAGGTAAGTTGTTCGTTTTTTATTTATATCAACTTGTATGCGTGTTTGTGTGTGTGTGTGTGTGCGTCTGTGTTAATCAGCAAGCATAATTGTTAATACAAATAAATGAGATTTACGGTTGAGTTATGGCATGCTAGTGAAATGTAGTATAGGCGTTTGCGCTTATTGTGAACTTGTCAGTTATATGTATCACTTACACGTGTTGATACTTGCATTGGGACTCGAATTCACTGTTGTGTTATCTTAAGATATCTATATACTAAAATGTAGTGTAACCAGCTGATAAGTTTTCTATTGGAGCAAACACTCATTCTCTATTGCACTGCTAGTGAGAACGCAACTTAAATGAACACATGAGACGATCATCTCAGGGTGCACATATGTTAAAACAGCCTGATTATATTGAGTCCTTAACATTAACAAGCATCAAATGTATTTGTACGGTCGCTAGTGAGGAGCGTTTGCTCTCTCTCTTGAAATGGCCACGAGAATGTTGCTACCTCCTAGGAAGTCTTACTGCCTTTTCGTTTTTGGAAGTGTTGTTTACGAAATTGAGAAGACGATAAATGATTCTCCGGCTCAGTGACCGATTCGGTGGATACAAAGGATCCATCCAGTTGGGTCGGAAAACTCCCCTTCCAAACTAATGGTTTATACAGATTTTAGGTTCCTGAGAAAAAAATAGTGTACTAATGTACTGTTGATAACACGCCACTATGGGACTGCATCTTTTAACGTTGCTTTATTGGGGATCACAGCTGATTGTCAAATAACCAAGTAGTGCCCCCCCCCCACAAAAAAAACGGATAGTATCACATTCCACATGCAAATTCAATTATTTGTGTGGCGCGAGTCATGAATCGCTCATTGTTAGACTTTCCTCTGGTAGAAACCTGAAAGCACTATACAGCCATTTCGTCATCAAACTTAGACATGAACACCATTGAATGCCGGCCCAATTGTCTAGAGGTTAAGCGTTCGCTAGCGAGGCCAATGATCTTGCGTTCGATTCCTGCTAGCGGGGGTCGTGATTGCGCATTGCCGATGAATCTCATACTAGGATGAAACGGCTGTCCAGTACTTCCAGATTTCGAATGGGTTGTCTGTTATAATGCTGCTACATATAGTTGTTCAGTCCTAGCGGCGTCCAATTCAAATATCCCAATACGACCTAAACTGCTATTTCCAAATCTCCTATATATTAAAACGCAACACAGTGGGATGGAGTTGTTTATTGGATCGAGTACAGAAGAAAGGTAGGCAGGAAGGAACGGAATCGGAATCATGAAGTCTTACAGATAGTGCGTATTTATACATTAAAGTCGAATAAGAAACAGCATCAAAGTCTGTGACATTGACAGTTTAGGACGACAACCAATAGGAAAGAAGATTTAAAATGACATTGACAATCCGGAAGACCAATCAGAGACAAAATTGAAGTATTTGACTTTGACAGTTAAAACGATCATAATTTTGACCAATAGAAATCGACCAATAAGATTATACTTCCAAAAATAGTAATTACTCTTAGGATATTTGGCGAATATGCTAACATTGTCTAACAATGATTTCAATGAACCTCAACAATTTCCATAACTATATATTGACTATTGAATTTTTTTTGTTAAATCAATCTCTTTTGGTTTCTTTGTTTGTTTTATTTTTCTCTTCTGGTTCCATTGTACAATCATCAGATGATAATCATCATTTCTATTCGAAAGCATTACGATTTTTAATTGATCAATTATATTCCATAAAGAATAAGGATATTTTATTCAAACAAATTCAATTGTCAATTCCAAATTCCAGTAATGAAATGTATGATCGGTTTACAAATGATTTAGATGAAAAATTTATATTAGAGAAAAATAATGAATTATTTGGTTGTGAACCATTTTTCATATCAACAGGTAGGTTATGATGTTATGATTGCGTTTTGTTATAGGGTAGTCAGTATATATATGAGCTATTGTTTTGCGGTATAAGAGTAAATCAGTCAGTTACAACGTAGAACTTTGTTCGTAAGTACATCAGTTGAGGTAGCTATAACACATTAGCACAGAGACGCCACTGTCAGTTCAAATCCCACTAGTGGAGATAGTAGAAGAATTACTGGTAATGGAGAATGTTAGAGATTCGAAGATATTATTCAAGAAGTTTAGTTCAGTAAGATAAATTTAGAAGGAGAATGATAGAAATTATTAGGACTTCAGAAGGTTGGAGTTTGAGAGAACACAAAAAGTGTATCCACTTGCGCCACTGCAAACGATTCTTAGCCATGTCATTCAAGGTCTCTAACCATCGGTCTCGCGGACCCCAACCAGGTAGCCTACACTTACCAACATGGCTGATCTCATGGATTTTCGCCATGTTTCGGTCATATACAATGTAGAATTCCACAAAAAGCTTCATCGATTCAAGTTGCCATTGCTACGTGTTTACAAAACAAAACCCAGGATAGTTCGATTCAGCAACAGTTTCAATAGCTGTAGTGGAACAAGAAGGGGATGTAAAAGGTATAATAAGATTTCAAGATAATGTTTATAAGAAAATACTCACGGTGAGTAAAATTATAGCATTGAAAATGATTCTGATCCATGCTACTCAAACTCTCTAATCGTTAGTCAATAATGATCAGATGAATTCTGAACAAGTAGTTTACAGCACAATGGATTTGTGAAGAGATGTCATGTGTTTTGGTTTAGCATCTTCTAGCTTTGTTTCACCTATCTTGTATACCAGACAACATTTTCTGTGTTTTCAGATATCTTGACGACTTACTGACTTACGTCTGTTACCCCTAATAGAACATAGGCCGCCAACCAGTGCATAATTATTCTGGTTAGCGTCTTTTTGGCCAGTCGGATTTTGACGGGTTTGGATCGCCAACTCCCCTTGCCTAACCCTCCTCCTTTATTCGAGCTTTTGACCGGCAGTAACCCTAGAAGAGCTCCAGGCGGAGTTAATGTCTTGAAAAACATATTATATATACCTGAATTCTTGGTATAATATCTGCTTACCAGTCATTGGACCATTTTTTGGTGATTGAATGTTATCTTTATTGAATCTTATTCCTTCCAAGTATATTTTTTTTAATTAAAAACTTGAAGTAGTTACTCTTCTAGACAGCTTTTTCATTAAATACAGTACTGTGTTCCAGTTACGATATAAAAACATCAACACTAGGAGGCAGATACATTCATTTACAAGTCAAGTCAACTGCAACGTCGAACTACATACGTACGTACATCAGTTCAGCTTGCTATACCACATTAGCACAGAGATTTAATTGTCAATTTAAATCCCTTAGTTGTAGGGGTAGTTAAAAGTATTAGCAGTAATCAGAGAGATTAGTGTTCGACGATATTATTCAAGAAGTAGGATCTATCTAGTAAAATAAACTTAAAAAGACAAAGGTGATGAGAAATTCCGAAGGTTAGGATTCGACGGAACACAACGAGTGGATGCAGCTTCGCCATTGCAAAACGGTATTCAGGGTCTACAACCATCAGTTACGATTATCTCACAGACTCCAAACAGAAAGTCTACACTTATCAACATCTTTTAGTCCACTTATCAACGAGATCATGGATTGTCGTCATGTTTTGGTTTGGCCGCTCCTAACTTTCTTCCAACCTACTCCTACACCATAAAACATCGCTTGTCTAGGCAGTTGGTGGTTGGACATACGAAGCAATAGCTAGTTATACATATATTCATATAACTTTTAAATAGGTATGTAGTGAAGGAGAACACAGGTGGAGCAACCGAATTGTATTTAACGAAAATTACAGAGTTACTCAGTAAAATCGGAAAACCATATCGTAAATCGTTCATTTGCAAAAGATCAGTTCATCCTATGGAACTGGACTGTTTCTGTTGCCAAACATCAATCCATTGTCACTATTCATGCGTTTGATACAAAGTCCATTGTTTTCTAACTCTTCCTTTCTTGATCTTCGCCCATCTTCTCTTCTGCTGCCAGACATTACGTTGACACTTACGTCATATACTACTTATAAGTAGCTCGCACCACAGCACCACAGGTGTATCATTGATTTTTTCACTACAAAAACTTGTTATTACATATTCGAAATATATGCTTGTCATACATTCGATTTGTTGATCAATGGTTGTATTTTTGTGTTGTTTTTTTTGTCACAGGTCCATTTTTAAATTCTTTCACAAATACAAATTTCATTTTTGACGCTCCAACACCGGCATCCAATTTAAAACGTTTACTTAGAGCTATGCAATTACCTGGTAGAGCTTTACTGTTAGAAGGTAGTCCAGGTGTTGGAAAAACTACACTGGTTTTAGCTTTAGCTAAAGCATCTGGTCATAAAGTGATACGTATCAATTTATCTGAAGCAACTGTAAGTGTATTGGTGTTTTTTTTAACATTTTGTAATTAACCCTGAGTAATTTATATATTTTTGTGGTGTTTTTCTACTGTTTTTAAAATGCTAATTAATATCGAGGGATAACTAACCCCTAACTCAGTCAGGTCTCATATGGTAGGAAATGCGAAGAAAAATCATTGCCCGACATGAGACAATGGGTAATAAAAGTATTTGGGCCTATTTGCATCAAGCTGGGCTGCCTCTTCTATACTATCCTAGGCCATCATATGTGTATACCATATGCTATACTGCTGAACGTCTCCTATGAGACTAGAGGTTTGCAGTGAATAATATGGATGTCGGGGCACAACATTTGATAGGAGTAATATTTTTCAATGAAATTTGTTTCCTTGCACTACTCTCATCATCTCCTATCGAATGATATATAACACGTTTATATGTCTTGACATTCATATTTTGCGCTTTGCACATGCTCTTACTCTGTATGTATTATAGGGATACTATCCCTAACTCACTCACGTCTCATATAGTCGAAAAATGAAAATTTCGGAAACGCGAAAAAATCATTGCACGACATGAGACAAAGTGTAATTAATAGAAGTGCAGTAAGCTGGGCTGCCTCTTCTACTATCCTACGCCAATATATGCTATACTGCTATATAGAGCTGAAGGTCTCCTATGAGACTAGAGGTTTTCAGTGTATATTGTGGATGGTTTGACATTTTTTGGCAAGTTATACTGTAGTGAACGAGAACGCAGGTGGGGCAACCGGATTGTATTTAACGAAAAGTACAGAGTTATTCAGTAAAATTGGAAAACCATTTAGTAAATCGTTAATTTGCATAATATCAGTCCATCATATTGAACTGGACTGTTTCTGTTGCAAAACATCAATCCATTGTCACTACTATTCATGCGTTTCATACAAATTCCATTGTTTTCTAACTCTTCCTTTCTTTATCTTCCCCCATCTTCTGCTGTCAGACATTACGTTGACACTCACGTCATATACTACTTATAAGTAGCTCGCTTCACATACTCACAGTCCATATACAAATTCGGTTAGCAGGGAGACCGATTTCATTGATACTAGTGGTGGTTGTTTTGCAACATTTTGGAGGGCCATTGTCATAGGGGTGCTGTATTGCTAATAATAATAATGAGTTTGACAGTCATGTAAGTGGGATGAGTCGGATTGGCCTGTGTCATGCGTTGCATATTGATTGACAAAGCGATCATGGATCGGAAATATTCACTATATATGTACTAGTGTATATCAGTGGTGTGAATGGTCCACCGCGATGTCAGGTACCAGTGTGGTTGCATCACGGGATTGAGCCGTTCTATTCACGTTGTAGTGTTAACACGTGGGTAGTCTCCTTGATTCTCCTGCGTAACCAATGTAAAACTGCCCCAGACAATAGAAGGTTGATTTATATTATTGTGAATATTTAATTCATATCGACTAGAATTTCACTTATCATTTTGCAGAGTTTTCTGACCACCTAAAGCAATCATACAAGCATGTGATTCTCCCCGTCTAAATGTAAAATGTCACTTCAGGTTTGGCTTGTATCGGCATGGGAAATAGTGATAGGGAGGGAAGTAGTTGAACGTATTGATAACCGCTTCACTTTTCTTGAGAACCCCATCGCTCGTCACTTATGACTTAGTTGAGATTTTAGTCTGTTGACCAAAAGATGAACTTTTTGAACTTTTCATGTTGATGTATACCGAATAGTCTATGTAATTCAAAATGGTATGGTATAACGGAGTGCGAAATGAAGTTTTAGCTATTTCGACATATTAAACATCGTTAACGACAACTGTTCTGTGTTGTTCTTTTTTCATGCCTGTTTGTCTGTTGCTGTCACTTCCTATCATCCACTTATTTGTTTCTATTTCAGGAAGTTAGTGATTTATTTGGTTGTGATCTTCCAGTGGAAGGTGCTGAAGCTGGTGTCTTCGCATGGAAATCTGGTCCATTTTTACAAGGTCTATGTGAAGGTCATTGGATTATATTAGATGAAGTATGTACAATACTCTTTTCTTTTGAATGCGCTTTTATTCTAAGGACACAAGTATTAACAAGTGAAAAGTAGCTGTTCGGAGAGCAAACTGTGCAAGGAGGTGGTCGGCAATAAAATAAGGATAGTCATAATGATAGTTGAATCATATTTAAACAAAAGATTATGATGAACATGATGTTTAGACATAGCGACCCAGTTATTTCATAACCTAATAATTTTATAACATAGTTCCCCCAGAGTTAGCATTCCGTCAATATTCGTTCTGATATTTAAAAGAAAGAAGGTAGATTCTCAGTGTTCTAGTGAGAATTCATAACTAGTGGAGTTCAACTATGGTCATGTGTGAGGCAGTTACTTACCGACGACAATGGATGATAGTCGCGCAATATTGTGGATTGTCTGAAGCTAGACATTAACACCTTAAGATTATAATGCATTGGTCTAGAGGTTAAGCGACCATGTACGAGATCGAAAGTCCTGTGTTTGTGTCTCGCTAGCTGGGTCGTGGATGCACACTGCTGATGAGTCCCATAATAGAACGAAAAAAGATTAAAAAAAGTTGAACAACTTCATAAGATTAGAATTTGAGAGAAGACAAAGAATGAATGTATTTGCACTATGTGAGCCATGTCATTAAAAGTCGCCTACCATCGATGGTAGTCTACATCTACTAACATAGCTCAGTTCATTTGTCCAGTGACTTCATGCACTGATATCATGTTTTGCTTGCTTCAAATGGAGTGAGTCATATTGGTGGTAGATGTAGACTACCTAGTTGGGGTCCACGAGACGAAAGTCACCAATGGTTAGAGACCTTGAACGACATCACTCAAAATCGTTTGCAATGGCACTGTGGTGTGTGCTACTTATACGAACGATATAAGTAGTATAAGAATGGACGTGAAAGAAGATGTCTTACGGTCAGAAGAGGAAAACGGAAAGCAAATAGAGCAAAAGCAAGAAAGATTTAGGGCACCGACAGGAAGTAAAGGAAGCAACAGCAGGAATGGAGGAAGGCTGGAGCGTTGGAAGTCAGGACTCAAAGATGGTGTGCAAATGGAGTATTCAATGTAATGTTATCGTTTTTAATTGACTAAGAGTGTAAATTTCCCAAATACAATCTATTGAGCCTGCCTCAGTCTTCTCAATTGGTGTCGCTGCCTCCACACAGGATGAAGATACCATGGCCTCGGGAGTTTGAAGACGGAGATGTGAGGAGCTTCTTGAAGGAGTTCGAGGCTGTGGCGGAGCTGGTCGGAGTCAAGGAACGGAAGGCGAAGGCGGTGGTGCTGGGGACTCTACTAAGAGGCAGGGCGAGAGCGGTGTACGATAGTGTGGAGGACGCTGACTGGAAGGCGGTGACGGAAAGGCTGCTGTTGGAGTTCGACAGCCCGGCGGATAGGCAGGACGCGCTGCAGAAGTTCCGGGAGGCGCGGCTGTCGGTGGACGGCGACCCACTCGTGCTGGCCGTGGAGCTGACAAGATTGCTGCGCCGGGGTCTGCCGAATTTGGACGAGGAGTCGCAGGCACAGCTGCTAGCCTCGCAATTCATTGAAAGTGTGCCTGCAGAGATTGGCCAACAGTTGAGACTGGTGAACGCGGCACAACCAATGGACGTCACCGAGTTGGCGAAAGTAACAAGACAACTGATGAACTCAACAGTCGCCTCAGTGGCGTGTGAGAGACAGGCTGATGATGTCGTGAAGAAGATAGAAGAATTACAACGAGAGGTGGCAGCTTTACGAATAAAGGGTGAAAGAAATAATAAATGCTACATTTGCGGAGGAACCGGACATTGGAAGAGGAATTGCCCAACAAGACGAAGACGTAAATATTTTAGACCATACACAAGTTGTTCTTTATGTCTTTCGAAACTGGGGGTCTCGGCATTAGTAGATAAGGGGGCGGTCTATGCGAGAGTAGGGATAAACGAGCGAGAGGTAGTTTGCCTGATTGATACAGGGGCGGCAGTTTCGTTAATAGACAAAGAGCGGTGTAGAGGTATCAGGCCGAGTGCATTAGTTGTTAACACCATCGGCGGCCACGTGTTAAAAATCCTCGGAGTCTCAAATGATATCGTGAAAATCGGCAGTTCGAAAATACAGTTTCCCTTTGTAGTGACTACGAACTTGTCGAGACCAATACTAGGAGCAGATTTCTTGAGAGAAGTAGGAGCGATTATTGATACAAGAAGTAAAAAGGTGATTACAAAGTACGGCACACTGACAATACATGAAAGCAGCGAGGTGGCTGAGGTTAGAGTAGCAAAAGAGGACATTGGAAAAAAACAGAACATTAACGGGGTGCTCACAAAATATAAGAAGTTGTTCACGGGAGACGGAGAACCGTACGGGTTTTGTAATAAAGTCAAACATGAAATTCCGATAAAGAACGAAGAAGTAACCATCTTCACAACACGACGGGTCCCCGTACATTTGGAAGCTGAGATAAACCAGCAGGTACAGGAGATGTTAAAAGCAGGTATAATTGAAGAAGCAGATAGCCCGTACAGCTCACCGGTACTTTTGGTAAAGAAGCCAAATGGAAAGTATAGATTCTGTGTTGACTTTAGAGAACTGAATAACGTGACAGAAATAAAACCATGTGCAATGCCAACAATAGCGGAGACATTAGATCGTCTACAGAGTGCAACGGTGTTCACAGTGTTAGATTTACGGTCGGGCTATTGGCAGCTACCAATAAAAGACAGTGATCGCAGCAAAACGGCATTTATCGTACGGGAGAAGCAGTATCAATTTAAACGAATGCCCTTTGGATTGGCGGGCGCACCCTTTACGTTTCGAAGACTAATGACATTGCTGCTCAGAAACCTGGAGAATGTCGAAGTTTATGGCGATGATTTGGTCGTATATAGTCGTACAGAGGCAGAACATGTGAGGCACGTGGAGGCGGTCCTAAGGCGAATTGATGAGTTTGGTTTACGAATTCACAAAGACAAGTCTTAGATAGCGAAAAGAAGCGTCACGTTGCTGGGGCATAAAGTAGGCAATGGAGAAATAAAACCACTGCCGGAGAAGATTCTAACGATAAAGAATGTTGCAGTTCCCAACTCAAAAAGGAAGTTAAGACAGTTCCTGGGAAGAGCGGCGTTCTACAGCAGATTCGTGAAGAACTTCAACGATATAGCAGCACCTCTATATAAAGTGCTAAGCAATGCGAAGTTTACGTGGACAGAGACCGCTCAACAAACTTTCGACCGAATCAAAGAGCTGTTAGATGACCGCCAAATGACGCTGAGACTACCGGAACCCGAGAAGCCATTTACAGTGACCACTGATGCGAGCGATCACGGTATAGGTGCGGTCTTGAGGCAGTCTGACAGAGTGGTGGAGTATGCCAGCCGTGTCCTTACGCCGACAGAACAGAAGTATTCCACAGTAGAAAAAGAGTGTTTAGCGATTGTATGGGCGGTAGACAAATGGAGACCGTATCTACTGGGTCGGCGATTTCACATCGAGACGGATCATAAGCCCCTACAATGGTTGAAAACAGCAAAAGACCCTCGGGGGAAGTTGGCTCGATGGATGCTACGTCTGCAGGAGTATGATTTTAGTATCGGGCATGTGCCAGGGGAGGAAAATGTAATGGCAGATTATTTGTCAAGACCGGACACCGAAGCCGAACTTCCAGAGATAGCGTGTGCAGTTAACGGCCTAGAGGGAGACCCCCTAGAACTCGTCCGACATCAGAAAGCCGACCCTAACCTTCGGGAGGTAATCAGAGTGATAAAAGAGGGAGAAGATGTTGACAAGAGTGGAACAGATAAAGAATTAACAATGTTGCTGAGGCAGAAGGAGAGACTGAGAGTGAACGGATACGGAGCCTTGACCTGGCGGGATGATGACGAGAATTGGGTAGCAATAATCCCAAAAGATCTGCGCCAGGACATGATTCGTGAATGTCACCAGGTAGCGCACACAGGTATTGCACGGACAACTGATTTGCTGCGACAAAGTGCGTACTGGCCAGGTATGAAAGACGATGTTGCACGATATGTATTAGCGTGCCAGCGATGTCAACTAATGAAAGGGGATCGATGCATACGACCGCCATTGCAGTCAATTCCAGTAACAGCAGTTGGTGATTTGTGGTCAGTAGATATTATGGGACCGTTCCCACAGATGACAAGTGGTAACCAGTACCTGCTGGTGATGACTGAGCATGCCACACGATGGGTAAATGCCGTGCCGATGGCGGACCAACGTGCAAGAACGGTGACGGAAGCGGTAATGCGGCACATTGTGGCGGACCATGGGATACCAAAGATAATATTAACCGATCAAGGTCCCTGTTTCGAGAGTGATGAGTTCAAGTCCCGTCTAAAGCAGTTAGGTATAAAGAGAGTACGAACAACGCCGTATCATCCACAGACGAATGGGTTAACGGAAAGGAATAACCGAACGCTAAAGGAATGGCTAGCATCTAAAGGGGGTGACTGGGAGAAAGAATTACCATTAATCTTGCTGGCACATCGTGCCTCGGCACAGGGAACAACCAGGAAGTCACCGTTCCAGCTGATGTATGGCAGACGGCCGAGACTACCAACGCATGATAAAACCTGGCCGCAACAACAGAGATGGAATACAACAAGATTGAGAACAGAGCGGAGACAAGCAATCAGGAATGTGAGAGAGAAACAAACATCAGACATGCAGAAGTCAGAACAGGAGAGAAAGAACTGGAGACCGTTTGAAGTGGGAGACCAAGTGAAGTGTAGAGAACGGAAATGTACCACAGGAAGAGGGCCAGGGTCAGGTAAACTGATCCCGAAGTGGGAGGGACCGTACGTAGTAACCGAGAGGCGCGGCGCAGTGTATACAATCCAGAAAGGAAACAAACAGAAACGCGTGAATGCCAGTGAACTCCAAAGGTGGTTCCAAGTGCGCCAAGAGGGTGAGCCACAAACACTGATAAAGAAGACGGCTGTACGGAGATCAGAAAGGCTGAGAGGGCGACTTGTTAAAGGGGGGACGAGTGTGGTGTGTGCTACTTATACGAACGATATAAGTAGTATAAGAATGGACGTGAAAGAAGATGTCTTACGGTCAGAAGAGGAAAACGGAAAGCAAATAGAGCAAAAGCAAGAAAGATTTAGGGCACCGACAGGAAGTAAAGGAAGCAACAGCAGGAATGGAGGAAGGCTGGAGCGTTGGAAGTCAGGACTCAAAGATGGTGTGCAAATGGAGTATTCAATGTAATGTTATCGTTTTTAATTGACTAAGAGTGTAAATTTCCCAAATACAATCTATTGAGCCTGCCTCAGTCTTCTCAGCACAACAGGTGCATCCATTCATTGTGTTCTCTCAAATCCTAATCTTCTGGATTCGTCAGCACTTCTACCTTTGTCTTTCTAACCTCCTTATCTCACTGAATTATACTTCTTGAATAATATCTTCAAACCCTGGTCTTCTTCATTAACATTAATACCTCTACTGTCTCTACTACCACTATGGGATTTGATTTGAAATTTGCGTCTCTGTGGTTATGTGGTATGGCAACCTGAACTGATGTACGTACGTACGAAGTTCTACGTTGCAACTGACTGACTGACTTTGCTTTGGCTACTGCTAGATTTCCTCCAGTCTACCCATACACATCACAAACACATCGCATGTCGAAGCAGATTACGTAATCTTAGAATGTATTCACTTTTATATATACTAATATTTTGCACGTAATTCTATTCGCTCCTTGTTTTTCCTTAACACAGATGAATTTAGCTTCACAATCTGTACTAGAATCATTAAATGCTTGCTTAGATCATCGTGGTGAAATATTCATACCGGAATTAAATGCTACATTTCATGTCAATACACAAACTACACGTTTATTTGCTTGTCAAAATCCATTACATGAAGGTGGTGGTCGTAAAGGTTTGCCACGATCATTTTTAAATCGTTTCACACAGGTGAGTTAATGGGAAATGTTCACTTTTTCTATGATTCGATTAATTTATTTGTTCATTCATTTTTACACAAATGTGATATCACCATTAGAAACCTGGAAGCACTGGATGGCCGTTTCGTCCTGGTATGGGACTCCTCAGCATTGCGCATCCACGACTCCTGCACCCCGCAGGATTTGAACTCAGGACCTTCAGTATTGTAGGTGAACGCCTATAACGGAAATCAATGATTCCCGCGAGATTTGTAGATAAAACATCGAGCTCAGCGTACGAAACACCACCACAATCTCATTCATCTGAGCTACAAATTTTCTCAAGCATCTCAAAAAGATAAAACTGAACATATACTTACCTATGCTTATTAACCCTCATGGAGCGTAGACAGACCGATCGCTCGATCAGGATTCTCCAACTAACTCTGTCATGGGCTCTTATTTCCACCTTTATTCTGCAGTGGGGTGTGTTATTTGAGGAATCCTGTTTTCCTTTTTACCTTGAGCATTCTATGTGATAATGTATTTGCCTCGTGGTGTAGTTGTATGCTGGAGAAAATATATAGCTCAGGTGGATAATTGTGGTGGTGGTGTTTCATTCTCTGAGTTGGATGCTCCGGTTGTGGAGCTTTCATTGTTCTTCTTCTGAACAACAATATCATCAGCATGAACTTCCTACATCAGTGAAGTATTCGAATTTCTCTACGTTTGATCCATAGCTTGTTCTGTTTTCCTATTGGTTTATTTCTACTGGTCAATTTTATGGTCGTCCTAGATATAAATGTCACGTGCTCCAATCTTATTTCTTATTGGTTGTCCTGACTATCAATGTCACTGCAAATGTTGCTTCCTCGTGTCACCAGATCCTCGATCCTCGCTCTCGTATTCCGACTAAGGGATAAACTCGTACTATAGTTCAAGTATATCAAGTTGACGTGTTTAGGTGCAGGCGTAACATATCAAGACCTCTCTATCTAGTTAGTGGGGCCTTAGGACCCTCGGATTAGAGTAGTCTATCATGTCACTGCTGTCGTTTACCGAGTAAGGTGAACGCGTACTCGCTTCAAGCATATCAATTGACGAGCATAAACACCATCCATTGGCTTCTAATTTTCTAATGTGTTGATTCATTATTTCACTGAAATTCAATAACCTCTACAACCTCTGTAATGATGTAATCAACAAATTTTTTCTATTTCTGTATTTCACTGTTTTTTCTGTTCCAATAATCTTTTCATGAAAGGTTTATATGAAACCATTGAGTAAATCTGATCAAGAATTTATATTGATTCAGTTATATCCTGATATACCAGTGAATGTGATTCATTTAATGGTTACTTTTAATGATTTGGTAAGTTGATGATGGGATGATGATATACTTTTTTAATATTTTTGATATACTTACTATGCATTAAGATGCTGTGTCCTATTATAGCTATGTGTATATATATGTATGAAGGAGGAAGCTCTACTTATTATCTTTTGCGAAATTGATTGGACAGCAAGTGAATGTTCGTCCAGAGCTTAAATTTAATTGGTTGATACGGAGGTTCTTCCTTGTATAGGAGAGTTGGAAGATTCTTATTCCGAACACAGTGATTCAATTCGGGCCCCATGGGGTTTATGAAATTATTGGTGTAGTTGGTCATTGTATACGATGGGGCTGAATCTCTCCTAACTCGGTAGATAGAAAGGCTTGAGAAGGCTTTTTTCGACGTTTGTTAGGATAGTCACTAAATATCCTAAGAGTACTACTATTTTTGGAAGTATAATCCTATTGGTCAAAAATATGGTTGTTTTAACTGTTAAAGTCAAATACTTCAATGTTGTTTCTAATTAGTGGTCATCCGGACTGTCAATGTCATTTCAAATGTTCTTTCCTATTGGTCGTCGTCTTAAACTGTCAATAGTTTTACAGACTTTGATGCTGTTTCCTATTTGACCTAAAAGTATAAATACGCACTATCTGTAAGACTTCATGATTCCGATTGCGTTTCTTCCTGCCTACCTCTCTTCTGTACTCGACCCAATAAACAACTCCATCTCACGGTGTTGCGTTCTGATATACAGGAGATTTGGAAATAGCATTTTGGGTCGTATTGGAATGTTTGAATTCGGACGTCGGTAGGATTTGAATAGCTATACGTAGCAGCATAATAACAATATTACAAATAATTGAACAACGTTTCATACATATTTCACATATCATTGATATAGTGACTTGATTAGAATTGATCGAAGGACAAGGTTCCTTGGTGACAAACGGAGATATACATATCTCTTATAATTCTCTCTCTATTACAAACCAACTATTCCTAATGCTTAGGTAGTATTCTCGGACGCCAATTCACTCGACACGTTCTCCCAAATTCAGAACACGATTGAACACGAAATAGAGATTATATTCCAATGACTTGGGTTAGAATGGAAGACAAAGAAGTACAAAACGTTAGTATATTTATAATTTTGTTGCATGAGAAGATTCTAGAATGTTCCCTCAGTATCGACTGGCGCTGATCGGTGGATACGAAAGAACCAATCAGTGTGCAACAACACAATCATGCTTTAATCCAATCTATGTCCCGCTAACTGGGGGTCATGTAAATCTAAATGAGTATTTATAAATGTGATTCGCTAGGTAAATAGACTTTCTTTTCTACTCCTACCTCTTCGCTCAGGTCGTCCGTTCGGGCGGTGCGGTTAGTACCTGTAATAAATTCCAATTTGGGACACCGCATAACACAACACTTTTACTTCCATCTTTTCCACTCATTGTTTGGTTTTCCTTATTACACTAGTGACATCATTATATTTATTTGAACTTTTTTAGTATTTATAATTTCGAATCTATCACTTCGCATTTGGTGCAGCCATTCGTTGAGTTACGATTGTCCCAAGCCTGGATGAAGGAGGGGAGGGTTGTGCGTGTGGTTGGTGGCTCCACCCTATAAAAACCTAACTCACTAAAAAACAGTAACCAGATAAATCAATTCAAACCACTTGTTCAATTATAGTGTATTAAAATTTCCATCACGGGGCGTTCAAACCAAAATATGGTGCAAATCTATGAATTCATTGACAACTGAACTGAACCATGTTAGTAAGTGTAAACTACTTGTTTGGGGTCCACGAGTTGATAGTAATCGATGGTTAGAGACCTTGACTGACATGGCTCAAAATCATTTGCAATGGCGTAGGTGCATCCATTCTTTGTCGTGTTTCAAATTGTAACGTTTCGAATGGAATTCCTCATCACTTTCATTGGCTCATACTTCACGAATCACACCGTCGACCCGTAATCTTTTCGATTATCACTCTAATACTTCTACTACCTCTACTCTTATGCGATTTGAATTGTCATTTCGATCTTTGTGTGCTAATGTGTTATGTCAACTTGAACTGTGATGTACGTACATACCTACGAAGTTCTACGCTGTAAATGACTAACCGACTAACTCTTCTTACAACTTTCGGAATAGTTTGTAGATTATTATACAGAATTAATTAGTGTACTGTATATATATATTTCTAAATTCCTATTTCAGGTTAATGAACAAATTAACATTCAACATGAATTCGGTAATCAAGGTGGACCATGGGAGTTTAATTTACGTGATTTAACTCGTTGGTGTGATCTTTTAATGAAAGGCAAAGTAAGTACACTATTTTTTTATACGTGATTAATGTGTATAATTGTATATGTTCATTAAATGAAAGTAGTTATTGTCAAGTGAGAACTCCTCCTGGAGCGACTCTGGGATTACTGCTGGTGCCAAGCCCCGGATAAAGGAAGGAGGGTTGTGCATGTGGTGAGCGACTTCATCTCGTAGGAAAGTGACTTGTTAAGAATCACTGACCAGAAACTTGTCGGTGGCCTATACCTCATTGTGCGGATAACAGGCGTACGGACTAAGAGTCAGTTGCAACGTAGAACTTCGTACGTATGTACATAAGTTCATGTTGCCATACCACATTATTAGTACAGAGACGCAAATGTCAAATCAAATCCCATGGTGATAAAGATGGTAGAGGTATTAATGTTATAATAAAGAAGACTAGGGTTTAAGATATTATTCAAAAAATATAATTCAGTGAGATAAGGTTAGAAAGACAAAGGTAGAAGTGCTGACGAATCCAGAAGATTAGGATTTGAGAGAGCACAACGAATGGATGCACTTGCGCCATTGCAAACGATTTTGAGCCATGTCGTTCAAGGTCTCTAACCATTGATGACTTTCGTCTCGCGGACCCCAACCAGGTAGTCTACATCTACCAACATGACTCAGTCCACTTGTCAGGGACTTCATGCATTTCTGCCATGTTTTGGTCTGGCCGCCCCTAGCTTTCTTCCAACCTACTCCTACACCACAAAACATAGCTCGTCGAGGCAGTCGGTGGTTAGGCATCGCGAGTGTTAAGAGATTGTTCTGCCCTACGACTCAATGCTATACCTACACCGGCGAGGCCCCTAGAAGCAGCATCAGGGCTACCGGATACACGAAGAGTAAATCGAGCTGCTTCTTTATCTTGATATGGTGAGGTCAAATGAGTGATGCTACTCGGATCCTGTATGCGCGTTTCCGAGACGCAGCACACATCGATGGAACGAGATTCTAAAGTCCTAGCTAATGACGCCTGTTGCCCTATTTGACACAATGTCCGTACATTGAATGCTCCAACATGTAGTTTGGAACGGGGTTTAAGGAGACCAGGAACGACGTTTCGCGAACTCGCATCGTTTGCATTTGCTGTGCACTGTAATAAATGAATGTGAGAAGAGTTAGTTGTGGAGATAAGAGAGGTATTAGGGAATGTAGGAAGGATTTGATTTTGAACAATTTTGTCTCGTGTGCTGTTATGGGTATGAGGGCGGTTATCACTTCCCGGCTGCCCACACCGTGGAAGGTTGTTTCTTGACGAACCTGAAAAGGAAGATGGATTAGTGTTGGTGCGTGACCGCAGAGTCCAAGGGACAACTGCTTCAGGCCGGTCACGCACGGCCTTTTTATGAGAGGTATTTAGAGGATTAGCTCCGTTCTTAAAGGCCCTTAGTGGGCACCCTTACCCAAGGAGACGGAAATCCGTGAGGTAGGGGAGGTGTGACATTTTTAGGGCCGACCTTTTCTAACCCTTCCTTCCTTGTGAGAAGGCAGCATCGCTGCAGATGCTGGTTGTCCGAGGGAAACACCTTACTGCTGTCACACCCCTCTGCAGTCAGCAGTACGACTTCGCCCTCAGACCTTGGGTAGCTGCTTTTAGTCTCATCGTTCTCCAACCGACCTGCCTGGCATGGTAGGACCTGCAGGAACATGTGTTCCAGCCAGTATAGCTCGGTTGGGTCATCACGATAGTCAAGCCAGACCACCACGTCAAGGTAGCAGCTTCGGTCGGGACGGACTAAGAAATCATAGTCCATTGAGATTTACAATTGATCTATTGACATTTGTGAATGCAGGAATGACTGAATTGTTCTACGACGATTAGTTCTTTCAAGAACTTGATATTGGTAATAAATACCCAACGATTCACTGACAAACTGCTAACTTAGGAACAAGACAAACTGTCGGGAAAAGTTAGCATTCATATAAATCCAATTGGAAAGACTTGCAATGATTGGAAATAAAGGGAACAAGGCATACAAAAAGTCATCGAAATCATATAGTGACTATCCAAAAAACTTGGAAGATTGTTACGCAAGATATTGGATTGTTGGTGGTGATGTGAGATCCCCAAAAGGTCCTAATTTTTGAGTTTTGTATGTTTTCGCGCATAAGTTTCTCAATTGACCTTGAGCTCACTTTTACTACCGGTAAAATGCTTGACTGTTATTATTGGTTGATGTAGTATTTTAGTACGCTATTTTTGTGGCTCTCCCAAGGACGTTTCTATCATTATATAAATTAGCTTGATTTGTGTGCTTGTCGACATCGTATTTTCTGTAGAGTACACTTTCTACGCCTTATTAAGACTGCTTTATAAAGTTAGCCGGGCCGGAGACCAATGGATTAGAATAGCCAATCGTGTCACTGGATCATTTGTCTTCGCTCTCGTTTGCCGAGAGATTATCATTCATTGCAGCTGAAATTCTATTCAAAATTGCTTATTTGGCAAAGTAAAGTAATTCACATCGATTGATCAGTGTTAGACAACTATTCGAAACCTGGAAGCATTGACTGGTCATGAGACTGACTCATCAGCAGTGCGCATCCATGACACCCACTCGCAGGTGCATTCACTCTTTGTTTTCTCTAAAATCCTAACCTTCTGAATTCCTCACCACTTCCATGTTTCTGTTTATAAATTTACCTCACTGAATCATACTTCTTGAAATAACATATTAGAGCTCTCATCTCTCCAATAACTTCTAATACATTCACTACTTCTACTACTATGGGATTTGGATTGACAATTATATCTCTGTGTTAATGTGGTATGGTAACTTGAACTGATGTACTTACGTACGAAGTTCTCTGTTGTAACTGACTGACTGACAGATACCCGCTCGCTGGAATCAATTCGTGAACCTTCAATTACGCACGTAAACGCTTAACATCTACATCAATAAGTCGGCGTTAAGCGTTTATTTCAATCGATCTGTGATACTGCATGAACATCAACCATTGTGTTCGGTTGATAACTGAATATTAAAAGAATTAGCCTAACATTTTACAAAAAATAAGCTGAATATAATATGTCTAACGACAGTAAAAGGCTTTGAAACAACCATTGTCAAGATAAGACTAAGATAAGAGTTTGGAAATCTTTAAATATTCCAAATATTATGTCAATAAATGCCGACTAACGGGGAACATAAGTCAAACAGCCTCATTTTCCCAATGTCTCTACTAACCTACCCCTCGTGAAGCACATAGGCCACCGACTTGCATTCTCCGTAGGTCGTCCTTTATTGTTCTGTCCACTCGGTGCTCATTCTTCTCATGCTTGTCTCCATTTCTTCAGGTTACCTCTTCTCTTTTGATCTTAAGGATTCCAAATGAGGGCTTGTTTTGTGATTCAGTTTGGTGCTTTACTTATATCTCTAGTCACTAATAAAATATTTTTTTATCAGTCATTGAAATAGTCAGCTGTTAACAAATGTTTACTGTCTACCTATTCACTTAAATATCTATACATCTTTTTGTGCTTTTCTTTTAAATTTTTTCCAGGATTTTGAAGGTTTCAATCCTGGTTTATATGTTCATTTATTGTATACAGATCGTATGCGTACTATACAAGATAAACAAAAGGTATTTTCGATTGTCTATTTCATTAATTTATTTTGTAAAGTACTATCAATCTACTTTCTTTCTTTGTTAGTAGTATAATATCATATAAAGCAAAAGTTTTTTTCAGATTTTTCATGGGTATGATATTGTCGTTGTTGTTTTCCAACAACAATGTAAGTTTCTATTTAGAATGGAATCATATGAACTGCACAGAAATCTGTTGACGTACATTGTCATTATCTAGTTCAAGAGAGAAGCTACACGATTTGTGTTGTTTGTTGGTAACAGTTCAAATTAACGTTCACTGTCCAGACAGGAAACTTTAGGTTTTGAACAGCGTGTAGTGTGCCGATTTACTGCGTGTTCTTAAGCTCGGTTTATAAATCAGAAGATGAACTCCAAGTATCGTATACGTTTATTGTAGCACACCACAATAAGGATAGTAGAGAAGCGAATTGGAGAAGGCTAAGAGCCAACTCTTTGGATTACAATGCGAGCGAATGGGCGAAGCGAATCGGAGAAGGCTAAGAGCCAACTCAAACAGATAGAACATGACTCAGAATATAAATTCAGATAAAAATAAGACAGACATATGACAAGCGAAATAGATATGCACACACGTGAATAAAAGCGACGAATGATTGACAAGATCAAAAGCAAGCGATACAAATCATGTGAGTTCATAGGGATATTAAGAGACTAACATTCAAACGAATAGGATGAGTAAGTGCGTAAGCGTAAGCAATGCTCAGTCGTACAAGCTCATACAAAGCAGATAATAAAAAATACCAATGGTACATATGAGTTGTTGCTAAGCGAATGGCTTGGTTAAATAAATTAATCGAAAGGGCTTAAGCAAATTAAATGTAAGCGGATGCAAATAAATGTGGAGGCACTACAAGCGCAAGAGGTGGATACTCATTGGCTATAATTCTTTTTTATGGTAAACAGTGTTGAGTGTTACTGAAATCGTCAACTGGTAGATGAATGCCCGGCCCAAGCAGCTGGGGTTGAACCCAGGACCGCTAGTCTCGCGCATGAACACAACCTCGAATCTACTGAGCTAGTATTCAACGATATTAATGTTTAAAATCAATCCGCGATATTGTGAGACCCCATCCATTGTGTTCGGTGGATCGTCAACTTAAACTAGACATGTGTTGGGCACGTTAGATCTCCAGAAGGTCCTAATTATGTAAGTTTATTCTGAGATTTTGAATTGTCATGTTCTCGCGCCAGTTGACTTTCAGCTCACATTTCCTCCTCAAAAAATCCTTGACTATCATTGGTTGATGGATTATTTCAGTACGCTATTTATGTGGCTATCACGAAGGGCGTCTCTATCATTGTTTAAGTAAGATTGATTTGTGTACTTAACAATGTCGTATTTTCTGGATGCTTATAGAATACATTCTCTAAGACTTATCAAGACTTCTTAGTCTAGTTAGCCGGGACTAGGACAAACGGATTAGAAAAGTCTATCGTATCACTGTATCGTTGACTTTCGTTCCATTTACCGACTTAGGTGAACTCGTAATATCTATCATTCAGTCAGTCAGTCAGGCAGTCAGATGCAACGTAGAACTTCGTACGTAGGTACATCAGTTCATGTCGCCATACCACATCAGCACACAGATGTATTTGTCAATTCAAATCCAATAGTAGTAGAGGTAGTAAAGGTATTAGAAGTAATTGGAGAGGCTAAGGATTAGAAGATATTATTCAAGAAGTATGATTTAGTGAGAAAAGTCTAGAAAGAGAAAACTGGAGGTGTTGAAGAATCCAAAAGATTAGGATTTGAGAGAACATAAAGAATGAATGCACCTGCACCATTGCAAACGATTTTGAGCCATGTCATTCAGGGTCTCTAACCGTCGTTTATTATCATCTCGCGGACCCCAACCAGGTAGTCGACAATTACCAACATGGCTAAGTCCGCTGGTCAATGACTTCATGGATTTGTGCCATGTTTTGGTTTGGCCACCCCTAACTTTCTTCCAGCCTACTCCTACACTACAAAACAAAGCTCTTCGAGGCAGTCGGTGGTTAGGCATACTGAACAATTGTCTCAACCACCTCAACTGATGAAGTTTCACCACTTCATCTATTGATCTGCCATTCTTACCTAGCACACGATTCCTAATAACAGCGTCACTCACTTGGGTGTCCCACGATATACGAGCAATGCTTCGCAGACACCTATGATCGAAAACCAGTAACCTACGAATATCTTCTACTCTGACTGACCATGTTTCACAGCCATAAAGTAAGACGGAGCAAACCATTCAAGTATATCAACATCTTTGAACTTGTCTATTTATGAATTTTCCTTTGATCATGTCTATTTATATCAAAATATTATTATTTTGTTTTATCCCCCAATACAAGATGGTTAATTTATGGTCAACTGTATGTAATACAATCTTGAATATGCCTGAAATGTTCTATTATGAACCATGTGGCGATATTCGTCTTTTTAATAAATCAACAATGATACAATGTGGATTGGCTAATTTCAGTCATCATCATCAGTCCATCCATAATTCAATGATCAATAATCATTTTGAACATTTAATCTTGATGGATTGTCATCGAAGTGTATTGGAGAGTTTTTTGAAAGTTATTGAAATGGGTTGGATGGTTATGTTGAATGGTCCACCTGGATGTGGTAGGTTATTAGTTTTTTTATCAAAAATCATAAAATCAATTTATTTGTAGTAATTCTAATGAGTAGGAAATTTAAAATATCTTTTTGATGTTACATGATATCGTGTTGAAATGAAATAAGACAGAATATCATATAAGATGAGTAATTTCTGTGTAGTAGACTAAAAAATTTATACCTTATCATAAAATAAGTGTATTCTTAGCTGTCTCCCATTCCATTCGAATGCAACGCTCTTCAGTTTGACAGTCAATTCATGACGATACTGCTGTATATCCACTATGATTCTCTTAAGGTAGCCAAATACCTCGTCATCTAATTGAATGGGTATATTAGGTGATGCGCATAAATGGAGCTTTTTGGGGGGTTGTGGTGACGGCTACCTCTTCGTGGTCCTGTCAGGCAAAGTGGATTTGTTTGCAGTGCTGTGGCTAAAAGCTGTTCTGAACGCTTAGGATACCGTGCCTGGCATGGTCCGGAATGATGGTACGTGTTCATGGTTGCAAGGCTGTGGATGCGGTAAGCCACTCAGTGGGATTAGGACTGAACGTCTCTAAGTCTGAATCCCGTCCATCGATCGTAGGTAAATTCGGATAATGGTTTGAGGTCTTGTCCTCTATCATTCCGTAGTAGAAAATACCTTAAAAGAGATGTAGCTTTCCAAGATGATTGAAGACGGCCCTGGACGTTCTGTTTGGGGAAGCAGCCGTAGAAATCCTGGACTACAGACGCCGACCCTATGTGGTTATCCCGAACACTACATCTCGGTGTAGTGTGTAAACTGGCGCCGAGGCCCCTTAAACAAGGGTCTCGAATTGGGTTATGTGATCCGGTGCCAAGGGGTACTGGACGCCAATGATATCTGCCCACTTCTGTGGGATTAACCCCGCTTGGCTGAGTGCTTGCACTTGGTTGAGTTCATGACATCTTCCTCATGAGAGTGTGTATGTTCCGACCGACCTTGTGGAACAAACTCGATCTTTAGCTTCATGTGGGGTCTGAGGACTCCGGTCGATTGTAACAGCGCCAGGCAGTTGGAGGCCAGGCGGCTAGAATGGCTGCTGGTTAGTGCACTGCTGAGTGGCTCGGTAATCCATTCAGGGTGCCAGGTCTAGCTGAGTAAGCCCGCCTTGTCGCTCATGCAGATTGGGGATTTTGGGTAGTGGATCGGTGGAGGGATCTTGCTGATTCATAAGTGCCCGAACGGGGACCACTGTTCATGTGCGTGCTTTTTGGACGTTCGACCTGCTTGCAGATGTAGGCTACGTGGTTGGGGTCAGTGAGACGAAAATCACCGATGGTTAGAGACTCTGAATGACATGGCTCAAAACCGTTAGCAATTGTGCAGGTGTATTCATTCTTTGTGTTCTCTCAAGTTCTAACCTTTGGAGTTTCTCATCACCCTTATCCTTTTCTTTTCAAGTTTATTCCACTAGATTCTACTTCTTGAATCATATCTTCAAACCCTAATCTTCTCCATTACTGCTTATACTTCTACTATATTTGAATTGACAATTTCATCTCTGTATACAAATGTGCTGGTATGGCAACTTGAACTGATGTATGTACGTACGATATGTCGATGAAGACGCTAACAAAATGCAAAGTCTTCTGACTACCCTAAGCAACAATGCAAGCATGTTCAGGATACGGTTCTCACTCTCGAAATACAAAATGTTGTTTCAAATATTAGGTGGTAGGTGATAGGGTGTGAAGTAGTCGGGCCTGTTGAACGCTTCACTTATCTCGGGAGTTTTCATCTGCGCTGATCGCCTGTTGACTGTCAATTCAAATCCTATAATCGTAGTGATAGTAGAAGTATTTAGCAGTAACAGCGCATGCAAACACGCGCTACGAACTCAAAAGTGTCATTGTACACCACGTATTGTTATTAATTAATGAATTTATGTAGATAAATCAATGTTTGTATTTTGTAATTTTTATATTTTGTATATTAGGCAAACGTACGCTAACTCATTTAGCATCAATTCTACTGAATCAAACTTTATTAACAATGTGTTTATCACCTACATCGGATACAATTGAATTACTTGGTTCATTGGAACAACGTGAATCTGGTGGTTTATTTGAATGGATTGATAGTCCATTAGTCAAGGGTATTATTCATGGTTATTGGGTACTGATTGAAAATGCACAATTATGCAGGTAAAAAATTGATGTATACATTAATTACAGACGATAATTAAAAGAATTATACCTAGGTATTGATTTTCTACTTACTTATTTATTTGCATAGAGAAATGAGAAGACATATTTTGTGAGATAGTACCATTTCGTGCGTTCTTGTCAGTCACATACAAGCAACATGTTATTCGTGTGTAAATACAGTTTTGAAGATAAGGTCAAAATTTCTTATTTAGCATGACATCGACTCACTAGAACCATGGTAAACAAAGGTCAACATACAGTTGTTTTTGAACACATAAAGTTGGACTTTTCCGACCAATCAAGTAGTAGTTTGAGTAGTTTCAGTGTGTGTGGGTTTTGATGACCTTCAATGCTGCTAATCTGAGGCTTATCACAACAACCCAATCGATCTCAGTTACCCCAATCAAGTCTCCAAGACCGATTCAGTACAAATCCAACTGTATTTACCAATTCACATGTAACTGCGGAGAAAGTTACTTAGGGAGGACAGATCGCCGATTGGAAGACAGGATAGGAGAACATATTCCAAAATGGCTAATCAAATCCATGATTCATCCACCACCTTGCCCATCATCTCAAGATGATCGATCAAGAAACCCAGCCTCATCCATTGCAAAACATCTAATGATGATGAGTGGTCATCAAATTGACCCAAAATCAGCCTTTAGAGTTGTGACATTAGAAATCATCCATCAATCATTGTTAGACCACCATTAGAAACCTGGAAGCACTGAAAGATGGCCGTTTCATCCTGGTATGGGACTCATCAGCGACAGTGCGCATCCACGACTCCAGCACCTCGCAGGATTCGAACCCGGGACCTTCGGCTTTGTGCTCGAACGCCTAATCATCGGACCACTGGGCCGGCCGGCATCAAACGGTGTTAATGTCTAACTCTGATTGATCTACGGATTTCGCGCGACCTCTAATAGTGGTCTGACAATGATTGATTGATGATTTCAAATGTGTGCCCGAAAAGTACTTACTTTAGCCAAGTAAAGTTGATTAGTAGTAGTGTAGTGAAGGAGAACACAGGTGGGACAACCGAATTGTATTTAACGAAAATTACAGAGTTACTCAGTAAAATCGGACAACCATATCGTAAATCATTAATTTGCAAAATATCAGTTCATCATATCGAACTGGACTGTTCCTGTTGCAGAAAACATCAATCCATTGTCACTATTCATGCGTTTCATACAAATTCCATTGTGTTCTTCTTACTCTTCCTTTCTTGATCTTCCCCCATCTTCTTCTGCCAGACATTACGTTGACACTCATGTTATATACTACTTATAAGTAGCGCGCACCACAGTAGTAGCATAGACAAAAGAAATATGTTACAAACTTGTTTATTCATTGCTTATTTCACTCAACTTTTTTTTCTCACACAACACATTTCAGCTTAAATATACTTACCATTGTTACACTCTTCGACTTGCTCTTAAACACTAAAATTCGATATACATAAGTGTAAGCATTACATAACACAAATGTTTTGCAATATCAAGTACAATTCTCTTTGCAATTAATCATTTATCCTGTGTTGCTTTTTTCTGTCTGCTTTGTTCTCTTCAAAAAACAAACAAGTCCTTCAGTACTTGATCGTTTAAATAGTCTTCTTGAACCAAACGGTGAATTATTACTTAGTGAACGTGGTCTCGATGCAAATGGTAAACTTGTCACATTGAAAGCACATCCTAATTTTCGTTTAATTTTAACTGTGGATGAATTGACCAGTGTTGGTGTCACTAGTTCCACCGGGATATCTCGTGCAATGCGTAATCGTGGCTTAGAAATTTGTTTCACTGAGCCGGTAAGTTAAATCTATCGATTGTTTTGAAAATTACGTATGCATATTTTTCGATAATGTATGTGATCCTGGGACACCCGAGTGAGCAACGCTGTTATTTAGAAACGGGTGCTAGGTAAGAATGGCAGATCGATAGATGAAGTATTGAAACTTCATCAGTTGAGGTTGTTGGGAAATGTGTTGCGTATGCCTAACCACCGACTGCCTCGACGATCTATGTTTCGCAGTGCAGGAGTCGGTTGGAAGAAAGCTAGGGGCGGCCAAACCAAAACACGGCAGAAATCCATGAAATCACTGACAAGTGGACTGAGTCATGTTTTTAGATGTAGGCTACCTGGTTGGGGTCCTCGAGATGATAGTCACTGATGGTTAGAGACTTTGGACGACATGGCTCAGAATCGTTTGCCATGGCACAGGTGCATCCACTCTTTGTGTTCTCTCAAATCCTAATATTCTGGATTCTTCAACACCTCTAGTTTTGACTTTCTAAACTTTCTAAACCTAGAACTTCGTACATAAGTACATCAGTTCATCTTGCCATTAACCACATTAGCACAGAGACATGTAATTGTCAATTCAAATCCAATAGTAGAAGAGGTAGTAAAGGTATTAGAAGTAATCGGAGAGGTCAAGATTAGAAGATATTATTCAAGAAATATGATTCAGTGAGAAAAGTTTCGAAAGTCAAAACTAGAGGGATTGAAGAATGCAGAAGATTAGGATTTGAGAGAACATAGAGACTAAATGCACCGGCGCCATTGCAAACGGTTTTGAGCCATGTCATTCAGGGTCTCTAACCATCGGTTACTATCATCTCGTGGACCCCAACCATGTTGTCCACATCTACTAAAATCACTCAATCCACTTGTCAATGACTTCATGGATTTGTGCTATGTTTCGGTTTGGCCGCCCCTAACTTTCTTTTAAACCTACTCCTACACCTCAAAGCATCGCTCAACGGGGTAATCTGTGTTTTGGCATTCGTAGAACATGTCCTTACCACATCAAATGATAGAGTTACACCACTTCATTTATTGATTTGCTATCCCTACCTAAGACCCGTTTTCTAACGGCAGCATTACATACTCGATAGGCTCAAGATTAATGAGCAATCTCTCGGAGACTGTGATGATCGAAAACCACTAACCTACGAATATCTTTTACTCTCACTGGCCATGTTTCGCAGCCATAAAGTAAGACTGAGCGAACTAATGTGCAGTATACCCGTTATTCGGTTAGCAGACGGATATCTTGGCTGCTTCATAAGTGCCGCAAGTTAGCAAAAGCCTATCAAGCCTTCTGTATCCGTGCTGAGATTTCATCCCACACCACGCAATCAGCACTGATGTGACTCCCTAGATGAGTTAAGCGGTCGACACACTCAGTCGTCACATAAAAAGAATGGATTAATTGATTTTTTCCAAGTCTGCGGAGATCTTTATACACATACTGCACACGGTATCAGTTCATAAACTACTCATTGACAATTGGACTGAACTAGGTTGTCATCTGTTTTGCGTTCCGAGATGCCGTGTACCGCTTCTCGATTCATTGGGATTGTTCAGTGAATAAAACTCCTTTGTTATCTTGTTTAGTTCTCATCTTGCTTCTATCGATTTTTGAAGGTCATAGAAATTACAGTTTCGTTTGTTTTATTAATGAGTGTGATTACACAGGTTGTTTAATATAACTTTGGTATATGGCTAAACCATAGTACTTGATTTTTGCTTGACCTTGTGTTGTTTTTTATTATAGATTATGCAATCTCACATTGATTTATTACGTGTATTCACATCGATTCGCGTTCCTGAACACATTAGTACACATTTAATACAATTTCATGCATTTTATGTTGAACTCTGTGAAAATCCCGCATTATTCATGGAATTCCATACCGATTATCATGATGAAAAATTAAAATTATCAAGTCATACTACTAACAAATGTAATAGTAGTAGTAGTACTACTACTACTGCAACACAACAATATTCCATACATTGTCATCAATTGAAAAAAATTCCAATTGGTGCTTTGATTTCAGCTGGTTATTTAGCTAAACAACTTTTACAAAAAGCATACAGCAATGAAACTGGACTTGAGAATGAGGAGCAGGTGAAGAAAGGACAGGAAACACCGAAGACGGCGAAGAATAAGAAGAAGGAGACTAAGAGAAGAAAATTGCAAAAACTAACGAGTAGCGTGAAGGTGAACAATGTTGAAGACAGCGGCGATACTATCACTGAAGGTAACGATGATGATGATGACGATGGTATGAAAAAGAGTGAAATGAATACAGATGCAATTTTGTTGCATATTTTACAATTTACTTATTGTCAACGTCAAATGAATGTCAAATGTATTGAGGTAAGAATTATTTATCTGCAATCATCAATCGTCCACACACACCGCTAATGAGTTCCATACTAAGACGAAATAGCATTCCAGTGCTTCTAGGTTACTAGTGGTGATCTAACTTTGATCGATTCATGATTTCAAATGTGCAACTGAACAATCTTTCGAGCGACTGAACTTTTTTATCATTAAAATTTTAGTGGAGTGTGTTATGGATGCGGGCGGGAACCCTGAATTATTTGTTCTCACTAACGTATTTTTTGCTAGTTAGTTTTTTACGGGATGAGTTCGTTAACGTCATGCTCAACCATGCCCTCCTTTTACATCGACTTTGAGACTGGAAGTAATCCTAGAGAGGTTTCAGGTGGAATGGTCGGATTGATTATGAGGATGTCCACTTCTGGGTGGGGGAAACACGGGATACATTGGACAGCTTGGATGCAGCTGGACGAGCTGAATTTTGCAGATGATCTAGCTCTTCTATCGTACTTGTGACAACAAATACAAAAGAAGACGACCAGTGTAGCATCAGCCCCAGCAGCAATAGGTCTCAACTTACATAAACGGGAAAAAAAGATTCTACGATACAACACTACGTACGCTAATCAAATCGCTCCTGATGGAAATACCTTGGTGGACGTTAAAACTTATACATATCTGAGCAGCATCGTTGATGAGCAAGGTGGACCTTATGCATATGTAAAGGAAGTGGATCGGCAAAGTTTGGACAGCATTTCCACGACTGAAGAACGTCTAGAACTCAAACACAACTATCAACAAACATGGAGGTGCGAATTTTCAATACACATGTCAAGACGGTTCTGTTGAATGGGGTTGAAAATTGGTAAACCACGAACTCTATCATCTGAAAGATAAAAGTGTTCATTAACAGTTATCTACGCAAGATACTGTGGATCCGTTGGCCAGACACCATCAACAACAACCTACTGTGGGATAGAACAAACCAGGAATAAAAAATCAGGAAACAGAACTGAAAGTGTATAGGAAACACGTATACGGAAGCATCTAACTGTGTCACAAGACAAGCTCTCATTTGTAATCCTCAAAGACAAAAGGAAAAGAGTAAGATCAAAGAGCATACTTTTCCGAGAATTGAAGGCAATTGAATAGATGTGGAAAAGATGGCTGAGGCTTGCTTAGGTTGGAAAGCGCAGGTCGACCGCTTTTGCTGCACTGTATTACTAGTCGTAAGTAAGTAATTGAGTGGGTGGGTTCTGGTTGATGAGATCGTTATGAGCTTGCTTCCAGCCAATGAGACATACAAACGTTAGATATTCAAGCAACCAATTAATCTTTATATCATTGATTCGTTGTCTAAGAGTAGTATTAACGGAGACGATAATAATGATGACGATCTGGATGACCTTTGATACAAAGATGTTTTGGCTGTAGCTCTCGTAAACTCACCTCTTTCTGTTGTACTAATATAACTGCTTTCCCCGGGTACACATATATGTATACAGAGATGGAGGCAACATGAAAGTTGTAACCGCTAATCTTTGATTAGTGAAAAACTTCTCTGTGATATAAGGCATCATTAAATTGATAGATTGACAATTATAATTCTGTTCTTTTTCAAATTTACCTGAAGCTAATGCCATTAATTCACTCAAACCAAACTTATCTATTCAAAATGGTACTGTTGTAAATCTTTACATACCATAATGAATTGTTCATCAGTTTTTTTACATCATTCTTGTGAATTTCCTTCCGCTCTTGTATTGATTACATAATTCTATTTTTCTTTTAAATGACTAATTATTACTACTGACTTGAAATGTGTGAAAAATAAAAGACTTTATTGATAAAATGTTACAACTATCTATGATGGTCACGTTATTCAACTAAGTCCTAGGTCGGTCAGTTAGTTACAACGTTGAACTTCGTACGTTTGTACATTAATTCAGGTTGCCATACCACATTAGCACACAGAAAAGGGCAATCGTCAATTCAAATCCTGTTGTATTAAAGGTTGTAGAAGTTATTGGCAGTAATAGAGAAGATTGAGGTTTTGAAGATAGGATTCAAGAAGTATAATTTAGTGAAATAAATTTAGCAAGAGAAAGATAAAGGTGATGATGATGATGATGATGAAGATTAGAACTAAACTCTCAGCTGTATCCTTTTCGGTTAATCTAGAATAAGCACGCCGTCTAGAGAGCACGCCTACGCTTACTGCTGGTCCTTAAGCTCTGATAGAGGTGCAAGGTTGGACATCGGAGTTTAGCGATCCCATTCCCCGTACGAAACCAACTGTCTTTGTTACGAAAATTTTCTGAGATTGTTTATTAATAAAATTGTAAACAGTCTACGTATTTGAGTTACCTATTTCAATAACATGCTTGATATACTTGTATAGTTTCTTCGAACCATAATCTCTCCGATTACTGCTTATACTTCTACTACTTCTATCACTATGGAATTTGAATGGACACTTGCGTCACTATATGGTAATATGGTTTGGTAACTTGAACACTGATGCATGTACAAGCTTATAAAGTTCTATATTGTAGCTGATTGATTGACCAACTGACTAACTGACTGAACATGCTAGATATACTCAAAAGAAAATCAGTTACATCAATGGAAGGTTAACTAGAATACTGATTATATTATTCACTTTTTGTTATATTCTTTACCTCTTCGTGTCAGACAGATAGATAGATACAACGCAGAACTTCTTACATAAGTACCTCAGTTCAAGTTGCCATACCATATCAGCACAGAGATGCAACTGTCAGTTCAAATCCAAGAGTGATAGTGATAGTAGAATTATTAGCAGCAATAGAGAAGATTTGGGAGCAAAGATATGATTCGAAAAGTATAATTCAGTGAGATAGATTTAGAAGGAGAAAGGTAAAGATTATGAGGAATGCAGAAGGTTAGAATTTGAAAGAACACAAAGAGTGGATGCACCTGTTGTGCTATTGCAAACGATTCTGAGCCATGTCGTTCAAAGTCTCTAATCATTGGTAACTTTCGTCTCACGGACTCCAACCAGGTAGCCTACATCTACCAACATGACTCAGTGTAATTGTCAGTGACTTCATGGATATTTGTGCCATGTTTTGATCTGGCCGCCTCAACCTCTTCATGTGTTTTTACAGCTAGGTAACTACGTAAGAAATTTCGCATTGTTTCTTTAGTGTGTTCTCCTTTGTTTTATATGAATTCAGTTTAATACACATTGACAATCATATGTGTACTTTTCAATTTTTCTTATTGCCTTATTGTTGCCCTTATTGTTGTTGTTGTCAGTCTGTTTATCTGTTGTTTTTACCTGTTTGTTTGTTTGTGTCCGTCTATCTCTCTGTTTATTTATTGATTTTCAGTTTGTCAATCATCTAATTCATTTCTATGTGAAAAATATCACTGATGATCACCATCCTCCTCTACATCAACGCATGACATCAGTTCAACTACCAAATTATTATTTACAACATACTATTAAAGAAATTATTCAACAAAATCAATCTGCACAAAATTATCGTCATTCATATGTGAATTTAATAAATTTAACATTAAAACAATATTATGACAATAAACCATTGAACATTGATATGCGTTTAATGATTCAACGTATTTTATTTGAACAAGCTAATTTAACTGATATACAATTCTTAATACAACCAGATGAATTAGGGAAAATACTAATTCCACTCAATAGTGAATCCAATATGAGTAGAATGCCGCAAATATGCACTGATTGGTCAGATTGGCCTGATCTACGTTGGACACCTGGATGGAAACATTTGATTGGTTCATTGGATATTGAATCAGATAAATTGATTAATGAATGGAATAAGTAAGTGATTAATTGATAAATCTGTTTATTGTAATCAGTTTATTGTAATTTTGTTACGCATGCACATAAACAGATGACCTGGCTCTTCTATCGCACACGCAACAACAAATGCAAGCGAAGACAATCAGTGTAGTAGCAGCCTCTGCATCAGCAATAGGTCTCAACATACATAAAGGAAAAAGCAAAATTCTCCGATGCAACACAACATGAAACAACCAAATCACTCTTGATGGAGATGCCTTGGAGGACGTTAACACCTTTACATATCTGGGCAGCATCATCGACGAGAAAGTTGGATCGTATGCAGATGTGAGGGTGGTGATTGGCAAACCGAGGGCTGCATTTCTACAGTAGAAAAATATCTGGAACTCCAAACAACTTTCAAACAAAATCAAAATCAGGATTTTCAATACAAATGTCAAGACAGTTCTACTGTATGGAGCGGAAACCTGGAGAACTACGAAAGACATCATCCAGAGGACTTATACACTATGTTACGAATGAGGTTTTCTCTACTTCCTCCATTCAACTCTGTGTATTCACCAACCCAGCTTTAAACATGGGGTAGTCTTTTTTTATTCTACCTTGTAAAAAGCACTCTAACACATGAAGACAGTGAGTGAGACGTCGCTATTATAGACCATAAAACTCACTGAAATCATGACGTGATCAATGCTGGATCATCATCGGAAACTTGGAAGCACTCAACAGCCATTTGGTACCAATACACAACTTCACGGTCAGGAATCGAGCCCGAAACTTTTGGTTTCACGTGCAATTTCCTAACCTCCGGAGGAACATTGATCAGTTCATGGTTTCAATAAAACTCAACAATCTTCACAACATTATACTGACTATAAACTGGTGACTAGCTTCGTGAGGAAATTCTCGGAGTTCTAGTTGAGAAGACGTGACCAATGGAGTTCAACCCTGTCGGGTGTAGGCAGTAACTACCAAAGACAAATGGGTGAGGTCGCGCAAAATCCCTAGATCAATCAGAGTTAGACATTAACATTGTTGGATGCCGGCCCAGTGGTCCGATGGTTAGGCATTCACGCACAATACCGAAGGTCCCGGGTTCGAATCCTGCGAGGTGCAGGAGTAGTGGATGCGCACTGGCACACTGATGAGTCCCATACCAGGATGAAACGGCTGTCTTTCAGTGCTTCCAGGTTTCTAATGGTGGTCTAACAATGATTGATTGATGATTTCAAATGTGTAAAAACACAAACCTCCAAAACTCTGCCCGAAAAATATAAACTTATTACCATATGAGAACATTTCAATCACTCAATCAACAGCAACGTAAAACTTAGTACGTACGTACACCGATTCATGTTGCCATACTACATTAGCACAAAGATGCAATTGTCAATTCATATCCCATAGTAGTAGAGGTGGTAGAATGATGAGCAGTAATCGGAGAGATTATAGTTCGAAGATATTATTCAAGAAGTAGAATCTAGTGAAAGAAACTCAAAACGAAATGATAAAGGTGATGCGGAACATTGAAGGTTAGGATTTGTGAGAACACAAATCATGAATGCACCTATGCCATTGCAAACATGTCATTCAGGGTCTCTAACCATCGATCACTATCATCTCGCTGACCTTAACCAGGTAGTCGACACCTACACCAACATAACTTAGTCCAATTGTTAGTGATTTCATGGATTTTTTGCATGTTTCGGTTTGGCCGCCTACGAGCTTTCTGCTAACCTACATCGCAAAACATCGCTCGACGACGCATTCGATACGAATTCTTTTCACTCTCAACTGTACATCTAACTAATAAGTCCTTAACAGAATGTAATATAAACCTTGTTATTTGTTGTTCTAGTTCACTGCAACCAAATGTGACATATATATCTTTCCAATGATTGAATAATTTCATTTCCTTATAATTTTTTTTTACTAAACAGAAAATACTACTTATTATTAATTCATGAATTAATTCAATCCACTGAACAATACATCAGTGATTCGTCATCATTGTTTCATAAAAATCAATCATATTCCTTATCAAAATCATCTGATCTCAGTCGAATACCTGTATTGAAAATTAATAAATTGCATAAGGAAACTAATTTTCCATCTGCTTGGTTAGATAACTACTCCAATTTATCTAATCTACATGAAAAATGGTTTGCATATTTAATAAATTTAGCCGATCAATACTCAACTATTATTCCGTCTGCACAAAATTCCACTAATTTCTTGTCAATGTTATATACGGAATGGATTAGTAAAGCATGGATTTGGTTACGTTTATTTGGTTCACGTGTACTAGGTGATTCATTTGATTGGTTTGAACGTTTCACATTTTATAATCAATATATTGTCGATGTTAATCATAATAGTAATAGTGATAGTCAGTATTTAACATTACCGAATTTGACTATGATTTCGCGGTATATTCAAACAAAATCACCTTTATTCAATGTGATCAATGATCGACGAGTACAATTGAATTGTATCTCAGTGGATTGGTTACAATTTGGTCAAGTGATTAATGAATTTTTGTCAAGATTCCATGCAGAATTACTGTCGACTAGAATTGATGATGTTGGAGACGGCAAGATGGATGATGTCGAAGCTGATGAGGAGGAGGATGATACTGATGCGATTGATTGTAATAATAATTACAGGGATGATGACAATTCTGATGTTGATGATGACGTCACCAACATGATGAAATTTTATTGTTTATGGCCATGGACAATGATTTTATTGTCGAAATTGGTGGAAATCAATTTAGATGCTGATGATGACGATGATGTTAGTAACCATCAAAACTCTGCTGAATCTATACGAATTTACATACGTACCAATTTGTTGACATTGAATCGACCGCAATTACTGGCTTGTTTATCAATGACAAGTCAGTGTTTTTTTAAAAATCGAAATTTTACTGAACAACTACGTGTTGCGCAACAGTTGTTTCAAGAATTCAATATCTCTTCAATCGATAATGATAATAATAGCATTACTAATAATGATAATATTGCCTCGATGTTTTTAACATTTGCATTGAAAAAGTTAGATTGGAATCTTGCAAACCAGTTGTTGAATTATCATTCAATAAATCAAGTGAGTTTATTTATACTACTGCTACTATTACTACTGTAGTGAATGAGAACACAGGTGGGGCAAGCGAATTGTATTTAACGTAAATTACAGAGTTACTCAGTAAAATCGGAAAACCATATCGTAAACGGTTAATTTGCAAATCTTCAATCCATCATATCATACTGGACTGTTCCTGTTGCAAAACATCAATCCATTGTCACTACTATTCATGCGTTTCATACAAATTCCATTTTGTTGTAACTCTTCCTTTCTCATGATCTTCCCCCCCCATTTTCTGCTGCCAGACATTACGTTGACACTCACGTCATATACTACTTATAAGTAGCTCACACCACACTACTACTGCATGTTTAGTTAGACCTGTTATTCTTTGTGGAGTATATGGGTGGGCATAAAGCAAGTCAAGACTCGAGTTGTTTGCGATTGATGTCTGCCTCCATAAGGCATCGCCAAATTTTGTTATTAAGATTATAAAGTTAGGGCTTGATTTGTTGTACTGTGGTGTGACCTACTTATAAGTAGTATATGACGCGTTTGTCAACGTAATGTCTGGCAGAAGAGAAGATATGGGAAGATCAAGAAAGGAGGAAGAGTTAGAAAACAATGGAATTTGTATGAAACGCATGAATAGTGACAATGGATTGTTGATGTTTTGCAACAGGAACAGTCCAGTTCGATATGATGAACTGATATTTTGCAAATTAACTGTTTACGATATGGTTTTCCTATTTTACTGAGTAACTCTGTAATTTTCGTTAAATACAATTGGGTTGCCCCACCTTTGTTCTCGTTCACTACAATAAGACTTGATTACTGCGATGTGTTTTCTATTCACCGCTAACGATTTTTTCCCTCTTTAGTTAGAAGGTATTTTATTCTATGCCACAGTAGATTGTTGCTAATACTGTATGGTTCTCGACAACTGTTAATCAACAACACCCTTATCTTTTGAATAATGACTTTCGTAGTTCTTCAAGTTCCCGCTCCATACAATAGAACTGTCTTGATGTTTTTATGGAACATTTTGACGAAATCGTCTCAGTAAAAACAGAATTATGTTTATGAATATTTTTGATTTTGACCAATTTGGTCTCGTGTGCTGTTAATGGTATGAGGGCGGTTGTCACTTCCCGGCTGCCCACACCGTGGAAGGTTGTTTCTTGAGGGACCTGAAAAGGAAGATAGATTAGTGTTGGTCTTAGAGACCTGGGAGCGTGACCTCAGAGCCCAAGGGACGTCTGCTTGAGGCCGGTCACGCACGGCCATTTTATGAGAAGTTTTTTGAGTGTTAGCTCCGCACTTGAAAGCCCTTGGTGGGCATCCTTACCGCTGGAGACGGAAATCCGTGAGGTAGGATGAGGTGTGACATCTTTAGGGTTGACATTTTCTAACACCCTCCCTTCCTTGTGAGAAGGCAGCATTGCTGCAGATGCTGGTTGTCCGAGGGAAACACCTTACGGCTGTCAGACCCCTCCATCACAGTCAGCAGTACGACTTCGCCCTCAGACCTTGAGTAGCTGCTTTTAGTCTGATCGTTGTGCAATCGACCTGCCTGGCATGGTAGAACCTTCAGGAACATATGTTCCAGCCAATATAGCTCAGTTGGGTCATCACGATAGGCAAGCCTGACCATCACGTCAAGGTAGCAGCTTCGGTCGGGTTATGAATATTTAACGAGATATTTATAATGAACAATGAACTCATTTAACAAATAAAGTGTTTTTTGAGTATAGGGTTGAAGGGAATGTTGAGTTACTTTGAAATCGCTCGACCAATGTTAGATCACTATTGAGAACTTGGAAGCATTGCATATCCATGGTACTCATCAACACTATGCATCTAAGACTTTCGCTTTCAGGAATTGAACCTAGGACCTTTGACCTTGAGCGCGAACTCGGAATCTTTAAATCATGGAGCCTACATCCAACGATGACAATGTCTAATCTCGATTAATCTACGATCCTGCGCAACCTCATTCACTCACTGTCTTCGGTGAGCGATACTTCACATTTGAACAAGGTTGAACTACACCAGTTACGACTTCTCACTAGAACTCGGAGTAACCTCATCACGAAGCTAGTCACAATTGAGCACATGATAATTTTCACCATAATGGTCGTGAAGCTTGTTAACTTAGTTTAATTGAAATCTCGAGTCGAATAATGCTAGAGAGCGCGTATCATGAATACCCACTTCTATTGATTCGTCCTATACTAGGGCGAAACGGCTAGTCTAAGCAATGTTTCCAAGTTTCTAATGTCTTTTTACATATTGTATTAATCAACCGACTATTGTTAGATCATCATTAGAAACCTGGAAGCACACTGGACAAGCGTTTCGTCCTGGTATGTGACTTATCAGTAATAGTGCGCATCCACAACCCCATGCACCTCGCAGGATTCGAACCCTTCGGTCTTGCACGCAAACGCTTAACCTCTGGACTAAACATTAATTTATTCATGTTAAATCACTATTAGAAACCTGGAAGCGTACTGGACAAGCATTTCGTCCTGGTATGGGACTCATCAGTAACAGTACGCATCCACAACTCCATGCACCTCGCAGGATTCGAACCCTTCGGTCTTGCGCGCAAACGCTTAACCTCTGGACTAAATAAACATTAATTTATTCATAATTTCAAAAGAAAGCAGTTTTTTCTTCTCTGAATTGTTTAATTTCCTTTTTCTTCCTTCCTTTGCTTTGTTTATTTACTTTTCAAGCCGGATATTTTAGGTGAATGGCGTTCAATAAGTCATGCACTTGTTCATATCACATGGCCAATGTTATATGATTATGGTAATTATGCATATGCCGGGAAATTATCCATATCTCAATGGCGTTATCGTCAAGAAATTTTACAAAAAGCTAATCATTTATTATATCTCAGTCCAAACAAACATAAAACAATCAATCAGCGTAGTAGTAGTAGCAATAGTAATAGTAGTAGTACGGATGAATTATTACAGTGAGTTTAATTAGAATTTGGTTATTTTGAGTGAATTATGTGTTGTTGTTGTTGTGGTGGTGGTGGAGCACACTGATTCTGGCATTCAGTCGGAAGGTTCAATAAATATACGAACGTCTTCTGATGATTGTGATGATTGCTTCGTATTCAACTAGGTTTGTCCAGCCTGTTCTAGCCGTGTTCTGTTTTTAGAGGGCTGGTTGAATATTGTACAGTGTTCTAAGTATACTAACTAAAACGACTGTCACCCCTTGTGGAGCGTAGACCGCCGACTAGCTTTTTCCAACTTGCTGTGTCCTCAATTTTCCCTTCAAATTCTACCCATCTGCTGTTCATTCTTAGGTAATACTGTTATGTATGAATTAAGAAAACTGTTTCGAATACGATAGTCTCTCGTGCATATATTAGTCAGATTCAGATATTGTTGAAACATTTCTTGTATGTATTAGGATTACAAACGTGTTTCCATCGGACTACCAGCATCTGAAGTTGATGCTGCCTTTCTAAAAAGAAAGGAAGGGATTAGAAAAGGTTTTACGTAAAACTGTCACACCTCACCTTACCCCATGGACGCACGTTAACTTAACATTTGATGCGCTTGAATTACTATGAGTTTGCCTTAGTCGGGAAATGAGAGCGAGGATCGAGGACCTGGTGACACGACATGCTACTCTAATCCGAGTGTTCCAACCCCCATTGAGTCAAAGAAGACTTGATATGTAGTAGAACCTGTATTCTACAAGTATCCAGAAAGTACGAGGTCTGAATCAAGAAGAGAATCAGGATCCTGGACTGGGGATTCGGGACCGGGTGGTGGTCCTGGTCATAAAACGTTACAGATAATGCGTATTTATATATTTTGGTCGAACAGGAAACAACATCGAAGTCTGTGACATTGATAGTTAAGATGTCCAATAGGAAGCAACATTTGAAGTGACATTGATAGTCAGGACAACCATTAAGAAACAACATTGGGGCACGTGACCTTGACAGCTATGACGACCATAATATTGACCAGTAGGAGTTAACCAATAGGAATTGACCAATAATTCTCTTAGGATATTGGATGAATATCCTAACAAAAAGACAACTAACTGCATCCATCAGGAAAAAAAACAAATCTGAATAACACAATTTATTGGATGAATATCCTAACTTTTCCGTCTCAGGTGATAAAGTCTTTTAAACAACAGCGGAGCTTACACTTCAAAATCTTCTAACAAAAAAGGCTAAATGTGACTGGCCTGAAGCAGTAGTCCCTCGGACTTTTCAGTGACACTTCCAGGTCTCTAAGACCTGGAAGAAAGAAGAAACACTCTCACGATGTGGGCAGCTGGAAAGTGACATTCACTTATATACCCGTAACAGCACACAAGACCAAATCGGTCCCTATGAAATCTTTCCTACACCTAACAAACTTTCTTATCTCCATGTCTAACACTTAGTTTTTCTTCCCTGTTTCTTCCTCACAGATCTAATAAGTTCCATTTAATCGTACAACAAACTTACAATATTCTACATGGAATCTATCAAGCTGTCAATTCAACAAAGTCATCTGTCAATTTACAAAATCATAATAATACAAATGACGATCCACCACTTCATCATTCTATCACTTCAATTGATGCTAATCTACCAGAATTACTTGATTGGATTCATACAATTTTCAAGCCATTTTTAACTTCATTCAAATTATCTATAACTAAGGATCAATCAACAATGACAGATTGGTATCGTATTTTGTGTTTAATTGAATTATTGATTACTAATTTGGAACAACTATCTTCATCATCGTCATCATCTTCATCGTCATCATCAGTAGTATCTCATGAACAAACCAATCACTGTGTTGATAAAAATAATGAGATTGATGATGTTGTTATACGTTCGAAATTGATGCTATCTAATTGTTGGCTTATAATTGGTTGTTTATATATTCGTTGTCATTGTCCATATAGTCCATTGGATCCGTATATTGTTGTACAAGTTGAAGAAGAAGCTGTCAGATATGAGGTATGGAATGTGAAACACACATACACACACACACATGTGCCATTTGTTATATTGTGTTAAATAATTGGTACACATACACACACACATAAATGTTGTTGTGTTGTGCACGAATAGAAGTCAGCTAGATTCTATTTTAACAGGTGTCTTCCCCCGAGCCTTTCACTCAAAGATCTATTCCACAGCGTACGTACATTAGTTCAAGTTGTCATACCATGATAGTATAGAGATGTAATTGTTGATTCGAACATTGGTAAACACTTTGATGTTTGTGAGTGAGTGAGTGGGCTGGGATAATGACTGGTTGCCTAAACAGAAGCAGTTACATTCTTTTTAAGACGCCTCTTCCTGAGCCTTCAACTCAAAGGTCTAATCCACAAGGCAGCATTATGAGATGTAATTTCATGGTAACCGGTCACAAACCATAGGTTCTATGTGCTGTTTGTCCGCTCAGCATTAGTTTGTAATCAGACTTCTCCAACCTCATCAGATGAATCTGCCATACTCAGAGCGTTAGATAAAACGGGTTGCTTCTTGTTTGCTTTGATATACGCATATAAGTCTGTCAATAACAACGTAGAATTGAGTACGTAGGTACATCAGTTCAATTTGCTATACTATATTAGTACACAGTGAAGCGATTGTCAATTCAAATCCCATAGTAGTAGAGGTAGTATAGACGTAAGCGTTATTGAAGATTATAGTTGAAGATGTTATTCAAGGAGTCATGAATTGGTAATATATTGGCTTTTGCTGTTCAACGTCAGCTAAATTTATCCACAAGACTCTGATTCACATCGTTCAAGTAAGTTATTTATAACAGCATTTGACTGCGGATATAAAGAGTAGTAACTTATCGTTGGACTAAAATATGTAGTCCTCCTATTCAGTGTTTATATCAACTGGGAATATTTAAGCCGTGTCATTAGTCCAGTCAATTGGCTAAAACGTAGAACTTCGTACATCAGTTCAAGTTGGCATACCACATTACCGCAACGACTAAATTGTCAATTCAAATCCCTCAGTAGAAGTTGTTGTTGACGTATTAACGGTAATAGAGTTTAGGGTTCGAAATTATCATTCAGAAAGTATAATCTAGTGAAATAAACTTAAGGAGAGAAAGATGTGAAGGTCATGAGGAACGCAAAAGATTTGCATTTGATAGAACACAAAGAACGGATGCACCTGCGCCATCGCAAACAATTTTGAGCTACGTCATTCAAGGTGTCTAACCCATTGCTCATGTATTGTGGGACACCTCAGTAAGCAATGCTACCATTAGGAAGTGAGTACTAGGTAAGAATGGCAGATTAATAGATGAAGTAGTGAAACTTCATCAGTTGAGGTGCTTGGGACATGTGTTGTGTATGCCTAACCACCGACTGCCTCGACGAACTTTGTTTTGCAGTGTAGGAGTAGGTTGGAAGAAAGCTAGTGGCGGCCAAACCAAAACATGGCAGAAATCGATGAAGTGATTGACAAGTGGACTGAGTCATGTTGGTATATGTAGACTACCTGGTTGAAGTCCACGAGACGATAGTCACCGATGGTTAGAAACTTTGAATGACATGGCTCAAAATCCTTTCCAATGGCGCAAGTACATTCACTCTTCATGTTCCCTCAAATCCTAATCTTCTCAATTCGTCAACACTTCTACCTTTACTCACTGAATTATACTTCTTAAATCATATCTTGGAACCCTAATCTTCTCCATTAACAATTGTCAATGACTTCATAGATTTTCGCTATGTTTTTGTCTGGAAGTGGCATTAAATGTCAACCTCCTCCGGGAGGTTACGATTTACTTGTTGAAGATATGTATATATTTTTCGTAATTATTGAGTACTTGTATATGTTGTAACTCTGCTACGTATAGCTATTCAGTCCTAGCGGCGTCCAATTCAAATATTCCAATACGACCCAAAATGCTATTTCCAAATCTCCTAGATATCAGAACGCAACACCGTGGGATGGAGTTGTTTATTGGGTCGAATACAGAAGAGAGGTAGGCAGGAGAAACTGAATTGGAATCCGAATCGGAATTATTCAGTCTTTCAGATAGTGCGTATTTATACATTAAGGTCTGATAAAAAATGAGCATCAACGTCTGTGACATTGACAGTTTAGGACGACAACCAATAGAAAAGACCATTTGTAGGACATTGACAGTCCAGATGACCAATAAGAGGCAACATTGAAGTGTTTGACCTTGACAGTTAGAACGATCATAATTTCGGCCAATAGAAATCGATCAATAGGATTGTACTTCTAAAAATAGTATTCTTAGGATATTTGGTGAATATCCTAACAATATATTATTCAATGGCATCCTTCCTCTTCAATTTTCTTGTTCTCTCCATCATATTCTAGATGAAATCCATTACTAATGAATTAGAATTTCGTGAAAATATGCAAAAAATTGCCACCGGTTCATCGAATCATCATCATTCATTATTATTACCACCTTTGATTCATACAAATCCATTAGATATCAATGGACATGTAGATTGTGGCCTATTACATCCATGGTTAGGCGTACTTGTTAATCGACAACAATATCTTGTACAAAAAGCTGACACGTTGAAACAACAATTAGGAGGTGACAGCGTTTGTTTAGCAGCTGTTACACGTCAAAATTCTAATTTTGAAGTAAGTTATGTAATGAATTTCTATTATTTTTATTATTATTATTACTATTATTTTAAACCATGAACCGATCAATGTTAGACCACCATTAGAAACCTGGAAGCACTGGACGGCCGTTTCGTCCTAGTATGTGACTCTTCAGCAGTGTGCATCCACGACTCCTGCACACCGCAGGATTCGAACCCAGGACCTTCGGTATTGTGCGCGAACGCCCTAACCGTTAGACCACTGAGCCCATATCTAACGGTGTTAATGTCTAACTTGGTCAAATTCACGGAGTTGCGCAACCTCAAACACAGTCTTCGGTAGACACTGACTACACTCGGACAGGTTGAACTTCACTGGTCACGTCTTCCCACTAGAACTCGGAGAAGATTCCTCACGAAGCTAGTCACTAGTGAGCACAGGTTATTTGCATGACGGGCTTGTGAAGATTGTTAAGTTACACATTTTTGAAACTATGCATCGATCAATGTTAGACCACCATTAGAAACTTGGAAGCACTGGACGGCCGTTTCGTCCTGGTATAGGACTCATGAGCAGTGCGCATCCACGACTCCTGCATCGTAAGTTATCGCCTCAGTGGTCCGATGGTTAGGCGTTCGCCTACAATACCGGAGGTCCTGAGTTCGAACCCTGCGGGGTGCAGGAGTGGTAGTAGTAATCCCTCGTGTTATCTACATTGTTACAAATAGTTTAACCTTGGCAAAATAATAAAATGTGATTTAAATACGGTACACTTATGTATGGTAGTTATTCTTCTCCTTTGACCTTGAAGGTTCCAAGTGGAGGGTTTGTCTTGTGACGTAGTTGGTTACTTTCCGCAATGTATGTCCTATCCACTTCCACCACTTCTTCCTGATATCCTACTCCGTTTGAATCTGGTTTGTTCTCTTACTGCTGCTGATTATGTCTGACCAACAAATTCAAATTATTTTGCGTAGAAAACTGTTAATAAATACTTGTATCTTCCGGTTGATGGCTTTCGTGATTCTCCAAGTTTCCGCCTTATACAGTAGAACTGTCTTGACATTTGTATTGAAAATTCTGATTTTAGTGTTTGTTGATAACTGTAGAAATGCTACCCTAGCTTTACCATTCCATGTCTTCTCATCTACATCAGATCCATCTTGTTCATCAGATATGTAAAGGTTTTCACTTTCTCCAAGACATCTCCATCTACAGTGATTTGGTTGGTGCATGTTCTGTTGTATCGGAGAATCTCGCTTTTCCTCATGTGTGTATATTGATACCTGCTGTTGCAGAGGCTGCTGCTACACTATTCGTCTTCATTTGCATTTGTTGTTGTGTGTGCAATAGAAAAGCCAGATCATCTGCAAAGTCCAAATGGTCCAGTTGCATCCTAGCTGTCCATTGGATACGGTGCTTCCCTCCGGGTGTTGACATCTTTGTTGTATTCTTAAATGTCAATCAATATTTGAACTGTAGTTTATTGAAAAAGTGTCGATCGAGTGTCAGTTCACCCAATCCCACATCACCAAGTGTCGGGTGTCTTATTAACTCTTATATACTCAATAAAATGTTGATTATGTGTACATTTAATAAGAAAATTCAAAATAATGTTTGGAATAATGATAATTAATTATATTTCTTATTTTCTTATAGTATGTTGAAATTCGTCGACGTATTACATCATTTATTACTGATTTTACTGAAGATTACCTCTTGGTACATTGTTCCTTTGCTGATATTAAGAACAATAATAATAGTTACGATATTGAAACTATTAAACAGTCAATTGATTTACAAAAAATTCATCATTGGATTGAAATGACATCACAGCTTGGTGATTGGTTAACTGTACCGAAACGTTTAAATACTTATGCTGATATTATTACACCATTTTTGTACGGATTATTTTATGTAAGTTGAATTAGTTAGTTTGTTCTTTTCTTTTGATTGTATATTGGTTGTTATTTCCATGAATGATGCATTTCGGACTGACATCTTATATTCTATTGATAGGGATTTAAAGTAATGAGTGATTACTTGAGCTGATTAGGACATGTGTTGCGAATACTGAACCAACCACTGCTTCGGCGAGCGATGGAAAAATTCAAATGCTTCACTTCTATGTATCTGAAGTTGGTGCTGATGATGTTGTTCAGCAGAAGAACAATGAAAGCTCCACATCCAGAACGCCCAGCTCGGAGAACCGAACACCACCAACACCACCACAATCATCCACCGGAGCTACAAATCTTCTCCACCATCTGGTTAGGATATCTGTTGCGAATACTGAACCACCCACTGCTTCGGCGAGCGATGATGCCCCGGTGTAGTGGTAGGTTGGAAGAAAGCTATGAGTGGTCAGACAAAAACATGCCACGAATCCATGAAGTCACTGACAAGTGAACTAAGCCATGTTAGTAGGTACAGACTACCTGGTTGGGGTCCACGCAATGATAGTGACCGATGGTTAGACGACACCTTGAACGACATGGCTCAAAATTGTTTGCAATGGCGCAAATGCATTCATTGTTTGTGTTCTATGAAATTCTAACCTCCTGAATTCCTCATGATCGTCCTTATCTCTCTCACTCGCTCACTCGCTCTGTTTTTCAAATTGATTCCTCTGGGATACACTTCTCGAATAACTGAAATCATTGGATTATACTTCTTAAATAATTTCTTTGAACCGTAACGTTTTCGATTACCGCTAATACTTCTACTACTATGACATTCGAATGGACAATTGCGTCACTGTGTTAATGTGGTATGGCACCCTGAACTGATGTATGTATGTACGTACGAAGTTCTACGTTGTAACTGACTGATTATTATTATCGAATTTATTGAGTGATATAGTTCAAAACACATCACCCTTGTCACAGTTTCGCAGCTGCGTTAAGTTTGCCATAAGAGATGGTGGAGAAGATTTGTAGCTCAGGGGGATGGTTGTGGTGGTGGTGTTCGGTTCTTTGAGCTGGGGCTTTCATTGTTCTTCTGAACGATATCATCAGCACAAACCTCTTCCACAACCAAAACACCCAGCTCAGAGAACCAAACACCAGCACCACCACAATTTCACCATAAGGCTAACCACTTTTTATTGCCTTGATATCTGACTCCATTGTAGACAAATGTCTAGATATGTGCTATGACATAATGTCTGTATATCACATGCTTAGGCTCAGCTTGTTCGCTGGATGACAGTAATTAGAAGACAAATACAGATTCATTTGAATGAATACATTGCGTATACAAGCAAAACGAAGTGAAGTGTAGATGGCAAGCGAACCAACTCAATTAGATGAAGCATGATTAAAACTATTCATAGTCAGAAAAAACAAATTAGGACAGTTCTGTGATATGCGAAGTAAGCGATGCGCACACATAACTAGTACAGGTGTTTTAAAGGAGAACACAGGTGGGGCAACCGAACTGTATTTAACAAAAATGACAGAGTTACTCAGTAGTAAAATAGGAAAACCATATCGTAAATCGTTCATTTGCAAAATATCAGCTCATCATATCGAACTGGACTGTTTCCGTTGCAAAACATCAATCCATTGTCTGACATTTCACTATTCATGTGTTTCATACAAATTCCATTGTTTTCTTCTAACTCTTCCTTTCTTGATCTTTCCCCATCTTCTCTTCTGCCAGACATTACGTTGACACTCACGTCATATACTACTTATAAGTAGCTCGCACCACACAGGTTATATGGTACAAACTAAATTGAGTGCATATAGTTTGGAACAAGTCACCAGTAGTAGTAATAGTAGTAGTAGTACAGTTTCTTCTCAATTTTTTTAGTATCTTTCCTCTCTGAATAATGATTCAGTTTCAATATTAATGAATACTGTCACCTTTTTTCGTTCCCTATATATTGATATATATGTACCTATGTACATTTGTTTGAATGACAGTGAAATTTAAACAGAAATAACTTTTTTTCTAAAAAATTTTCCCAACAGATCTATCGAGGTCTACGTATTCTATTCCATGAGATAATTGTACAAACAAATTCATTGAATGTAAGTGTTTTTTATTTCACTACCTACTCTTTAGTTATGAAAAAATTTTCTTTTTTTTTTATCTCCAGAATTATCTTTCTCTCTCTTCTCTCAATCAGTTTATGTTAATTCTGAGGTGTATCTTGCGACGGAGTTTGTGTTATGTTCGTCACTAAGTACGCTTGAAGCTATTACGAGTTCACCGTAGTCGATAAACGATAACGAAACAATGAACCAGCGTTTGGGTAGGCTACCTTGAATCCCAAGCTGAAGATAATAGGCTTTGTAAGTGTAGAAAGTATATTATACAAACACCCAGCAATCACCCGATACAATCAAGCACACAAATCTCGTTTATTTATACATCATAAAAACGTCTGTCGGGTGTAGGCAGTAAATACCGAAGTGTTACGTCTGCATGTAAACACTTCAACTTGATATACTTGAACTAATACGAGTTTACCTAGTCAGAAAACGAGAGCGAGGATCGTGGATCCGGCGACACGACATGCTACTCAAATCCGATTATCTCAACCCCCCATATTTAGTAAAAGTAAGAAGATTTGAATGTGGATTAGAACCTGTATTCTACAAGCACCCAGAAAGTACAAGGTCCGAGTTCAGAAGAGAATTAGGATCCCGGACTAGGGATCCGGCACCGGGTCCTGATCATAATCCGTTACAGATAATGCGTATATATACATTTTGGTCGAATAAGAAACAGCATCGAAGTCTGTGACATTGACAGTTAAGACGACCAATAGGAAGCAACATTTGGAGTGACCTTGATAGTCAGGACAACCAATAAGAAACAACATTGGAGTATGTGACATTGATATCTAGGACGACCATAAAATTGACCAGTAGGAATTAACCAATAAGGAATTGACCAATAATTCTCTTAGGATATTAGATGAATATCCTAACACGTAGACAATGAGTGAGGTTGCGCAAAATCCCAAGATTGATCAGAATTAGACATTAACCCAATGTTCCAGAGGTTAAGCGTTCGCGCTCAAGATCGTAGGTCTTGGTTTCAAATCCTGAAAGTAGTAGGAGTCGCAGATGCACACTGCTGATGAGTCCTGTGACGGAACGAAACAGTGGTTCCAGGTTTATAATGCTGATCTTTCAATGATAGGTTCATGCATTCAGTATTAAATAGCAATCTCTATAATTCTATAAATCAATAATAATATTGTTTCCATTGACAAGATACTCTCCGTTTCATTGTATATATATATATATATATATATATGTATATTGATTTGTTGAAGTACATCTTTGTTGAACTGTATAATTCATATTTCTACTTTGTTTCTCTTCAAACTACAACCACAGCTCACCATATCTTCAATGATAACAAATTTAGTAACTAGTCTATTGCCAAACACACTGAATCAATCGCATCCCAATTTCCGACCGATTCATATCAATAATCATGGTCAGTGTTTATCTCGACCAATATCACTTGCATTAGAATTAGTCAATGGTGGTAAATCAAGACGTTTCATTGAACAATTAATGAATACCATAAAACAATCGACTTTATTGTCTTCGACTAATAATAATAGTAGCACAGTGGATGTTTTGCTGCATAAAACACAAGAAATACAATTTCGGTAAGTTTTTTTAGAAAATATTATACTATTTATTGTCTCTAGTCCATCATCACTGTGTGTGTGTATGTGTGTGTGTGTGTGTGTGTGTATTAGTTGCCAGTGAATAACATTATATTGAGTAGAGAAAAATGTAAATATATTCATCAGTAATCTGTGATCAACTCGCTTTGCTTTTGCCAATTTACGCTGTTTATGGCGTAGGCGAGATATCCGTTCGTTAACCAAAGGACGGGTGTACTACGCGGTAGTTCGCTCTTTCCTCCTATATGGATGCGAAATATGGTCGTTAAGAGTAGAAGATATTCGTAGGTTACTAGTATTCGATCATAGATGTCTTAGAAGCATTGCTGGTATATCGTGGGACAAACGAGTAAGCAATGCTGTCGTTAGGAAACGACTACTAGGTAAGGATGGCAGATCAATAGATGAAGTGGTGAAACTTCATCAGTTGAGGTGGTTGGGACATGTGTTACGTATGCCTAACCACCGACTGCCGCGACGAGCTATGCTTTGCAGTGTAGGAGTAGGTTGGAAGAAAGCTAGGGGCGACCAGACCAAAACATGGTAGAAATGCATGTAGTCACTGACTAGTAGACTGAGTCATGTTAGTAGATGTAGACTACCTGGTTGGGGTCCGCGAGGCGAAAGTCACCTTGACTGATATGGCTCAAAATCGTTCGCAATGGCGCAAGTGCACCCATTCTTTCTGTTCTCTCAAATCCTAATCTTCTGGAATCGTCAGCACCTCTGCCTTTGTGTTTCTGAACTTATCTCAATGAATTATACTTATTGAATAATATCTTCGAACCCAAGTCGTCTTCATTAACATTAATACTTTTACTATCTCTACTATCACTATGAGATTTGATTTGACATTTGCGTCTCTGTGGTAATGTGGTATGGCAACATGAACTTATGTTCATACGTACTAAGTTCTACGTTGCAACTGACTGACTGACTGACCATTGTCAATCATTCATTCCTGTTGTAGTGGGATAATCATGGCCGAATTAGCTCAGCGGTAATATCTACAATTGTGAAATTAGTTAACATGAATAGGGATTGTAAAGAGAGAGAGCATTTGTTTCTTTCTAAACTTATTTCAATGAATTATACTTCGTGAATAATATCTTCGAACAATTAATCTTCTCCGATTACCGCTAATTCTTCTACTATCTTGAGATTGTGGATAAAATTTGTAGCTCCGGTGGATGATTGTGGTGGTGTTTGTTTCGCTGAGTTGTGGATGTTTTGGTTGTGGAGCTTTCATTGTTCTTCTGATGAACAACATCATCAGCACAAACTTCAGATAGAAGAAGTGAAGTATTCGAATCTCTCCAGGTTTAACCCGTAGCCTGTTCTGTTACCCTCGATCTTTATTGGTTGCTGTTGACCTTAAATCTGTAATTGTCCGCATGTTTGTTTTGACTATGTCCCCCCTTTGATCTGTTTCTTGATCCTATGTCACCTATGCCCTTGAAATTTCATTTCCCACCAAGAAAATCTTTGACTGTCATTTTTTAATGTATTATTTTAGTACGCTATTTTTGTGGCTCTCCCTAGGACGTTTCTATCGTTGTATAAATAGACTCGATTTTATCAGTCCTTGTAGAATACACTTTCTACATCTTGTCAAGACTTCTTACACTAGTTGGTAGGGCCTTGGGATACTCGGATTAGAGTAGCTTATCGTGTCACTGGATCATTTGTCTTTGCTCTTGTTCACCGACTAAGGTGAACTCGTAATTAGTTTCAAGCATATCAGTCTGTCTCCGATTCTCGGTATAATGTGATCTTTCCCTCTAGCCTTGAGAATTCCAACTGAGAGCTTGTCTAGTGACGTAGTTGGATGCTTTACTCAATATATGTGTCTCCTATCCACATCCAACATTTCTTCCTGTCTTCTTCTTCTGTCGAGATCTGGTTTGTTCTCTTCCACAGTAGATTATTACAGACTCATAGAGTTGTAAAGAGTGTTGAGTTATTTTTTAACTTCATGAATCGATCAATGTTAGACCATCTTTAGATACACGCGGAGCTATTGGACGACCGCTTCGTCCTGGTATGGGAGTAGGAGTAGGTTGGAAGAAAGTTAGGGGCGGCCAAACCAAAACATAGCAGAAATCCATGAAGTCATTGACAAGTGAACTGAGCCATGTCGTTAATTGTCAACTACCTCTATTGGGGTCCGCGAGATGATAATAATCGATGGTTAGAGACCTTAAATGACTTTCTAAACTTTTCTCACTGAATTATACTTCTTGAATAATATCTTCTAATCCTAACCTTTACTACCTCTTCTACTATTGTATTTGAATTGACAATTGCGTTTCTGTGCTGATGTGGCTAATGGCAACATGAACTGATGTACTTACGTACAAAGTTCTACGTTGCATCTGATGACTAACTGACTGGTATGGGACTTATCAGAGGCAGTGAACACTCACAACTCCTTCTACTCACAGGATATATAAATATATATATAGGAACTCGTAATAGCATTTAAGCATATCAATTGACGAGCATTAACAATTCAAGTTGATCTTAATAACGCTTTTATAATTTCCATTGGTTTGTCATCTAATTGTAGTAAATTACACTTATTCTCTCTTTGAATTCTCTCCTAGAATCAGTTCATTCATATTGAATTTGTTATGGTTACATCATGCCGAGAATAATACTAATAATAATAATATTAACGGTACTCATCATCATCCATCTTCTTATGGGAATAAAACTAATCATCAATTAATTGGTCGTATATTAAATTCCATTCTCCTACCATTACATTATCATTGGAAACAAATTGAACACGAACGTAAACAACTTGCTCAATTCCGTGCTAGTTTATTCTTAGAAGCTGATCGTCGTAAACAATTAGCACGTAATAATTTACAAGGAATAAATCAGCACAAAAAACATCATGAACGATCAACATCCCCAGATGTATTGGTTGATCCTTTATTAAATGAGGAGATTGATTGGCGTTTACGATTTACTGAAATTGGTTCATTGAATGCTTTCAAAGAATTGGGTGTCAATCATCATTTCGGTGTACAAATTTGTGAAAATTATGAAAAAGAAAAAGAAATTCAACAGGTAAACATTTGTGTATCTTTGATTTGATTTGATTTGATTCGACTTTAACTAGTTGTATTGATTTAATCGGTAGTATTGCAACCCTATTGGTTGAAGGCGGACACACACAGGATACAGTGGACAGCTGGGATGGAGCTGGATGATCTGACTCTTCTAACGCACAGTCAATAACAAATGCAGCAGAAGATGACTACTGTAGCGACAGCCTCTGCAGTAGTACATCTCAACATAAACAACAGGAAGAGCAAGATTATAAGATGCAACAGTACATGGACCAATCAAGTCACATTTGACAGAGAAGCTTCAGAAGATATAGAAACCCATTACATATAAGGATAGCATCATTGATGAGCACGGTGAATCTAATGTAGATATGAAGGCGCGGATCAGCAAAAAATAGGACAGCATTTCTACTTGTCAAGAACATCTGCGACACAACACAACTATCAACAACCATCATAGTCACAAGTTTCAATACAAATGTCAAGACAGTTCTAATATATGGAGCGGAAACTTGGAAAACTACCAAAACCATCATCCAGAAGGTACAGCTGCTCATTAACAGTTGTCTACGCAAAATACTTCGACTCCGTTAGCCAGACACGATCAGCAGCTATCTACAATGGGATAGAACATATATAGCATCCATCAGACGAAGAAGTGCTGGAAGTGCAAGTGGACGTGACATACATTGAGGAAAGTATCCAACTACGACACAAGACAAACCCTAACTTGAAATTCGATAAGACTAGAGGAAAAGAGGAAGATCAAAGAACACACTGTTCTGGGAAATGGAGACAGATATGAGAAGAAGGTTATAGGTCTCCAAGTGAACAAACACTTCATCGTTTGCTTGGTTGCTCGGTTTATTAATTTTTTTCTCAAGTACTACTAAGTATAGGTTCACATACTCAAGTTTAAGCCTGATTGGTTTTTCTATGTTTCAGACTGGTAGCTTAGTTTTCAAGATACTTTCGCCTCCATCAACGAATCTCACTAAAAGATCATTGATTGTTAGTGGACAATTAGTATCGCTAACTTACATATAAATAATTTAACCTAAAGTTGAATAGTTAGTCATTTAGAAGTGATGAAGATGTTTGATTTTAGAAAAAAGTATTATCGAATGTTGTTAAATGTATATATGGGAGGTTGTCACTTCTTGGTTACTGACATGTTAGAAGTATCCCGTAAAACGGAGAACAGATTATAGTTCGTCTTGTCAACAAAAGAACGTGACCATGGAGCTCAATAGATAACTACTTAGTCACTGTCACACGTGTCTCTTTTGCGGGTATTTTTTGATTCGCTAACGTTGTACTTCAAGTCCTTACCACCAACAATGGAAGTCCATCTACTAAGAGACTACTGTTGTCATAATATTTTACAGTCGGTAGTACAACTTCACGCTCGAACTGTACATTTACCGTTTTTTAACTTCATCCCTCTCCCACCAGCCTGTCCTATGTAGCATAACGTAAGAAAACAGATATTCTAGCCTAAACAGCTTGTGTGTTTCACCATTATAATCAAATCCAACCACTACACACTGAGTTAACAGCTTTTACTAGGTAAAGAAATCACATTTCCTGTCCAAAGGATGATGATACCGTGTGTGGTTTACCAAACCAAAGTGATTAGGACAATATTTCACTCTCAAACCCGTTAGTTTAAAGTCCAGTTCGTAGAATCAGTCATCTCATTTGTTAGACGACTAACGTTACTCGATATTTCTTACGATTTCATCCCATTTAACGAATATTCGAGTGTATTATGAATTGTTTGTAAATGATAAAAATATTTACAACTTTTGACAACTTGTTACAGACAGACAGATACAACACAGAACTTCGTATGTAAGTACATCAGTTCAGGTTGCCGTACCGCATTAGATGCAACTGTCAGCTCAAATCGAATAGTGGTAGCGATAGTAGAAGTATTAGCAGTAATGGAGAAGATTAGGGTTGGAAGATGTGTTTCGGGAAGTATAGTATAGTTCTGTGAGATAAAGTTAGAAAGAGAAAGATAGAGATGATGAGGAATTCAGAAGCTTAGAATTTGATAGAACACTGAGAATGGATGCACTTGCGCCATTGCAAACGATTTTGAGCCATGTGGTCGAAGGTCTCTAACCATTGGTGACTTTCGTCTCGCGAACCCCAACCAAATAGGTTACATCTATAAACATGACTCAGTCTAGTTGTCAGTGACTTCATGGATTTGTGCCATGTTTTGGTCTGGCCGCCCATAGCTTTCTTCCAACCCCCTTCCTACACCACAAAACGGCTCGTCGAGGCAATCGGTGGTTAAACATACGCAGCACATGTCCCAACCACCTCAACTGATGAAGTTTCAATACTTCATCTACTGATCTGCCATCCTTACCTAGTACTCGTTTCCTAACGACAGCATTGCTTACTCGATTGTCCCACGATATACGAGCAATACTTCTAAGACATCTATGATCGAATACTAGTAACCTACGAGAATCTTCTACTCTTAACGGCGATGTTTCGCATCCATATAGAGGAGAACGGAGCGAACTACTGCGCAGTACACCCGTCATTTTGTCAGCTAACGGATATCTCGCCTACGCCATAAACGGCGTAAATTGGCAAAAGCAAATCGGGATTTCTGTATCCGTGCTGAGATTTCGTCAGTCACCAGGCTATCAGAGCTGATGAGACTCCTCAGATAAGTGAAGTGATCAACACGCTTGACTACTTCACTCCCTATCACTAGTTCAGGTGCCGATGCAACCCAGTCTTGAAGCAACATTTTGCATTTCGACAGGGAAAACCGCATCCTGAACATGCTTGCATTGTTGCTTAGGGTAGTCAGAAGACTCTGCACTTTGTCAGCGTGAAGTTCAACCCTTTTGGGTGTGAACAGTAACCATCGAAGAAAAATTGTTGAGGTTGCGCAAAATCTTTAGATTGATCAGAGTTAGACATTAACAACATTGGTTTCCGGCTAAGCGATTCAAAGTTTAAACGCCCTCATTCAAGACCTAAGGTCCTGGGTTTTAATCCTGCGAGTAGCAGGAGTCGTTGATGCGAAATGCTGAAGAATCCTATACCAGGATGAAACGGCCGTCGTTCAGTGCTTTTAGGTTTTTAATGGTGATGGTCTAACAATGATTCATTCATGTTTTTTCAGTGTGTAAAAACAATGATTTCCATAATACTATAATGCAGAAAATTTGTTTACCATAACAACCTACTTCTCAACCCTCATAATATGTAAGTGAAATGAAATTATCCATCTTATTTCAGTATATAAGTTTGTCTATTGCTTACTTAAACGATCTGTCATTTTTATCTTTTGAAAATACTTTCAATTATCATCTCTCATATTGTTTCCCCCGATCTCTCTCTCTTTATCTCTCCATATATAAATACAGACTGTTGTTAAATTAGAAGCAATCGATAATTGGTTGAAAAGTGCATTGAACAACAATTCTGGGAAATATTGGATCCCTGAAGAAAATGAACTCATTTATTTTATAAATCGTTTAGTTTATTTATTATTATCAATAAATTTTAATTCAACATCATCACTACCAATGAATAAACAACATTATTCTCCTCAATCAGTAATTGATATAAGTAGTATATTCTCATGGCATTGGCATACAGTTCTGTATGGTTTCAATTTAGCTAGTTGGTTATTAATTGAATCGAAATTAAGTTTAGGTAAGTCAATAAACATTAGAATACATGTATTTTATAAAGTTTTTGTAATCCTCTGTGTTGATGTTCAAGGTTTTAATTGATCAGTGAATTGTTTCGACTTACTGTGAGTGTAATTCGACTGTTTTTATATTGTATGAACAAGTTAGTAGTCAGGTAGACTGAGTAACTTATCGGATAACACGTTGATATTTGAACTGGAATGTACTGGATCCAAGTTCCAGTGTTCTGCGAGTCACAGAGGATGCGGTTATATTCAGCTGATGAGTATCAAATCATAGACAAAACACGTGTTTTTGGATTTTTTTTTCAATGGTAGTCACTAATCAGTGTGATTCAAATGTGGAACACAGAGCAGAGATGTGTGTGTGTATATATATTTCTTTGTAAATTTAAGACTACTCCTAATAGTTAGATGGAATCAACTCATGCCCTGGTACGCCGAGGCTCCGGCAAGTACGCTTTCTCTTTCGGAATGCTCTTACATGGCCATGGGTGTATAGCCACCGTGAAGGAAAGACTTTTCCACTGCCTTATATTGTTGCACATGTGTTATTTACGAAATCGAGAAGACAGAAAACGAATGTCCGGCGCTTTGATCTAAGTGAGTTGGAAAACCCTGATTCCAAACCAATGCTGAATATGGGTTCCAGTATACTGAGTTATGGAGATTAGTGTTTTTACACACGGAAATCACCAATCAATCATTGTTAGACCACTTTTAGAAACCTGGAAGCACTGGACTGTCGTTTCGTCATGGTATGAGACTCATCAGCGGCGCGTGTCCACGATTCCTGCCACTCTCAGGACTCGAACTCAGGACCCTCGGTCTTGTGCGCGAACGCCTAATCTCTGAGCCAGCGGAGATTTCATGCGACCTCACCCATTTGTCTTCGGTAATTACTGCCTAAATCCGACAGTGTTGATCTCCACTGGTCACGTTTTCTCACTAGAACTCCTCACAAAGCTAGTGACTAGTGAACACATCTTACGCTTTTGTTTCAACTAGAGTTATGAAGATTATTGTTTTTATACATTAAAGTCACCAATCGAATCCTGCGAGGTGCAGGACTTGTGGATGCGCACTGCCATTGATTAGTCCCATACCATGACAAAACGGCCGTCCAGTGCTTTCAGGTTTCTAATGGTAGTCTAACAATGATTGATTGATTGATGATTTCAATGTGTAATAATTCTATGTTTGAATAAATCAATAAAGTAAATAATTTGTCAGCGGTGTTTTTGAATTCAAGAAAAAACATTTTTGATAATAAATTATGAAATCTAATCATAATGTCGCATATGACAATCTTTCATCATAAAGTAAGTGGTTGTACTGTTAAGGCTCCCAACTGTCAGCAACACAAACATGTTTTCTTTTATATTTTATTCTCACCTAAATACATTTTCGATCAGTACCCATTTCACTGAAAAGCTGACTGAGTCATGTTGGTAGATGTAGACTACCTGGTTGGGGTCTATGGGATGATAATAATCGATGGTTAGAGACCTTGAATGACATGGCTCAAAATCGTTTGCGGTGGCGCAAGTGCATCCATTCGTTGTGCTCTCTCAAATCTTAATCTTCTGGAATCGTCAACACCTCTACCTTTGTGTTTCTAAACTTATCTCAATGAATTATACTTCTTGAATAATATCTTCAAACCCTAGTCTTCTTCAGTACCATTTAAATACCTCTACTATCTCTACTATCACTATGTGATTTGATTTGACATTTGCGTCTCTGTGCTAATGTGTTGTTATGGCAACCTGAACTTATGTACATACCTATGAAGTTCTACGTCGCAACTGACTGATTGACTAACATTTCAATGTGTTCTCTGTTTTAGATCCCAATATTGATCAGTTGACCAGTTTGCCTTATATCGGTATCACTGCTTATATGGGCCAATATGATATACGAGCTAATCCTATATTACCAATCAATAATTCATTGAAATCTTCTTCGACAACCTCTCTCACTTTTCATTATAATACAAAATCACATTGTTACAATGTTTATCGTGATCCAATTCCATTGGAAGAGGCTGAGAAACTCAATGTCATAATGAGAAAATTGGAGAAACGAATTAAACATATCCTTGTTGAATGGCCTGGTCAACCGAGTTTATTACGTGTAAGTTTATGCAATGCAATTGTGCGATTTTAACCTCCTTTCCGTTCGTAACTCCTGCTCACCGCTTTAGTGACTTCAGTTTGAACGGACAGTCGAGTATGTTAGGAAATTAATCTTCCGTTTCATTTCTGTATATCATGCTTTTGCGATACCTCATTTGTGCGACGGCAATGGTTTATTTCATGCAACCGTTTGTACATCAGTCATGAAAGTACGAAGTGTAAAGGCAAAGTGAAGCGATGTGGAGAAGACGATTGAGCCAACTCAATGTGTTCATAGTCAGGCAATATTAATCTAGATGTGTAGTAAGCTAATTAGACAATGCATACGCACGAATACAAACAACCAAGTGATAAGCGAATTAACTGACAAGATTGAAAGTTATGTGAATAGTGACTCGGGTAAAAAAAGTCTCGTTTGTCCCAAAGCTCGGATAAGGCCAATATTGCCTAATTGAGTCATCACGATACGCAAGTAAGACTACCATTTAAAGGGAGCAAATTAGAAAATGTTAAAAGATTATAACCAATCAGTCTATCACAAAAGAATCGATAGTCATTCAGTCAATCAATCAATTTTTTCTGAGCGAGTTGGCTTTTTACGGGAATCGGGTCGCTAACCCCACCCTGCCCAAGCCTTCTTTCTCTTTATTCGGACTGGGGGCCGGCATTAATGCTAGCAACGGCTCCAGGCGGAGTTGACAATAGTTTATAACTTTTTTTTCATTTCATTCATTTTCATTTCAGCTACTGGTTCTAATTCATCGTATTGAATCTTTCACTGTATCGGATCCATTGATAAAATTTGTTACTGGCATTGAAATGCTTTGGCAAGTAATACAAGTAAGTTAAGATTTTATCTGGTTCATTTTTTCTCGTCGTATGTAACTATGAATCTGTAGCTCTGTTAACCGTTGGCCAACATCATATGCCCAGCTCTTTGTTTAGTCTCCTGTTTACTCTATAGCTTTCTGTTGATGCCTTGACCATTCACTCGCTTCGATTGACAGTAGTAGTAATCTTGAATCAATCGATCAGTTCGTTTGGTTCCAACACATTGTAGTTTTTTATTCCTCTCTACCTCATCCAGAATCCCATAATCAACCTGCTTTATAGCTGTATATGTAAAGCAAACCTTGTTACTGTACCGGTGTTGGTCTTAGAGACCTAGGTGCGTAACCGCAAAGCCCAAGGGACAACTGCTTGAGGCCAGTCACGCACGGCCTTTTTATGAATGGTTTATTTAGTATTCGCTCTGCCCTTTTCGAAAGCCCTTAGTGGCTACCCTTACCGCCGGAGACGGAAATCCGTGAGGTAGAGTGAGGTGTGAAATTTTTACAGTCGACCTTTTCTAACCCTTCCTTCCTTGTGAGAAGGCAACATCGCTGCAGATGCTGGTTGTTGTCCGAGGGAAACACCTTACTGCTGTCACACCCCTCTTCAGTCAGTCAGCAGTACGACTTCGCCCTCAGACGTTGAGTAGCTGCTTTTAGTCTCATCGTTCTCCAATCGACCTGCCTGGCATTGTAGAACCTTCAGGAACATATGTTCCAGCCAGTATAGCTCGGTTGGATCATGACGATAGGCAAGCCTGACCACCACGTCAAGGTAGCAGCTACGGTCGGGTTAGCCATAACCAGTAGAACAGACTACATCATATCATAACATGTAAGAAAATGCAATTATGCACTAGCTAGCCCCCAAAGTGACTGTGGATAAGGGGAGATTGTGATTATGTTTGGAAGTAGTAAATTGTACAAAAGTAGTTAATTGGGCTGATTATTAGCGTTAGATAAATATTGTCCTAGCAAATTGAGATGCTGGAGAAAATTTATTGCTCCGGTGGATGATTGTTGTGGTGTTTCATTCTCTGAGTTGAGGTTGTTTCGGTTGTGAAGCTTTCATTGTTCTCCTGCTGAACAACAACATCATCAGTACAAACTTCAGATAGAAGAAGTGAAGTATACGAATCTCTCCATGTTTTACTTGTAGGTTGTTCTGTTACCCTCTATCTTGATTGGTTGCTATTGACCTTAAATCTGTCGTTGTTCGCACCTTTGTTTTGATTATATCCCCCTTTTGATCTGTTTCTTAATCCTATATCGCTTAGGATTTTCCTGATTGGTTGATAAATTGGGTCAATGTTGATAAGTTTGTTGATTGCTGATTGACCTGAGTGCCGAGCTTCTAAAAATTCCCTAGTGTTCTTTGTCCTCTCCCTACCCAGTATTTCCACATTGTTCCAATCGAATGTGTGCCCATACTTGTCGGTGTGTATTGATATAAGCGAAGAATTGTCGTGGCAACAGGTCAAACGTAGAGAGATTCGAATACTTCACTTATATCTGAAGTTTTTTGCTTATGATGTTGTTGAGCAGAAGAACAATGAAAGCTCCACAACCAAAACAACTCCAACTCAAAGAACGAAACATCACCACTGTCATAACAAATCGATAAATTGTTCTTGCAGACCATTATTTCTCCAGTCTTCTCCTTCTTATATATATCAGAATCTTCAGCGAGTTAAACGGTCAAGACATGTATTACCATATGTCTAATCACTACTTACTTGCCTACTTTGGCATAGAATATCGGGTAACGTTAGAGTAGAGTACAGTAGTAGGTTAGAAAAATATTCTGATCATCAAAAACTATGTTGAAGTCATTGATTGTTGTACTGTACGTTGTAAGCAAATTCAAACTACCTAATGTGGGTCTGCAAGAAAACCGCAACCAATTTAATTGAGACTTTGGGGGTAACATGACTCAGTATCAGAAAAAAAGTCTCATCACGTTAGTGAGTGTAATCCAGTACCAGACATTCGTAATTATAATCATTATTTATAGCGAACAGTATATTGGGCTCGAGTCCCGTAGTGAACATTAACCTCTGGGAAATGCAGATATACATCTAACCATTACCTAATCACGCGCGTCCTTCATTCCATTGCTATCTTAGTCAGTCAGTCATTTACAATGTAGAACCTCCGAACGTAAGTACATCAAGTTCAAGTTGCCATACCACACATTAGCACACACAGATGCAATTGTCAGTTCAAATCTCATAGTGATAGAGATTGTAGAAGTATTACTGGTAGTGGAGGACATTAGGGTTTGAAGATATTATTCAAGAAGTATAATTCAGTGAGATAAGTTTAGGAGGGTAAAGGTAGAACTGACGATGAATTCAGAAGATTCGAATTGCATAGAACATAACGAGTGGATGCATCTGTTGTGCCATTGCAAGTGATTTTGAGCCATGTCGTTTAAGGTCTCTCTAATCATCGCCTACTGACCTTGACCCATTGCTATCTACGTTCTATCTATATATTTCATGTAAACTATTCGATGGTAGATATCGTTGTGGTGAATTTATTGTATATTTTTCTGTACAGGAATGGGAACGTGATGCAGCTAAACATGTTTCACTTATCGAATCAAATAAAGATGTATGCGATCTATTAGTGAGTTGGCGTAAAATGGAATTAAGGTAAATTGATATTTGCTTTTTTATAAAGCGTTAAACATCATCATTCCTTCGTGATTCATGATTGTATGTACAGGTTATGTAATAATAAATTTTTCTATATCGTAAGTATTCAACTTCGATTGTCACAGTGTGTAACATTCTGAAGTTGGTTGAAGAATAATTTCCGCAGAGGAATAATCTGAATTGTTTGGAGGCTTCGAAAAAAGCCAACAATCCTATTAAATCATCGATTTGTTACATACCCTGTTGGTTCTTCTTGTTATGCTCGTCATCTGATATGCTTGAAACTACTATTACGAGTTCACCTTAAGTTGATAAACGAGAACCAGACAATGAACAACCAGTGACACGGTAGGCTATTCTAATTCGTTGACCTAAGGGAACTAACGAAAAAAAAGTCATGATATATCGTAGAAAGTGTATTCTATAAAGCACTCAGGAAACACGAGGTTGACAAGCACACAAACGTCTTTGGTTGGGTCACAGAAATAGCATACCTAAATAACACACCAGCCAATTACAGCCAAGGGTTTTCCTGGTGGGAAATGTGACCTCAAGGTCAACTGATCAGCCCATGAATATAATCCAAGATGAAAACCTTTATCCAGTGAGTTCTGGGGATCTAACTTCCTCACTAGTTCCTGATAGGTTTTTTGATTCTCAAGTTCCATATATATTGACCGTGAAATACAAATGAATCTTGAAAGAGGCATACCTTCTCCCTACACTTCGCACTTCTTCATTTGTTTTGAAATATACGATTCCTGGAAGAATTAGGAACTCGGTGTTGATGCATACGGATATGTACAAGAAGAACTAAGTACGCAGCTCGACCAATAAATACATTCATCAAGTTTATAAGCTCTTTTCGATTCCTCCTTCATTGTTGGATCAGGGTGCATTACAGTTGACAGCAGTCAAGATTCGCTATTACAGTTTTCGTCATATATATATATATATATATATATATATATATATATATATTGTTAATAAGCTACTATTTATGTATGAATAAGGGAATCTCTTACGTCAGGATGTTTTCCATGATCAAAAACAGTTGCATTCATGTAAACTTCCACCTTCGCCTAAAAATCTTCAACGTTTGTCACCATAGCGCATAATCATGGCAACTTTCATCCATAACTCTTTCATGTTGTATACAGCTGACGCTTGTATAAGTGAAAAACGCCATTATATCGCCGGCTAGAATAAATTCATTCTTTCCTCAGTCAGTCAGTTACAATGTAGGACTTCCTGCGTGCGTACATCAGTTCATGTTGCCATACTACCGCATTAGCACAGAGACGCTACTGTCAGTTCGAATCCCACTGGTGAAGATAGTAGAAGAATTATCGGTAATGAAGAATTTTAGGGATACAAAGATATTATTCAAGAAGTATAGTTCATTGAGATAACTTTAGAAGGAGAAAGAAAGAGATGACGAGGACACAAGGAATGAATACACCTGCGCCATTCCAAACGATTTTGGTCCATATCATTTAGGGTCTCTAACCATTGGTGACTTTCGTCTCGCGGACCCCAACCAGGTAGTCGACACCTACCAACATTGCTCAGTCCACTTGTCAGTGACTTCATGGATTTGTGCCATGTTTGGTTTTACCACCCCTAACTTTCTTCCAACCTTCTCCTACACCATAAGACATCGCTCGTCTAGGCAGTCGGTGTTTGGGCATACGAAGCAATTAGCAATTCAGAAGGTAAGAATTTGAGAGAACGCAAAGAATGGATGCACTCGTGCCATTGCAAACGATTTTGAGCCATGTCACTCAAGGTCTCTAACAATCGGTGACTTTCGTCTCGTGGACCCTAACCAGTTAGCCTACGTCTACAAACATGACTCAGTCCAGTTGTCAGCGAGTCCATGGATTTCTTCCTTGTTTCGGTCTAGCTGCCCCCAATTTACTCCCAACTTACTCCTACACTACAAAACATAGCTCTTCGAGGCAGTAGTCGGTGGTTGGGCGTTCGTAACACATGTCCGAACCACTTATTCTATAGATCTCCCATCCCAGCCTAGTACCCGTTTCCTAACGACAGCATTACTTACACGGTTTCCGCAGAATATACGAACAATGCTTCAAAGACATTCTATCCTAATTATATATATGTATATATATATATATATATATATATATATATATATATATATATATGTCTTTACTGTCTATTAATATTCTTTTTATGCTTCTATATACATGTCTCTCTCTCTATCTCTCTTCCCCCATTTATCTTCTAGTTACTGGTTAGCTACATTAGATTCAGCTGAAATACAAATTAGTAATCGTTGCGTTACATTATGGTTTCATTTATATGATTTATTTCTACGTCCTGGTAGTTATAGTCAGCAATTAAAATCTTCCAATCCTATCATTAAACCATCATCATCATGTAAAGTAGGCAGTTTAAAAAATCCCTCTAATGCTGCGCTTGACGGTGGCGGTGATCATGCTGATCATGCGAATAATGAACGATTACAATTGGAAATCGATCGATTCGATGCCTTGATTGATTTATTTGAAAAAGGACCAATTGGTGAATTTCGATCACGTTGGAAATTAGTTGCATCAATTTATGCTGCATTAAATATATGGCCTGGTTTAAATGAAACAGGTTTGTGTGTGTACATATGTGTTTATGTCATTATTGTTGTATATGTGTGTACGTGTGTGTGTCTGGTCTAGTGTCTGTTCTGTTTGTTTATCTATTAAAGCATAGATTATTTTGACTTGACTCAAGACATTTGTGGTGGAAGTGAACTACTACTCACCAAATATCACGTCGGGCTCACCATTTTGTAGTGTGTCGAATTAATGCGTGTTCTTATAGCTCGGTTTATAAATCAGAACATGAACTCGTGTATTAGATGAATACGTTTATTCGTGACACACCACAAAGCGAAGAAGCGAATAGGAGAAGGCTTAGAGTCAACTCAAAGAGATAGAACGTGACTAAGAATATATAAATCAGACCAAAAATAAGACAGACATATGACAAGCGAAATAGATATGCACAGACATGAATAAAAGCGACGAATGATTGACAAGGTCAAATGACAAGTGATACAAATCATGTGAGTTCATGGGGGAAATTAAGAGATTAACATTAAAGCGAAAAGGATGAGTAAGCGCGTAGGCGTAAACAATGTTCAGTCGTACACAAGCTCATACAAACCAGATAATGAAGAATACCAATGGTACATATGAGTTGTTGCTATAAGCAAGTGGCTTGGTTAAATAAATTAATAATCGAAAGGGCTTAACCCCAAGTTAGATGTAAGCGAACTGGAATATTATATGTGGAGGCACTACAAATATGCTAACACAAACGTAACAATAATAAAATCACATTGATACAGATAAGAACTTAAGTATATTTAAGGTACTAAACCTTCACTGGATTATACTTCTTGAATAATATCTACTAACCTTAATCTTTCCGATTATTGCTCATACTTGTACTGCCTCTATCCCCATGGGATTTGAATTGAAAATTCGAAATCTCTGTGCTAATGTGTGATATGGGAACTTGAACTGATGTGCGTACATACGAAGTTCTACGTTGCTGCTGACTGACTAAGTTACTTCAATATTTATGCGCCGCATCAATCAATGAGCTGGCTTACTGACCGGATGCCCAAATTGAACTAATTGGTTTTCCTGAAAAGGAGGCTACTTCTTGAGTCTTTGACCTACAGGTCTAATCTACAAGCCATTCAAGCAACGTTAACAGATGTAATCTCATGGTAGACAATGAATAATGGCAGGTTCATACCTTATTTGTTTTTCTTATGATTTTAGAGTTTATGTAGACCATCAGTTTGGAATCAGACTACGTACATACATCAATTCAAGTTGCCGTATCACAAATAGATGGAATTGTCAACTTAAATCTCATAGTAGTAGATGTAGTAGAAGTATGTACCCTAATCCGAAAGATTAGTGTTCGAAGATGTATAATCCAGTAGAGTAAATACAAAGGATTTGATTTCGTGTGCTGTTACGGGTATGAGGGTGGTTGGTACTTCCCAGCTGCCCACACCGTGGAAAAGAGCTCTGGTTTTCATAAGGAGTATCAGACGAAGGAAATCGGCTTCCATCATAAGACGTAATGACTCTTCTAAATGAAGACCTTCTAACTTCCAGGGAAGATTTTAAATGGTTTGAATTATTCTTTCTTGTTAACCTTTTTTTAGCGAGTTAGTTTTCTACAAGGTGTGCTCTCGAACCCACATCTCAACCCTCCGACAATAGCCCTGGAGGGGCTAACCTTATCTCACTGAATTATACTTCTTGAATAATATCTTCAAACCCTAGTCTTCTTCAGTACCATTAATACCTGTACTATCTTTATCACTATGGGATTTGATTTGATATCTGCGTCTGTGAGTTAACGTGGTATGGCAACATGAACTAATGTGCATACTTACGAAGTTCTACGTTGCAACTGACTGACTGACTGGAGGGGCTCCAGACGTACAACAGTGATGTGGATTTATAATTGTTGTCAAAAGTGTTTTGTAAGGATTACATGTCAAACTTCTCTAGATTATATATATAGATATTCTTCTTCTTATAACCAGTTATCTTAAAATCGTTTATATAGTTTATAATAATTTATTCGTTTTTGTTTTACCCCGAACAGAACGTGCTTCATCTAAACGTATTGTTGGTAATGCAGTATGGTTTTATGCACAATTTCTACCATGTATCACTGAAGAATTGAATAATTTACGACATCCAATTGAAAAAGAATTAAAGGTTAGTTCATAATACTTTTTACTGGTAGTGTCTGGGAGGTGCAGTGTGTTTATGTAGTTAGGTAGGTGATATTCGATGATCATGAGTGGGATTGGTGTATTTCGAGTCCTTACAGAGATGGGCAAGGGGTCTTATACTAGGATACAACAACAGATATCCAGTGATTTGAGATTCTCAATAGTAGGATTTAAATAAGATGAGTTCTCACTTGATGTTCGGCACGTTAGGTCTCTAGAAGTCACTTGATAAAGGTCCTAAATTTGGATTTTATGTTTTCGTGCAAGGGATGATCAGTTGAACTTGAGATTATATTCCCCACCCGGAAATTCCTTGACTGTTATTGGTTGATGTATTATTTTAGTACGCTATTTTTGTGGTTCTCCAAAAAGTGTTTCTTATCATGTATAAATAAACTCGATTTGTGTGCTTGTCGGAACTCGTGTTTTCTGAGTGCTTGTACAATACTCTTTCTACATCTTGTCAAGACTTCTTCCTCTATTTAGTGGGGCGTTGGGATTCTCGGAATAGAGTTCTAGCCTATCGTGTCACTGAATCATTAATCTTCGCTCTCGTTTACCGACTCTAAGGTGAACTCGTAATAGCATTGAAGCATATCAAATTGACGAGCGTAAAATTAAGTTAAATTTAAAACAATTAGTCCGTTTTATAAATTTTGATAGAACAGTGAGACGACGTAGAGTTGATCTGAAAAATGTGATGATGTATTTGCGCGCTATGCATATTTCGAACAATCTGGTCACACACATATTTACTTGTTAAGGCATTTTATACGAAGATGAATAAAAGGTCAACATACAGTTGTTTTTGAACACATAAAGTTGAACTTTTCCGACTAATCAAGATAGCTTCGAGTAGTTTCAGTGTGTGTGTGGGTTTCGATGACATGTCACAACTCTAAAGGCTGATTTCGGGTCAATTTGATCACCACTCATCATTAGATGTTTTGCAATGGACGAGGCTGGGTTTCTTGATCGATTTTGAGATGATGGGCTAGGTGATGGATGAATCATGGATTTGATTAGCCATTTTGGATTATGTTCCCCTATCCTGTCTTCCAATCGGCGATCTGTCCTCCCTAAGTAACTTTCTCCGCAGTTACATGTGAATTGGTAAATACAGTGGGATTTGGACTGAATCGGTCTTGGAGACTTAATTGGGGTAACTGAGATCGATTGAGTTGTTGTGATAAGCCTCAGATTAGCTGCATTGAAGGTCTTTTTTTATTGCAGCTGCAGTCTGTTTGGTTGTAATTTTCATGCAATGATCACCGTTGAAAGGTAACTGTAGGTACACTGGTTTCTTGGGTACATCAGTTGCTATCAGCTTCGTCGTAGTTGTGTTCTGATGACCAATAAACGTTTCGGGATATCCGTTTGATTTAAGTGTCTTAGTAATAAGCTTGAATTTTCTCTCTCCTTCATTTTCACAATTATCTACTATTTGAACTTTTATTTATAACTGACCTTTTATTCATCTTCATATCAAAATGCTTTGACAAGTGTGTATGAGTGTGTGTGTGTGTGTGTGGCCAGATTGTTCGAAATATATGTATGCATAGCGCGCAAATACATCAAAACATTTCTCATCAGATCAGTTACGTCTTCTCACATTTTTGTATCAAAATAACAACTAAAGCTATGAAAAATCCCTGTATACAGATGATTCATATGTTTACAAATGTAATTTAATCTATCATATTTACTGTTCGCTTTTTATCCGCACAACATTATCATCATGTCCGACGGGCATCGATTTTTGTTGTTGTTGATATGACTGATGGTGTAACAATCTAAGTGGGGTATATATGCATTTTTGTGTCAGTTCGTATATTTGCATTACGTGGTTGTGAAGATTGTTAAGTTACAGATTTTTTGAAACCATGAATCGATCAATGTTAGACCATCACCATTAGAAACCTGGAAGCACTGGGCGGCCGTTTCGTCCTAGTATGGTAATCGTCAGCAGTGCGCATCCACGACTCCTGCACCCCGCAGGATTCGAACCTAGGACCTTCGGTATTGTGCTCGAACGCCCTAACCGTTAGACCACTAGGCCCGTATCCAACGGTTTTAATGTGTATGAGGTTGCACAACTCCGTGAATTTGATCAAGTTAGACATTAACACCGTTGGATACCGGTTCAGTGGTCTAACGGTTAGGGCGTTCGCGCACAATACCGAAGGTCCTGGTTTCGAATTCTGCGGGGTGCAGGAGTTCGTATATTGTTTAAAGCTACCGAATTCACACTACTTGATATTGTGTAGTTCATAGTGGGAAGAAGGTAATTTAGTGGTGTTCAACTTTCAGTCAAAAGTCGTAGATTTTTATCTACTCACACTTCATCTACAATGGTTTTGAGCTTCATACCTAAAGTGTGGCTGGATGCCAAATATCTGAGAATGAACTTATGTTGATGGTATCATGAATACTACTTGCTATGTGGTTTCTAAGTTGGTATGCAACGGAATATCACCCATAGTTTACAATCGGAGCGAAAAGTGTCGGATCCGGATGTATGGCGTAATTATAGTGCTTTTTGAAGACCCAATCGGTCACTCAACAACATTGTACGCCGTCGTACCTACGTATATCAGTTCAACTTGTCATAACACAACACAGAGATGCAATTGTCAATTTTAAATCCCACAGTGGTAGAAGTAATAGAAGTATAAGACGTAATCGGGAATATTAGGGTCTGAAAATGTATAATCGAGTGAAATAAATTTGAAAACAGAAAGATGAACGTCATGAGGAACACACAGATTAGAATTTGAGTGGACACAATACACCTGCACTATTGCAAACGATTTTGAACCATATCATTCAAGATATCTAACTATCGGTTACTATTGTCTCGCGGACTCCAACCAGATGGTGGTCTACACCTACTAACATGGCTCAGTCTAGTTGTCAGTGACTTCATGGTTGTTTACCAAATGTTTGAAGACTAGAACTTATGTGAATGAAGGCTATCAATAATCTATTTTCTTAAGGGAATGGAGGTCTAGATTATAAGGTGTACGCATTCTGTTACTAAACTTGATGTTCTCTCACTATAACTACTATTCCATCTTATCTTAACGTGTTCGTTCATAACGAATTAGTGCTCCAGATAAACCCTCATGTAATTTACTGTTTTATAAATTAAAATGACTTAGTGTTGAAAACTAAAGTGAACTGAAAAGTGGTTGAACATTCAAGTCCTTAATGTATATCTACCCCAGTGTAAGTGACCTATCAGCATAACGGCATAACTTTAAGTCGTACATAATAATACCTGCTTATCAATTTAGTTATAAGTAAGTTATATAGCTAGTTGTTTCGATTAATTCGAATAAATGTATCCTAAATTCATACTTATTTGCTTGTCGGATATATCAGTGGTTCAGAGATTAGGCGTTCGTACGCATGACCAGATGTCCTGGATTCAAATGCTGCGAGTAGGAGTAATCGTAGATGCACACTGACACTTGATGAGTAATCCCATATCATCTGGTGCTTCCATGTTTCTAATGTGTGGGGTATAACAAGGATTCATTCATGATTTTAAAAGTCCCATTTCCATACTATTCTAATACAGAATACATATATACATATCTTTCTGTTCTTTTATTTTAGGGTCTTGTGAATATCACTAAATGGGGTCATTATTCACGTTTCTGGTCAGTTAAAACTACTGTAGATCGTTGTAAAAAATCAATTCATAAACATGTAAGTTCATGTATTATGATAAATTTTATTATTATTATTATTATTATTATTATTATTATTACGTCTGAAATAATTAAGTCACTTTTGATAACTTTTTGATGTACACTAGATCTTGTTAAATTAGATTACTGTTAGGATATTCATCCAATATCCTAAAAGAGAATTATTTTTTGTAAGTCTAATTCTATTGGTCAATTCCTATTGATCGTCTTAACTATCCAATGTCACATACTTCAAGTGTTGTTTCTTATTGGTCGTCCTGACTCTCAATGTTACGTGCTTCTAATGTTGTTTCTTATTCAACCTAACTGTATAAATATGAATTGTTTGTAACGTTTTATGACTCTGATCCTTAACCCCTTGTGGAATTTGACCTCGTACTTTCTAAATGCTTGTAGAATACAGGTTCTACTTCATATCAAGTATTCTTGCTTTACTTAGTGTGGGTTTGAAACAATTGGATTAGAGTCGTCTGTTGTGTCTCCCGATCCTCGATCCTCGCTCTCATTTTTCAATTAAGGTAAACTCCTAGTAAGAAGGATTTGATTTTGACCAATTTAGTCTCGTGTGCTGTTACGGGTATGAGGGTGGTTGTCAGTTCCCAGGTGCCCACACCGTGGAAGGTTGTTTCTTGAAGGATCTGAAAAAGAAGATAGATTAATGTTGGTCTTAACTACCTGGGAGCGTGACCGCAGAGCCCAAAGGACAACTGCTTGAGGCCGGTCACGTACGGCTTTTTTATGAACGGTTTTTTGAGTATTAGCTCCGCTCTTGAAAGCCCTTAGTGGGCACCGTTACCCAAGGAGACAGAAATCCGTGAGGTAGGGTGAGGTGTGACATTTTTAGGGTCGATCTTTTCTAACCCTTCCTTCCTTGTGACAAGGCAGCATCGCTGCAGATGCTGGTTGTCGTCCAATGGAAACACTTTACTGTTGTCACACCCCTCTGCAGTGAGCAGCACGTCTTCTCCCTCAGGCCTTGGGTAGCTGCTTTTAGTCTTATCGTTCTCCAATCGACCTGCCTGGCATGGTAGGACCTTCAGGAACGTATGTTCCAGCCAATATAGCTCGGTTGGATCATCACGACAGGCAAACCCGACCACCACGTCAAAGTAGCAGCTACGGTCGGGTAGTATTTCAAGCATATCCAATGATGTGTTTACGTGTATGCGTAACAATTACGCGAATCATGACCAAAATAGTGAATTCAAATAAGAAATAGAGACACACGAATATCATTTTAAAACAATCAATGTTAGTAATTCTGTATCGAGAATCAATAAGAAAAAAAAGGGGAAAATCACATCATTAATAGACAGTGTCCGAAGTACTTTTTGTACTATTCTTGTTCACAATCTTCTCCACATAATTCGAATTGTTATTTGCGTATATACCTATCCATATTCATGATCAGTGGTGATGTTGTAGTGAAGGAGAACACAGGTGAGGGCAACCTAGTTGTATTTGTGTCAAATTACAGAGTTACTCAGTAAAATAGGAAAACCATATCGTAAACGGTTAATTTGTAAATCTTCAATCCATAATCAATCCATTGTCTGACATTTCACTCACTATTCATGCGTTTCATACAAATTCCATTGTGTTCCCACTCTTCCTTTCTTGATCTTCCCCCATCTTCTGCTGCCGGACATTATGTTTACACTCACGTCATATACTACTTATAAGTAGCTCGCACCATAATGTTTCTTTGTATAACAGGCTATCTGAAATATTTTCTAATCAGTAAACACGTCTATTGTGTAAAGTGATGTTTCAGGATAACTTCTTAGTGGAGTGACTGTTTACCACTCTTTGTCCTTTTATTGATCATTGGATCATGGATACGCAGTATTAAGAAACCAATCAGTCGGTTACAACGTAGAGCTTCGTACGTACGTGCATCAGTTCAAGTTGCCATAGCACATATTAGCACACAGAGATGCAGTTGTCAGTTCAAATCCCATAGTGGTAGAGATAGTAGGAAGAATTTGCGGTAATGTTGAAGAATAATGGTTGGAACATATGATTCGAGAAGTATTATTCCCTGAGATAACTTTAGAAAAAGAAAGATAGAGATGATGAAGAATTCAGAAGGTTAGTAAGAGTGGATGCACTTGCGCCGTTGCAAACGATTTTGAGCCATGTCGTTCAAGGTCTGTAACCATCGGTTACTACTCCTCGTGAACTCTAACCAAGTAGTCTACGTCTATCAACGTGGCTCAGTCTAGTTGTCAATGGCTTCATGGATTTGTGCCATATTTCGGTCTGGGCGCCCCTAGCTTTCTTCCAACCCTACTCCTACACCACAAAACATCTCTCGTCGAGGCAGTTGGTGGTTGGGCATACCTTCACACATTTCCTAATCACCTCAACTGATGAAGATTCAATACTTCATCTATTGATCTACCATCTTTACCTAGTACTCGTTTCCTAACGACAGCATTGCTTACTCGGTTGTCTCAGGATACACGAGCAATGCTTCGAAGACATCCCTAATCGAATACTAATTTTACCTACGAATGTCTTCTACTCTTACCTGGAGAAATCGCATATTAAACAAAACCAAATGTTCAATGCTTTTTCAATTTGTTCATGTTTGTTTAACTGTTTCGCTCTCTCAAATCTTAATCTTCTGGATTCGTCAGCACCTCCTCTACCTTTGTCTTTCTAACCTCCTTATCTCACCGAATTATACTTCTTGAATAATATCTTCAAACCCTTGTTTTCTTCATTACTACCATTAATACCTCTACTATCTCTACTATCACTATGGGATTTGATTTGACATTTGCGTATCTGTGCTAATGTGTTGGTATGGCAACCTGAACTTATGTACATACGTACGAAGTTCTACGTTGCAATTGACTGACTGATTGACTTGTTTAACTGAAGTAACTACATCTATTGGACACTACAATCATAATAAAAAGATGATTATATCTTGAAAATGTTTATTCGTTCTTTCCCTTTTTTCCTATTCAGGTTAAAAATTGGGAATCTATTCTACAACGACCAGTTCGTCCATTATTTGAAAATGCTATTAAAATGTCAAATTATGTTAAATTAATACCTCATCATAACAACAACAGTGATACTACTACTACTACTGATCGTTTATATTCAAATTCATTATTCAATTGTGAAGAATTGTTAAATTTACCAATGATATTAAAATATTGTTCATTTAATAAATCATTTACTTATTTAAAACAAATCTATGGTGATTTTAATGAGCATCACCAATCTGATTGTATAATACATTTAAAGTAAGTTGATGTTTATAATTTGATGGAAACTAGGTTCTTCGATCTCGTACTTACTTACTTACGCCTGTTACCCCCCAACGGAGCATAGGTCGCCCACCAGTTTTCTCCAACGAACTCTGTCCAGAGCTTCCCTCTCCAGTTCTGTCCAATGTTTGTTCATTCCTCTCATATCTTCCTCTATTTCACGGCGTAATGTGTTCTTTGGCCTTCCTCTTTTCCTTTTGTTTTGAGAGTTCCAAGTGAGAGCTTGTCTTGTGATGCAGTTGGATGCTTTCCGCAATGTGTGTCCTATCCACTTCCACCGCTTCTTTCTCACTTCCTTCTCCACTGGAATCTGACTTGTTTTCTCCCACAGTAGGTTGTTGCTGATGGTGTCTGGCCAACGAATCCGAAGTATTTTGCGTAGACAACTGTTAAAAAATACTTGTATCTTCTGGATGATGGCTTTGATAGTTCTCCAAGTTTCCGCTCCATACAGTAGAACTGTTTTGACATTTGTATTGAAAATCCTGATTTTGGTTTTGGTTGAAAGTTGTTTGGAGTTGCAGATATTTTTCAACTGTAGAAATGCAGCCTTTGTGCTTTGCCAATCCGCGCCCTCACATCTGCACCCGATCCAACTTTCTCGTCGATGATGCTGCTGGTGCTTGAACGCTAATACCGTTCGTTGGATGTCGGCTGAGTTATGGTCCAAGGGTTAAGCGTTTGCGCGCGAGACCAAAGGTCTTCAGTTCGTCTTCCGCGTGCATGGATCGTGGATGCGTACTGTTGTTGAATCCCACATACTAGGACGAAACGTTTGTCCCAGTGCTTACAAGTTTCTAACCGGTTGGTTTAACAATGGTGGATTCATAATTTCAATGATTATTAGACAATCATTGAATGTTTGTGTTAAAGATTGTACTAACGTAAATGATTGAAAATCAGTGAAGAACTAATGAGGTTCGTGATAGAATCTACAAGTGCACCACCTTAAAAGTAATTGTTAGATGTGTCGTCTCAACCTGTTTTGGATTTGTGATCCTGACGGATCCTGGTGGAACGAATGGCCCATGAACCTGTTGTTAAATACCGTCTACCATGGAGCTATATTTCTTGACGTTGTTTCACTGCAGTATGAATTATATCTGACCCGATCATAGATCGTAACTTGACTTGGTGGCAGGATTTGTCTCTCCTGACGACTTAACCGAGCTATTTTCGTTGAAACATATGTTCTGTTAGGTTCTACTATGCCAGGCAGGTCGATTGGAGAACGACGAAACTAAATACAGCAACTTAAGATCTAAAGGCGAAGTTTTACTACTAACTACAGAGTGGTGTGAGAGCAGTAAGATGTTTACCTCGGTCAACTAGTATCTGCAGCGATTAGAGAAGGTCGACCCTAAAAATGTTAAACTCTACCTTACCACACGGATTTACGCCCCTTGCGTTAAGTCCCTTACTAGTGTGGAGCTAACACTTCCAAAGCATCCCATAAAAAGACCGTGTGTGACCGGCTTCAAGCAGTTGTCCCCTGTGCTCTACAGTCACGCTCAAAGGTTTGCTAGGCCACCGCTAACCCATCTTCCCTTTCAGGTTCCTCAAGAAACACCCTACCACGGTACGGGTAGCTATAAAGTGACATTCACCCTCATACCCTTAACGGCAACAATCAGACGGACTAGACCTGTAGATGGAAACCTAGTGAAATAACCTTTTAAGAAAACCACCTAATTCGTTTCGGGCATCTAAGGGTTCATCTCAGTACACTCATAAATTTATTGATTTGTGTGGTGGTGCGTAACTATTTAAATGTGCCCCAGTCTATGTTTATTATCGAAGTGTATCAATAAACTATTGTAACATGCGTCCCCTTTTCTTTTCCATTTTCTCAAAAAAATAAAACTTCCATCAGACGTTTACCATCCATTATAAAATGCTTGCATAAACATCTTTCTAACATTATTCATGAATCACCAATTATTGAATGGATAAACTCTCTGCAATCTGGTCTACATAAATGGATTGATTATGTGCATGAATTAGCTAGACAAACTGATCGATTAAACGCTACTTGTCCTAATCATAATCAACTTGCTAAATTACATCACTCCAAATTGGCTAAAACTAAATTGTCGAAACGAAATAATCGAAAAACTGGAAATGATTATGATGGGGAGGAAGTCGATGTGGATGGTGATGAAGAGGAATTGAAGAAAACACGTCAATGGTATCAAGAGTTTACCGCGTTGCAACAACGTAAACGTTTAGCATTAACGGATTGGTTAAAAATTGCCATGTTGAAACGGTCATCAAATGTTGATAATAATCAGTAAGTTTTATTTTATTTTTGCAATAAGGCGTATGCGTATCTGTTTGCTGACTAAAAGACGAGTGTACTGTGCAGTAGTTTGCTCCGTCTTAATTTATGGCTGTGAAACATGGCCAGTGAGAGTAGAAGATATTCGTAGGTTACTGGTTTTCGATCATAGGTGTCTTCTCAGAAGCATTGCTCGTATATCGTGGGACACCCGAGTGAGCAACGCTGTTATTAGTAAAAACGGGTACTAGGTAAGAATGACAAATCAATAGATGAAGCATTAAAACTTCATCAGTTGATTGGGTTGGGAATAGGTTGGAAGAAAGTTAGGGGCGGCCAAACCAAAACATGGCACAAATCCATGAAGTCATTGACGAGCGGACTGAGCCATGTCGGTAATTGTCGACTACCTGGTTGGGGTCCACGAGATGATAATAATCGATGGTTAGAGACCTTGAATGACATGGCTCAAAATCGTTCGCAATGGCGCCGGTGCATTTATTCTTTGTGTTCTCTCAAATCCTAATCTTCTCGATTCTTCAACACCTCTAGTTCCGAATCTCTAGACGTTTCTCACTGAATCATACTTCTTGAATAATATCTTCTAATCCTAACCTCTCCGATTACTTTTAATAGCTTTACTACCTCTTCTACTATTGGATTTGAATAGACAATTATATCTCTGTGCTAATGTGGTATGGCGACATGAACTGATGTACTTACGTGCCAAGTTCTACGTTGCATCCGACTGACTGACTGTCAGATCACCGTAAAAAACTTGACTGCACTGGACGGCTGTTTCGTCCTGTGTTATGGGACTACTCATCTGCAGTGCTCACCAACTTCTCCTACTAGTCGCAGGATTCAAACCCGGGACCTTCGGTCTTGCTCTCGATATGCCTAACATCTGGACCACTGAGCCTACATCTGGATGTTTGTAGAATACAGGTTCTACTTCATATCAAGTCTTCTTCTTTTACTGAGTGGGGGGTTGAGGCGATCAGGTTAGATTAGAATGTCGTGTCGCCGGATCCCCGATCCTCACTCTCGTTTTCCAACTTAGGTAAACTCTTACTTAATTCAAGCATATCAAGTTGACATGTTTACGTTCATGTGTAGTAGTCCTATCCATCTGTAGCGTTTTTTCCTACCTTCTCCAGCCTGGATCTCGTTTTATAGGGTTATTGACGATCCTAAACTCCTTATATGATAATGGAGAACGATTAGGCATAGGGTTATCAATCCCATCCTGTGCACGATAAACTTGCTAACAATCTTAAATTGTACACTTATTAATTATTGTCTCACTGTAAACAGTTTTGTGTACAGTGTTCACACTGGTATCATCACTCTTGATAATCATCTTCATAATCATAATGTTTACTACTCTTTCATATTCAATAGACTATCGGATATATCGAATTCAACAGTACAATCAACAGATTCATTGAATCCCATTGAATTAATGAATGGTCATGACGATGATGATGATGATGATGAGGCTGGAGAAGAGAACATTGAATCTTTTTCTTCAAATCTTGATCCTAATTCTAATCGCAATAACAATGACGATGAAGATTGTTTATTGGACACATTGAATTTACCAAATCTTGGTTTATCTTATCGTCGTGGACAACGACAAACACAAACTGGTCATATGAATCAATTTCTTGTTCAGTTAAATGGTGATCCATGGAGTTATGTCAATCAATTTATCGATCAAAATGTCAATATGATCAAGTGAGATTTTTTTTGCTTTTTTTTAAAAAAAATTTGCGAACTACTTACTGAATACTACTCACTGTTGGGTACCGGCTCAGTGATCTAACGGTTGGTGGCGTTCGCGCACAATACCGAAGGGTTCGAATCCTGCGAGGTGCAGGAGTTGTGGATGCGCACTGCCACTGATGAGTCCCATACCAGGACGAAACGGCCGTCTTTCAGTGCTTCCAGGTTTCTAATGGTGGTCTGACATCGGTCGATTCATGGTCTCGAAAATGTGTAATTTAACAATCTTCACAACCCCGTAATACTAATTATTTGTATGCGATTACATGATTATTATTATTACTGTTATTATTATTATTATTATTATTATTTTTCAAACACAAAGGGGCATCTAAATATTTATGCAGCATACTAATTATTGGATTTGTGAATGGGATGCCCAAACGGAATCAAGTAGTTCTCTCAAGCAACCTCTCCCCGAACCGTTGATCCAAAAATCTAATCCACAAGACAGTGAAGCAACGTCAGGAGATGTGGTCCTTTGGTGGGTCACCAACACTATGTGTTTTCTCAGGATCCTGGAACCCATATGAAGAAGAATTCTCTATACCCACCAACTGTGTTAAGACGTCGCTTTTTGTCCTCTCAGTTCTGTGAACAACATTCTCGCTATGTGAAGTCAGTGAGTGAATAGGACTTCCCTGACTGTGGCTACACACACTTGGTCATATGAGAGCATTTCGAGAGAGGGAGAGAGAAAGTGGACACTTCTCATTCTCAACCGTACCAGAGTATTTAGGGGACTAAGACATGGTTGAAGGTTCACATTCGTCTAAGAGATTCATTCATAAAAGAAATACTTTCTGAGAGATTATAGAACTTCACAATAATTAATATTTGTCCACTAGCCAATAAATGTCAGTTTACTCACAAAATGTGTACACTTTATATACTACAGACCTCCATCTGCAAAACAAACAGATTATTAACTGAATTTTTACCCATGTGTTCTAGTCTTGGACACATTTCAGTCGTGGCAAACATCTGGATCCGAGACTCGTCTTAACGGTTGTAACCTTATGGATGACACTCCGTTGTACACCACTTAATATTCATGTTGCAAGTATTAACCGCTACCACAATAGTCATAGTAGTATATTGATTAAGTAGTATATTTGACATTTGATAACTTGTAAACATTTATCTGTTTCATAGAAAATGAAATACTATTGTTACACCTGCACGTAAACACGTCAACTTGATATACTTGAACTATTACGAGTTTACCTGGTCGGAAAACGAGAGCGAGGTTCTTGGTTCCGGCAACACGATATGCTTCTCAAATCCTCTTATCCCGACCCCCCCCCCCATATTGAGTAAAAATAAGAAGACTTGATATGAAGTAGAACCCGTATTCTACAAGCTCCAAGAAAGTACGAGGTCCGAATTCAGAAGAGAATTAGGATTCCGGACTAGGGATCCAGGTCCGTGTCCGGGTCATAAAACGTTACAGATAATGCCTATTTATATATTTTGGTCAAATAGGATACAGCATCGAAGTTTGTGACATTGACAGTTAAGATGAGCAATAGGAAGTGACATTGATAGTCAGGCCAACCAATAAGAAACAACATTGAAGTACGTGACATTGACAGCTAGGACGACCATAAAATTGACCAGTAGGAATTATCCAACAGGAATTGACCAATAATAATTCTCTTAGGATATTGGATGATTATCCTAATAGAAAAAAACGTGGAAGCACTGGACGTTCGTTTTGTCCTACTATGGGATTCACCTACAGCGCGCCTTCACGACCTCCACACCTAGGAGTCGAAACCAAGACCTCCAATCTCCCTTTGCAAACGCTCCCTCTCTCCAGACCACTGATCCGGCGGTATCCATTAGTGTTCATGACTAACTGTAATCAATTTAGGATATTGTCAACTGAAGACATTGGATGAGACCGTTGATTGAAGCTAGACATTTGCGCCAAAGAATGCCGCCGGCTCAATGGTCTAGATCTAGAGATCAAGCATTTGTACATGAGACTAATAATTCTCTTAGGATGAATATCCTAACCACTATGCAATTTCATTTTCAATCATACCATTTCGGCTTTTTTTTTCCTCCTTGTTTACTCTAGTACCGATTCTGAAGAATATTTCCTACATAGTGTATGCAATCGTCTAGCTCGATTAATTGCATTACGTTCTAGTCTACCAAGTGTTCCTGGTGGACGATCAACTGATGGTAGTGATGTTGACGCGAATACAAGTCAAGCAATCTTGCATGAAATTGGTGGACCAAATAATTTCACTCGATTAATTGGCTTAATGAATGATTTATTAAATCAATGTACTGTTGAATTTAAAGTATGCAGTGAATACACAGCAAATTGTCATAAAATCAATCAGTTAATTAAAGAATATGCAAATAGTTTCAATGTTCCAACCATGATGATGACGTTATCTAATAATGATCAACAGTCGATGAATGAGGATAAAGAAATTGTTCCATGTTATATAAGTTATGCTTTGGATTCGAGTAGATTAAAAGGAATTCGTGTAAGTATGTGATGTGTATGTGTGCGTGTGTGTGTGTCTGTTGTACGCTCACTTTTTTGATTTTGAATATGTGGGGTCCATTTATCTGCGTGTACGGACAGCGCCTGACGGTTTATAAATCAGAAGGCTAATTCGAAGTATGAATACGTCTATATTTTGGACACACCACATAGCGAAGTTGAAAAGCACCGAAAGAATGAGCGAAGGAAGTAAACGAATAGGCGAAGCGCATTGGAGAAGGCTAGTGAGCCAACTCAAAGAAATAGAGCATGACTAAGAATATATAGTCAGATAAAAATAAGACAGACATGACAAGCGAAATAGGCATGCACATACATGAATAAAAGCTACGAATAGTTGACAAGGTCAAATGACACGTCATGTGAGCTCATACAAACCAGTCAATAAGAAGGAATGGTACATATAAGTTGTTGCTACGCCAATGGCTTGGTTAAATAGATTAATCGAAAGGGCCTAACCAAGTTAGTTGTAAGAGAACTGGAATATATGTAGAGGCACTACAAATGTGTTCTCCTTGCTTTGTGATAATCTTAAGAGGTCTAGATTAATCTGGTTGAAGTGCACGTGATAATTGTAACTAGTGACGACTAGAGACTTTGAATGACATTGCTTATATAGCGTTACATAAATCCTGTTGCTTTCTCTTTACTTCGATATATGTATGTAAGTCAGTCAGCAGCATCATAAAATTTGGTACGTACGTGACTTGGTTACTAACACCTGTTACTTCTAAGTGGAGCATAGACCACCAACCAGTATTCTACAACCTACTTCCTCTTCTCACATTTGTCTCGGTTTCTCAGCATAATGTGTTTTTTGTTATACCTGTTTTCTTTTGGTTTCAAGGATTCCAATCGAGGGCTTACCTTGAGACGTAATTGGGTTCTTTCCTCAATGTGTATTCATGTCCTATCCACTTCTAGTGCTTTTCCCTTATTTGTTCCTCAGTTGGAATTTGGTTTGTTCTCTCCCACATAGGATTGTTGCTGATAGTGTCTGGCCAACGGGTCCGAGGTATTTTGCGTTAATAAACACTTATATCTTCTTGATGATGATGGCTTTGGTAGTTCTCCAAGTTCCTACTCCATACAATAGAACTGTCTTGACGTTTGCATTGAATGTTATGACTCTTAGTGTTGGTTGATAGTTGTTGTGAGTTGCAGATGTGCTTCGATCGTAGATCTGCTACCTTTGTTTTGCTCATCGATGTTGCTGCCCGGATTTGTAAAGGTTGCCACATCCAAAGCTTCTTGATGAAGTGTTATGTCGATTGTACATGTTGTGTTGTATCGGAGAATCTTGCTTTTCCTTTTTATATATGTTGAGATCTACTGCTACCGAGGTTGCTGCTAAACCGGTTATTGCTTGTGGCATAGAAGAGCCAGATCATCTGCGAAGTCCATATCGTGCAGTTTCATCGTTTGAATTACGTGACTCGAAATTGCGGTGGCATCGGTTTCTCTACTTCATGACCTTGTTCATTCTTTTTCTGTTTATGCTTTATTTCACTGGTTCATATTCTCTTGAAACTTATCTTTAATCCCTTATTAATTGCCACTGTTTATACTGCTATCTCTAATACTGTTGAATTTCGAATGGCGATTCCATCTCGCGGTGTAAATGTGGTGCAGTAACTTGAATTGATCTGGGTAGGTGCCACATTTTATGTAGCGGCCAATTGACTGACTGATAGACATTATCAACCAGTTACATTGATTGGTCACTGAGCTATTACGAGTGTTTGGTTCACCGAGTCCTTAAGAACTGTATGAGTTCTGCTGATTAGGCTATACTGTTTACATTCACCTCATTGACTTGACGTTGCATATACTACTTACTATCCAGTCGTTAATTATAACAATCTACGATTGACTGTGCTTGCAAAATTCGATCTCCCCTTATCCAGCTTCATTGACTACTTATTCGTGTCATGATCAACAGTAAGACGACAGCATTCCATCAACTTACAATACATATATTGTACTGTTCAAAAAGTTCCCTGTTTTGACCAAAAACTTACTTACTTACTTACCCCTGTTACCCCCCAATGGAGCAGAGGCCGCCCACCAGTTTTCTCCAATCAACTCTGTCCTGGGCTTCCCTCTCCAGTTCTGTCCAATTTCTGTTCATTCTTCTCATGTCTTTCTCTGTTTCTCGGTTTAATGTGTTACTTGGCCTTCCTCTTTTCCTTTTTCCCTGAGGGTTCCATGTGAGGGCTTGTCTTGTGATGCAGTTAGGTGCTTTTCGTAGTGTGTGGCCTATCCACCAACTCCACCGCTTCTTCCTCATTTCTTCCTCCATTAGAATCTGGTTTGTTCTCTCCCACAGCACGTTGTTGCTGATGGTGTCCGGCCAACGGATCCGAAGTATTGACCAAAAACACTTGGTCTATGCTAAAACTACTCCAACTGATATCAATCTATCGACTGAACTGTTTCGACAAAGTTTCTTATTCAATGTTCAATATTTATCGTATCAAATGTCGTGATTCATTCATTTTGGTGATTTGCTTGTTTGTCTGTTTGTTATATAGATATCAACTCAAAATTTAGATCAAATTATACGTGAACATTTATATCAATGGAATATATTTTGGATAGTTTTTCAAAAACAAACTATAAATGAACCATTCAACATGTCAAAATTATCATGTCTATTCGGTTCAGAGAATTGGTCATGGTTATTAACAAGTAAACAATCCGATCTGTCAACATGGATGATGGAAAATGCCAAACAATTGATGGGTATCACTGAACCATATATGGAACCATTGAAATCAGCGTTCACCAATATACTAACACATACATCATACATTAATCAGTTGAATACATTCCTATGGAATCATGCTTTACATGAAGCTTATGAAAAGTTGTCATCATGCATGTTACATTTACACGAGGTGTTGAATTCTCTATTGAATTCATATAAAAAATGTCATTGTGTTGTATTATTTAATTCTGTATTTGAATTATTAAAACAACAGATCAATGTTGAATGGGATAAAATTCAAGCGGAATTAAACGCTATATCCTGTAATAGGATTATTGATGGTGGTAAGGATCCATTAATCTTTTACGCAACTAATGATAATACTACTGATAATAACAATTTGAGTAGTATAAATAGTAACACTAAAAGACCAGATGTGAAATTTGAACAATTAACCAATCGGTGTATTCATTCCATACTGAAAACTATTGAAATTCTACATAGTTTAGATCAAATCTCTGATAAAAATGATCAATTAACTTTATTACATCATTATTCCAGAAGGATTTCAACGTTGTTATTATCATCGAAATTACCTCAACTATATCGATGTCTATGGAATATGCGTTGTTGTATTATGTTACAACAGTCGAATTCTTCTTTATGCCCCCCAAATGATGATCATTATGTGATTGTACAATCAAGGCTAATTATTATTCAATGTATCTATCCATTAATGAATGGTTTATCTAAAGCATTACATATACGTTGTATACAATTTTGGCATTTATTAAATTCATGGTTAAAATTAGGTGAATTTGCTATGCAAATTACCGGACGTATTATCACGGAAGGATTTTGTCGTCCAGTTAATTTGGCTAGAGATAATCAACTCACAACGAATGGTCAGAATGATAACTCTTCAAGATCGGGTACTGATGATGGCCAGTCGACAGGTGCAGATGATTCTAGCGGCGGTACAAGTTTAACATCGACTACAAACAATGCATTAGGTGCTAAAGATGTGAGCAATGAAATAGAATGTCATGAACAAATTGAAGGTTTGTTGAATGATCGTAAACAGCAACAACAACAACAAGCACATGATAATCAACAAACACCCGAGGACGTGGAAGGTATTGAAATGCCAGATGATGATTTCCAAGGTCAATATGATGATCCTAATATGGAGAATTGTGATGTTGATCAGGAAGAGGATGCAGAACAAATGGAACAAGAGAATTTTGATGATAAAATGGGTGATTTAGATGATGGACAGACGAATAATCATGAAGATTTAGCTAAAGAAATGTGGGCATCTGAAAAAAAGGGGGGCGAATTTGAAAGAGGCGGTAAAAGGGGGGGTGGGGCCGGACGGCGGTGAAGGGGAGGAAGAAGGGGGGGGAGATGCAATGGGTAGAAGGGGGGGTCGTTGAATGGGAGTAACAAATCGAGGAGGGGGTAAAAAGGGGAAAAAGGAGGAGAGTGGAGGGGAGGTCGGGAGAAGGGCGTGGGGGAGGGTGGGGTGTGTGGGGGTGAAGGGGGGGGGCTCACGGTGGGGGGGGAGGCGGGAAAAAGAGGGGAAAGGGGGGAAGGGACTGGTTTGGGGGAAAGGGGGGGGGGGTGCTGGGGCACGCGGCGAGGGGGGGCATAGGGAGGGGGACGGCACCAGACGGGGAAGGGCGGGGAAAAGGAAAGGAAAAGGAACGGAACAGACAGATAGGGAGTGGACAGAACGGGGGGGGGGTAGAAAGACGGATTGGCCAAGTTAACAAAGGGGAAGGGGATTAGGCGGGGAGGGAAGGGGGGGAGGGAGGGAAGGGGGAAGGAAGGAGGGGGAGGGGGGAAGGGTTGCAAGGGTGGAGTGGGAGGTCGGGGGGCGGAGAGGAATTAAGAGGGTGGACATAGTGAAGGAGGGTTGCGAGGGATTCGTGGGGGGGGGTGAGGGTAGGAAAAAAGTGGAGGGGGGAGAGGGAGGAGCGGGGACGGGGAGGGAAGTGGTGGAGGGGGGGCGGGGGGAGGGAGGAGGGATGGGATAGTAGTAAAATAGGAGGAAGGAGGGGGGGAGGGGGGAGAGGGGGGAGGATAATTGCCAACAGGGTTTTTGCTTTTCGGACGGGGGGGGGAGGGAAAGGATTGTATTTTGTCTTTTCCAGATGGGCATACTAGGCTAAGCGATGGGTGGGGCGTATGGGAAGGTTGGGGGGTTGGGTGAGGGAGGGCGGGGGGGGGGGGGATGTCCGTGATCGGTGTTGCAGTAGTCGAATATGACATGTGGGAAGTGCGTCATACGAAGGGGAAATGTGCCGAATCGGGGAAATAGGGCAGTTAGTGGGTCTTCTTCATTGAGCTAGCAGTGGGTTGTGTGCGATTAGTCCCGCGGGTGGTGGATTTATAGTAGAAGGGCGTTTGTTTATCTAGGTGTTACGGTTTGTATGGGTGGGTTTACTTTCCGTATCACTGCATGCAGATACGTTGATCACAAAATCGGGAATAGGACATCTTTTCCTGAGGAGAAAAAAGGGGGGGGAAGGGGGGGGGGTGGTGGCATCATCATGCATCAGGAAAACATGTCGAACGATGCAGTTTTCGTGGGGGCCTGTTTCGGTGGGTCAGAGGTTCTATTTTGGACATGCTTTTGTTGCATTGAGATGTTACGCGGGAGTATAGTTTTTTTGTTCGAAAGATTGGTATTTTTGTTTTTGGGCAGTCTCGCAGTGGGTCGAATTGGTATCGATAGGGCTTGAACGATCCGACCGAGTAAAGTTGGTAGATGCAATTTGGTTCGTCGGGAGTTGGGGGGGGGGGGGAGGGTTTCGCATGGCCGAATTGCATCATTTCGGGAGGGGGGAGCTAGGGCGACCTGCATTGTCCGTCCTCCTGCGCTCATCATTCATATGCGTCGCAGGTGGGGGTGCGAACCGTTTGCTTTATAGTCCTAAATCTTCATGGGATTTATATAAACAGTGAGCTAGTCCTATCTAGTCTAAATCACGGGGGGCCAGGTGGGCTATATCATACGAAGAATTCTCATGGTGTTAACTGCATGGTTGTTCTGTGGTCGATCCTAGATTACAAGACAGTCACATAATCGTCCATATTATAGGGGGACTGGCATCTATGATTGAACCACTTAGGGAGAAGGGGGAAAGAGAAGGAGGAAGAGGTAGGCCATGACGATTGGGGCAAGATTGGCATTTCAAGTACCGTTCGGGCAGGGTGCAGTCCTCTAGAGCGTGGTTTTTGATGTATCATGTGGCTTGTTGTTTTTGTTAAGGGGCTTGTTAGCGAGTCATTCGCATCAAACAAAGTGGCAATTTGTGTGCATGAGCATTCCTAGGGATGTGGATTCATAGTGGCGGAATCGGACGATCTTTAGCACCTAATGCATTGTTTGATAGGATAGCAGATTTTAAAACAAGGCGATTGTAGCGCGAGTAGCCGCTGGGTAGTAGAGATCATATCATGTGCATCCGGTACTGGTCTACTGTGGGCTGCATCTTATCGCAGTACAGCTGCGAGGATGATCGTTAGAAACAGGGTTAAATCATTCTAGGCCATGGAAAGAAGGAGGGGAGGAAAAGGAGAGTGCGTTGTGAGTATGATTATCTCTAAAAGGGCCAAAATTAACTGGAGTCGGCATAAAATCCGTATTGGTCCGGTGGCATAAATAGGGCGGTCCGGTAATTTGTCGGATGGGGAGGGGCAGAATCAGGCGAAGAAGCGTAATATTTATAAAGAGCGGCATGAGGATTTATAAATGCTCTAAGATTGTATAGCGAAAAAACCGTAAGTATTGTAAGGGGGTATGGCAAGTTTTTAAGATAAAAGCCATTCATATATGGGAATAGATAAGCATATGAGATAGGTTAAATTAGCCTGGTGTATGTTACAATGGGTTGCACATAATGATAGTCTCAAAATGAATTGGGGGGCAATAGAAAGGAAAAGATATTCGGGTGGAGACTGTTTTAGGGAAAGACTAGTAATACAAGCGAAGCAGCACATTCTGGATAATCCGATAAGAGACATCTGATATAGGTGTGAGAAAGTAATGAGAATTCGATGAATATGATAAGGGGCAACGTTGAATATCGCTGTCTGGAATGAAGTGAATATAGAAGAAAGGGAGTTAATGTGATCATGGTTTTTTATGCATGAGATTTGGCTCTAAAAACTAGTGAAGAACTTTCAATAGGGTGTTTCAAGTATGGATAAGTAGAATAAGCACGCGATTGTTAATTGTTCCAAGGAGGGTGGGAGAGATTTGGCAGGAGTCTGGTCATTTAGTGTTATCTGGGATGTTAGTTCGGGAGCTAGGCATCAAAAAAGAGGTTGTTATTTCTGGCAGTTAGGTGATTGATCATTCGTTAGCGTAAATGAAGAATTTGAGAATGGAGAGTGGCCTTTGGAAAAAGAAAAAAGAAAAAACTACGCGGGTATGCGAATGCTTATATATGAGGATATGATAGCGGTTTGTTCACTAAACTGGACATCATGCGCTGGGTGGAAGAATTATTAAATCTGGCCCTATTCAACGATGATTCTGTTGTTGTTAAATGGAATTCAAAGTAGTCAGAATTAACATAGATAGCAAAGGCACAATGACAATTTTTTTATAATGAAATTGCAATAGCGACATAATCAATAGCACGAGCGGGATCGTGTTAAGAATGTAACGATGGGCAGTGATGACGCAAGAAGCTTCTTACATAAGGCTTGCATGTAAAGATGCATGGATTCCTAATGGTAAAGCGTAATTTATTGTCGAAAGGCTGATTTAGATGTGAGGTGATGTGGATTGTTGTTGTTGGCCTGTTAATAGGGCAGATGTCGGTGGGTAGGAGAAGGCTCTGATGTTATGGCTAATGGTTCGCATATATAATGATGTTCGAGATTATATCGCAGCATCGGAGTATGTTTGGGCTTAGTTTTTCCTTAAAGCATCAATCCTATAGTAGTTGAACAGATTCGAGGGATTTGTTTATGCAAATTGTTAATAATAAACCGAGGATCCACGTACACCTATTGGAAAGGACTCCAGGTCTCCTGATAGGGCTCAGATATAAGGACTATAGTGAATTAACATTTTGTGTACATGTTGAAGATGTGGTTCTAATTGATAAGTGTTTGTTATTTGAATAAAGAACTTATCCAAAAGTATATTCGGCTATTGAATATATATAATGTTGTCGAAACACCCAGTATAAAAATTATGATGGCTAAATTTTGAAGTGGAACTGTTGGAGTGATCTTAATGATAAACAAACAGTGATCAAGAGGCAAAAAGTCAAGGAAATCTACATCATAGTGAATAAGGTCTGACGGCTACCATTGTATACGCATAAAATACGTATGGTAGAAGGCAACTTGCATCTAGTAGGGGTGAGAAGGGTTACTGTTGTCGTATGTAAAGCAGCTTCATGGTTTGGGGAGGGGGGAAAAAGTGTGAGAAATCGAATAGATAAAGATTATCAGTTGGTGTCTAGTAGTGTTTTAAGCGATTGGAAGATGCGCAAGAGTGTTTGGTCGAATACAGTTCTCTGATCGGGCGTTGGCGCGGACACCGTATCGGGATTGCAACAACGTGGCTGGTGGGGAGTAGAATTAGCAAAACCCAGTTCTAATGGGTAGGACGAGAATTGAGAGAAGAAGCGTTGGAGTGTGTGTGAGATACATGTCTCCGACGGAGGTTGGGGGGTACACACTAAAGAAAAGAAAGAAAAAAGGTCTACGTAAAAAAAAGGGAAGAAGGCCCGGGCCTCTTATGTACTTTTTTCGCAATCTTCACTATGAATACAAGGTGCTACGTTCGGTGAGCAAGAAACATGGCAAACCCAAGGTGGAGGCGGGTCAGGAGAAGGAACAAGGAAAAGACGTGACACGGGCACTATGATAAACACATTAAAAAACCGAGAAGAACGGAGATGTAAAAGGGGACAACATGAGATAAAATGAGGACCAAAAAAGAAAAGGGGAAAGGCGGGGAAAAGGAATATTGATTGCAGGTTCATGGAGACGCTAATAGTAGGTCGTGGAATGGACCGCAGATGTATGCGGTTGGTGATTGGGGCTATAGGAACTGGATGTGAGACGTGGGTCCTGCAGACGAGGGTGCTCTGGGCGAGTTGGGGGTGAATAAGCAGGGGTTAAGAGGGTAAGTAAGATATTGAAGAAGAGGGGAAGGGGTTTCTTTTGGTCAAGGAGACATATTGAACTTTTTGTGTGTAGAGCGAAGTACAATATATTTTATTGTAAGAGAGTTAAGAATGGAGAGTAAGTCTGTCGTGCGTTAGGGGACTCGGGGTTGGATCATGAAGACTGAGCCGAGAATAAGAAGTAGGTCTATAAAAGCTGAAGGGATAAAGAAGGGGAGGAATATCGAGATTGGATGCGAGGGGCAGCAGAAGGGCTCAAGTGGCGTAGAATAGAGTTGTTGATAATTGAGACCGACTGTTAGTATGGTAAACAGAAAGGTAGTATAGGTGCAACGAATAAGGGTCAGTGGGATTAGGTGAGAATATGTAGTAAACAGAGTGGATGTAAGAGGCCTTCATGGGTCAGGGAGGTGGGCAGATAACTCATAACAGTCTTTGAAGAAGGACTCGGTGTCAGCCAAACACGAGGTTCAGGTGAATAGGCTCAGTGAGCGGCAAGGGAGTAGCAATGTAAGCGTGGTTGATGAATAGTCTATCAGTCAGATCGGTAATTGTAGGCCGGCTAACAGTGAAAATGTGGCACCCGGGTAGCCACTAGGGGAAGGGTGATGCAAGGTCAAAGTTCAAAGGGCATGGATAGCACAGACACTCACATTTACGAACGTCTAGTTATGGAGATGGCGAGGCTATGATCTGAAATTCAGACATGTGATGTAAGAATAATATTAAGGGGCAGTAATATAGACAGTGGCGCATATAATCAAGGGGGTAAGTTATAGATGAAGTTTCTAGAGTTAGTTAATATGGAACTCAGGTAGAAATAATAGAGTAGTAGAGAAAGCTTATAAAAGCAGAGAATAGAATGTCAGGCAGAAAGGTGTGCGATGGTAAGTAGAGTTAAACTAGGCGGTGATGTCCGGGACGTTCGGACCGGAAATAAAGGGGGTGGGGTATGGCAATTTGTGAAGAGTCACTAACAATATCAAAAGACGTGATTAAATCTGTTCACTGAGTAGGGATGATGAGTCTGTCGGTGGCAGATGTAGTACTTAGTCTCTTCGTAGGTGCCGATGTCAAGGCAATTAACCGGTTTGAGCGGAGCTAGGAGGCCTCGTGGTAGCATTAAATAATAGAGTTCTCTACCTATATAAAACAAGGGGATAAGCCTCTTCTCTCAGTGATTAGCAAATCAGGCATGAGCATTGTACATGCGTAGGCAATGAATGGCACTTCATCAGAAGCTTTGGTATGGGCAGGGGGGGGAAGCGCTTGTGATCAATATCACAGGCAGAGAAGCAACACTCGTGATGTAGCTAAAAGCAAAGAGGTTAGCAGTCTAGCGGTCGAAGCTTGTCAACTCTGCAACTGACACGAAAATCAAGCTTGTATCAACCACACTAGGAGAGTCAATTAGGGAGGCATGAATCAATGCAAACGTCAGGAAGGACAGTTCGTTATGTGTATTGGGCCATATAGTGAGTGTGAGGAACTTGAAGAGCTAGTGGGTCGGTCAAAGCGATCTCAGATGCGAATTAGATAATATAAAGTTGTATATATTAAGGCGGCAGGAAAGTATACCGGGGGTCGGGACAAGGGGACCGATTGTGCCAAATCCTAATGTGGGTGTGAGAGAACAGGAAGCCATATATTCCAACTGTGTAAGCACAATACTAGGTACGGGTAAATAGGTAAAAGGCACTAGAGAGGTGGTAGTAGACAATGACTATACGTACGTATTGAGGATAGGAGAACCCTTTAATATGCGTCATGCAAGGTTTAGAGGCCCAAGTTGCGATTGAGGAATGGGGTTTCTCATATGAAACCAAGAGGGAAAAAGAGGTAGGTAATACGGAGGAACAGGAAAAGCACATATGCTGAGAAACCAGGGGATAGCACATAAATGGTGAGGAAGTGGGGGGAGGTCAAGTTAGGGGGGGGGGGTAGTAGAGATAAATCATGTTTGGGTGGTGCTTAAGGTTGATCTGCAAGGGGCACTTGGAGGGGGTAAATGTAAAAGCAGGGCATGTAGTGTAGTTATTACACACAGTTCGAGGCGGGCGGTATCTTATCCATAAATATGATTATGATTAGTGCTGGCGTGTGTAAGCAAGTAGACTTAAGGCATAAGACAATAGTATGTCGAGAGGCGATAAGAGAGTAAAGGGGGAGACACGAGGATTTAATGTTGTCTAAACAGGGGCTTCTATAGGGGATGCAATGTATGTCAAGAAGGTTGAGAAAATTCTCTTAGTTGCGTGCACTGTATCAGTTATAGCGTTAGGTAATTATAAGCAGGGTGGCGACTTGCATACTCAGGTGAATTGAATAACTTTAGACCTGCTTGGATGGAGTATTGGATCACAAAGCTAAGGAGTAGACGACATGTTGTGAGTGGCCTCTAGGCAATATAGTTCCGGATAGTTCTCCATAATGAATCAGGATACGATAAGCGCTTGGTTATGGGGGGGGGGTACCCTAGAATTCTGATTTTATATGCTGGTATTTAATCTCATAGAGGGCTTCATTGGCGTAGCTATAAGACGAACCTTGATATTGTACCCAAAGGATTCCTTCTTTATGTGACAGTGGTATTGTATGAGTCTTGCACGTAGTAAAAATGACTTAGATGGGTCACTTTTGACCTTGGTCACAAAGCAAAGACAGTTATTTCGTAAATGGCTTTTATGTGTCAAGTAGTGGATGGGCAGTGGCCTGATATTCGCTTGTGCTATGCTCTGGTCTTATTAATTTCATATCTGACTGTATATATTCTGCTGGCATTAAGGGGATTTCTATTGAGTTAGGCGTGGCAGCGGTAGCGGGCTTCAGTGCCAAAAGTGCGCTTGGCGGCACTAAAAGATTACGTAATTACGTTCATATCGGTCCTGGCATTCTGGGATTCGGAGTAGCTTTTCAATCTTCGGGCTAATGTGGTTTTTGTTTCAAAATAATATGAGATGCGTATTCATAGTAGGCTGTCCGGAAATATAGCGCATTCTGATATTATATAACCGATCAGGGACGGCTGTGCACAGTGAGCAGACGCAGTGGATTAAATGGGATCGCACGACCAGTATTTTCAAGAATCGGAGAAATAAGTGAGCGTAGGACAACACGACACTACAACGTAGCGACGCACATCATAATGGGCGACAGTCACATACTTACACTAGAATTCGTTGTCAATCTTACGTCGACATCGGGCGTTAAAATGGTATCTAATTAACATTTATATAGGTACATGAGGAGTGTACGAAATTTCTTTATCCTGTGCGGATTGAGTAACTGATAAGGAGAGGGGGCGGGACTGTTTGTATGGGCTTATTAGATGATAAACGTACGATCATCATAGGGGAGTTGGAATCATTGAAGTACTATTTGCATGATTCTTTAATTTTATACGTGATTGAAGAGTTTTCTGCTACAGATTTTCGTAGATGGTATTGCACTGGCATTGACTTTTAAATATGCAACAGAGTAACATTGATGTTTAATAAATCATTGGGTCGATTAAGGGCAGCGAATGTGAGAGTCGAGTGTAGAAATTATTTGGGGAATCTCTAAACACAATTTTTCGGGGTGCATGCGTAAGTAGATTGTGGGCTTGAGCTTGTATTCCTGTCAACTGGAGATCGACGATGCCAGATGCAGGTGTGATCGTGGGCCGTTACCAGGACATA